GGAACAAGGAGCCGGGGTGGGGGGATGGAGAGCCCGGAGCCCACGGCACGCAGATCTAAGGACGGGAACAAGGAGCCGGGGTGGGGGGATGGAGAGTGGCCATGAAACGGGAAGTGGGTTCTTTAACAAGGGCCACAGGCTGGTAGCCTCCGCCCAGACTGGCCAAGGGAGACCAGCCAAGACCAGGTGGGCAGTGTCGGCCCACAGACTGCAGAGACGCGGAGGAGCCAGGCAACATGGGAGACAGCAGGAGCTGAAAGCCAGGGCAGCCCTCCTCCTCTCGCATGGAGTCGCTGGTGCACCCTGGCACACACGCCGGCAGAGGGAGTGAGGGCAGAGTCAACCCTACGCAGCCTCTCCTGGCTGGGACGCAGGGTGCCGCGCCTTGCCCTGGCCGGGGCCCAGCAGTGCATCTGGGGGAGCCCGGGCGCTGTGGTCAGCCGGGCAAGCCGGGCTCAGACTGGGATGTCAGCCGCGTCCTCAGTAGGTGGCCCCACGGAGAGACGCAGGAGAGGCGTTGGAGGACTCCGCACACGCACGTAAAACTCAACCACCAGGAGCGGGGAAACTTTCTTGACCTGATAGAGAACATGTGCAACAAGCCTACAGCTAGCCCTACACCTTGATTGCTTTTTAATTTCCTTATTTTTTGAGAGACAAAGAGAAAGAGACAGAGATTTGCCCCGTGTTGGCCCGCCCCCCAAATGCCCCAGCAGCCCCAGGCCAGGCCAGCAGCTGAAGCCAGGAACTGGGAGCTCCGTCCAGCTCTCCCATGTGGTGGCAGGGACTTGAGCCGTCCCCACTGCCTACCAGGGTCTGCACTGGCAGGAGGCTGGAGCCAGGAGCCAGGCACTCGTCCAGGTCCCCACAGGGTGGACGGGGCCCAGCCAGGAGCCAAGCACTCACCCAGGTCCCCGCAGGGCGGAGGGGGCCCAGCCAGGAGCCAGGCACTCACCCAGGTCCCCGCAGGGCGGACGGGGCCCAGCCAGGAGCCAGGCACTCACTCCTGCAGTAGCAGCAGCCTCCTGGGGTCTGCACTGGGCAGGAGGAGTGGACCAGGAGTGGACCAGGCTCTCCAGCCGGGGGCAGGTTTCCCAGGCACCAGGCCAGGGTCAGCCGCCTCCAAACCAAACCCTGGAAAATGTCACCTACGGTCGACAGACGCGAAGCTGAACAATCGCAGGATTTTTACGCTGGAAACCAAGCGCCCTTGTAGCTGCTTCCTGATGGAGTAAGGGGAGGGGACACAGCTCCGCACGTGACCGACAGCCAAGCATCCGGACTATCTGCAGATACGAGAAGCGTGTCTATTTATAGCCGCAGCAATGACCCTGTTAACCCGGCTGCCTCTGCAGGGTCGCCTTCCAAGTGAGGCCACTGCCGCTGGTGCCGAGGGGTGGGGATGGAGCAGGGCCTACCTCCCCCTGGGGTCCCGGCCCCCCTGGCAGGGGAGACCTCTGGGGGGCGGCGCCTGCAGGGGCTGCCCCGCTCCTGCTGCTCCTGCTGGAGAAACCCGCACACACTGTGTCTGAGCACACGCAGGCTCCTCCCACACGAGGCTCCTCCCATGCATGGCTCCTCCCACATGAGGCTCCTTCCACGCATGGCTCCTCCCACACGAGGTCCCTCCCACACGAGGCTCCTCCCAAGGCTCCTCCCATGGGCCTGAGGTGCTGGTGGTCCCCATCCTGGCCATCACAGCTGCCATCTGCTGGGCCGAGCTCCCAGCTGGCTCAGAGGCTTCGGCTGCAGTCAGGACGGTCAGCCCGGGCCCCTGGACGAGCCCATGACGAATCGACAGCCGTCGTCGTCATAACCACATCAGGTACGGGAGGCGAGACAGCAGGGGGCACAGGAGCGGGAGCGGTCAGCAGAGCCCGTCGGTCATTCCGCCAAGGCCAGAGCTGAGGGGACCCCAAAGCCAGGGGCCGACCCCTGGGACAAGGCCGTGTGGCTGCCGAGCTCAGTGCACAGGGTGGAGGGAGACGAGGAGGGGGAACTGAGGCTGCTGGACGCTGAGGTCAGGGGGAGCCCGAGTTGTAGTCACACGTCCTGGCCAGGAAGCAGGTGTCCTACGGGGGCGGTGCTGCTGACACGAACTTCCTGCATGTGGAGGCAGCCGGAGAGGTCCCTGGGCATCAAGGCGGGGGCGGGGGTCTCCACTCCCTCCCACTCTGGTTCCTGCCAACCAGAGCCTCCCGTGCTGTCCACAGTGCAGGCAGGCATGTGCTGAGGCAGTGGGGGAGCTGGCTCTGGTCACGCTGGGCCTTGAGGACAGCATTCTCGCCGCTCTGAGGACCCTCCGCATGGAGCTGGGTTTGTGACCGTGGTGAGTGGCCCACGTGGCCCATGGTCAAGGGGCAGGAGCTGTCCTGGGGCCTGACTGCCCCAGCCACCGAGGAGCCAGGTGAGCCTGTAACATAAGAGGAGGACAGTTTGAGACTCACGGGGCTGGGGGACATCAGGTGGGGTAACGTGTGCCAGCCCCTTCTGTCTGAGGGGAGTCCCCTGTGTGAGGGGCTGCATCACCACCTCCACCTCCATCACCACCACCACTATCACCACCATCATCACTGCTGGCATCACCATCATCACCACCACCACCTTCACCATCACCACCATCATCATCACGTCCTCACTGTCTCAGGCCCAGAGCCTCTGGGGCAGGGGAAGGAGGTGGGGGCAGAAGGACACGTGCCCTGCCCTGCAGACCCTCCCCCAGCTCCTCCCACAGGCTGCAGGCAGCACGTGCAGCCTGGGGCGGGGTCCCATGAAGACCTGGCGTCTTGGGGCCGGCGCTGCACCCCCACCCCGCCCGGTGCACCCAGAGCCCAGGGAGATGGGGCCCAGTCTCGGGCATCCCCAGCAGGGGGCAGGCAGGAGTGGCTGTGTGGACTGAGCCGAGGTGAAGGGGAGGTGTTGATGTGCAACACAGCCTGGGTCCCAGTGCGGCTTGGGGAGGGGTGGCAGTGTGACATCAGGGACAGCGGGCGGGAGGGTGGGTGCTGTGGGTGAGAGGGGAGCCAGCGGCACCCCCATCAGTGAGGGGAAGGAGCCTGAGTTCGCTGGGCTGGGGGCCTCCCCTTCCCCCCACCCCCCGCTCTGTGCCCAGCACCAGGCGTCCTCCGGGTGTTAGGTGCGAGGACTCACCTTGCCCAGATTCCAGGCAAGGCCAGAGAACGGAACAGAAGATGCACCTGCCGACCTGGGTCGGGGTGGACCAGGCACCCGCTGGCCTGGGTCGGGGTGGACCAGGCGCCCGCTGACCTGGGTCGGGGTGGACCAGGCTGACCTGGGTCGGGGTGGACCAGGCACCCGCTGACCTGGGTCAGGGTGGACCAGGCACCCGCTGACCTGGGTGGATGGGGAACGTGTGACTCCCAACTGCTTGACCAGAGCCCAGCTGCCCCTCCAGAGGTCCAGGGCCTTGGCGTCGGACGCTTTACAAACATACGTGGGAGCAGGTGGGGACAGCCCCTGCCTGGCTCGGGGGCTTCTGAGGTGGGAGTTAACTTAAAAACTCGACTCCGCCTCTCGAGCCCCTCGGCCACAGGCATGCTCCTCCATATGGCCATGGGTGCCCGGCTCTGGGCCTGCTTCCCAACAGGAGCCGCCCCATCCTCACCCCGGGCCAGGCGCTCTCCTGGGTAGTGGGGTCAGGTTCAGGGCCTAGGGCAGACGCAGGTGCAGGGACTGACACCTTTCAGGGGTGCAGACAGCGGGGCCTGTCCTCTCTGGGGAGGGGGCCTTTCACAGGAGATCTGACCCAGGACAGTAGGCAGGTGTGCTGAGGGTGGGCGGGGCATGGGGCAGGTGTAGGGGAGGGCTGGGCACCTGCGGCCCAGTGGAAGCCATGGGGGAGGGCTGGGCACCGACAGTCCAGCAGAAGCTGGGGGGGGTCTGGGTCCCCTGGGCTTGGGCTGGTGGAACACCACTCCCGTCCTCCCCCGGCCTCTGCCCGAGGCCACGCAGTCCCAGCTCTGCAGGGCAGCGCTCCCTGTCCGCTTTGGTTTTATTTCCTGTGGGGCTACGGGTGTCTGGGGGGATGTGTCCGGGGTGGTGGTGCGCAGGGGCAGGGCAGTGACCTGGGCCAGGCACCATGCGGGCTCCTGCTGGCCAGGGCGGCAGCCAGGTCCAGCCCTGTGTGCCGGCTTCGCGGAACAAGGGTGCAGGTCCCCAGCATCCACGGGCAGAACTCAGAGGCTCCGCGAGGCCCCGTGGCTCCACTTGCCCATCCGGGACTTCCCCGGCTGGGCCTGTTGGGGTGGGCTGGGCAGTCTCCACCTGCCCCTGCCCTGCCCCGGAGGTCTGGGGGCTGGGACCCTCCTGAAGTGAGATCTCCTGGGGAGGCTCTCAAACCTGCGAACGCTGGCCGGCGCCGTGGCTCACTGGGCTAATCCTCCGCCCGCGGCGCCGGCACCCTGGGTTCTAGTCCCGGTCGGGGCGCTGGTTCTGTCCCGGTTGCTCTTCTTCCAGTCCAGCTCTCTGCTGTGGCCAGGGAGTGCAGTGGAGGATGGCCCAGGTGCTTGGGACCCTGCACCCCATGGGAGACCAGGAGGAAGCACCGGGCTCCTGGCTTCGGATAGCCCGCCGGTCATAGCGGCCATCTGGGGAGTGAACCAACAGAAGGAAGACCTTTCTCTCTGTCTCTCTCTTTCTCACTGTCCACTCTGCCTGTCCAAAAAAACAAAACCTGCAAACGCTGGCAGACCCAGAGCACAGCACCACCTTCCTGCCTGTAGGGGTTCCAGGGGTCCCGCTCTGGTCCCTCCCCAGGGTGGGGCTCCCCAGGGAGAGGCCTGCGGGGCACTGGGTCCCCAAGCAGAGGACAGCGGGGGAGTGGCAGCACCAGGACCCGGCCCCCTCTGGCTCCTGCCTGTCGCGGGGCCCAGCATGCCGCAGGCCGCAGCCAGATCTATCTGCGGCCAGAAAAAGGAAAACTCTGCAAACGGACGCCAGGCGGTCGTCCCCGCCCGGCCGGGAGATGGTCCAAGGCCTCCCAACAACAGGCAGGGCTGTGCCAGGCACCGGGGAGAGAGACGGAACCGAGCAGCGGTGCCGGCCCCCAGCAGCCTGGGAACAGAAAGGGAGGCGGAGGCCGGTCCAGCTGGGCATCCCTGAGAGGAAGAGGAGGGTGGGGGGTGAAGGTCACGAGGGTGGAGGTGGAGGTGACGTTCAGGCTCACGGGGCCCCTCCTGGGAGCTCAGCTGGCTGAGCCGGACGTGAGCAGGGAGGCTCTCCCCAGCCTGGGAGAATGCATGGCCACGCTTGGCAGGGAGGTGCCGCCGGGGCCGGCCTGGGAGTGCTGGCCGTTGGTCTCCTTTCTGACTGATGGGAGAGCATCTGGACTGGAGACGGTCAGCAGGGTGCAGGGCCAGCACGTGGGCTGGGAATGTGCCCTCCGGCAGTTTGGGAAGCCGAGGCATCCCGGAGTGGGGACCGGGATCTGCGCCCTGGGTATGGAGGGGCTGTGATGCTGGGGGGAGCCCTGGGGTCCTTCCCTCCGGCCGGGTCCAGCTGGATCTTCCCTGGTCACCTCCCGAGGCCCCTGCACCAGCCCTAGCTCCATGCCCAGCCCTCCCGTGGTGGGCAGGGACAGGTGGCGCCGGACCTCGTTGCATCCAGGAACCTGGGCTGGGGTTTCCCCCACAGGGACTGCTGGACGAGACCAGAGGTGGCTGCTTCGGTGGGGGAACCGCTCCCGCCTCTCCTACTGCCTGTGCTCTGCTCCTGGGTCAGCGGGCAAAAGTCCAAGGCTCGGCAGCCCCGGGGCAGCGGCAAGATCACTGGCACAGGGACCTCCGGCCGAGAGAGAGGAGAGTGACCGCCAGGAGTTACCAGAGACCGGGTGCAGGTGTGCCGGTGCCGAGGTTCGGCCAGCGCCAACTTCCGCCTCTCACAGCAGCCAGCGGCTTTCCCCGTCACAGCTGCCCAGGCCCCCAGCGGCAGGGGCAGAGCAGGCTTTGGCCCCCAGCCCTGCCTGCCAGCGCCGCGTGGACTCCAGACCAGCAGCTGGCCGTGGGGCCGAGCGGAGTGCCGAGACCCATTCAGCTGGCCGCGAGCCCTGCTCCCCAGATGCAGATCCGGCAGGGCGACGGCAGGCCGCACAGGAAGCCCAGGTGCAGCAGGGCCTCGGGAAGGGTGGGGGCCGTGCAGAGACCCGGCGGCCGGGCAGGAAGGCCACGGGGCAGCGTGACCCCGGGCGGAGGCTGCAGGACACCAAGGTCGCCCAGGCCCGGAGGAAACCTCTGTGGCAGCTCTGCCCTCCCTGCAGGTTCTGCTTCCTGGCTCTGGCCCCGAGCCCGGGAGGTGACCTGCTGTGTCCCCGCCCACCCTTCCCCCATGTGGTGTCCAGGCTCTTGGCCCCGCCTTCCCACCCCTTCCCCACAGAGCAGAGGTCACCTGAGCCCCCCCACCGCACCCACCCAGCGTCCTCAGCCCCCCGGGCCAGGGGACTCACCGTGGCCTGCCCCAGAGCCACAGGGGTCTCAGGGCCCCTCTGGCCCCAGCCCCGCCCAGCCTCTTGACGGGCACCCAGCCCCCAGCCCCCGCTGTCCCTGCGCTCACCTTGCCCGGGCGTGTGGGGTGACACTGAGGAGGCACTGGCTTTCCCTGGGCCCCCCTCCCAGGTGCAGACCAGCAGGTGCAGTGCCCCCCAGCAAGGTGGGGAGGGACCCCCTGGGCTGAAGCTGGAGGGCCCCTCCCCCAGCCAGTCCCGGGCCCCTGGGATATCCTCAGCCCTCCACCAGCACCGAGCATCCTGATTTCGGCCAGTGGCTGGTTGCCATGGAAATGTCCTTGGGACGTGGCGTGGAGAGGGCAGGAGAGGGAGAGGGAAGCCCCTCCACTCCTGCGGAGCCGCTGTCCGGGGACTCCCCTTCCCCGCCCACCAAGCCCAGGGCACCGGGATGCCAGACCGGCGTCTTCCTCCCTGGAGAAGACCCTGCTTGGGCTGCTGCCACTCTGCCTGGCGGCCGGCGCAGGTGGGGAGGGAGGGGCCGGGCAAATGAGCGAGTCAGGCGGTTAATCCTGCCGCAGATGTGTGCGAGCCGCGGCACACGCGCAGCCCTGCCTCCGGCTCCTCACTGTGCTCAGGGCGCTGGCCCCTCTGGGGATTCCTGGCTGTTCCAGACGCCGTCCAAGACGATGCACCTGGCAAGCCCGGGCGGCACAAAGCCTGGGGGGAAGCTGGCAGCATGGGGCTGAGCCGGCAAGGAGCTCGTGGCTCCACACCGCGGGCTCGGGCACAGCCGCCCGCCCAACACGGCGGTCCTCGGGCCACGTCTGGGTTCTGGCAGCCGCCTGCAGACTTGGAGGCCTCACCCGAGCCCCTGCGCTGTGACCCACGTGCCTCCTCCCGGGGGTTCCTGCTTCTCCCAGCTCCCCTGCCCCTCCCCCTGCTCTGACTCCAAGCCCAAGGTGAACGTCCAGCAGGGAGCCTCCCTGCACCCCAGCAGGAGTGGGAGACAGCACCCCATCGTCCCTGTGTGAGCCGGCCAGAGCCCCTTCCCTGCGGCCAGGCCAGGGCACCCACAACTCTGCCTCTGAGATGCGGCAGCTGCTGGCAGAGACGGCCGACGGCCCGAGCACTCGTGGCCTAGCAGTGAATGGAGGGGAGGGCGTGGACTCTCGGGGGGCTGTCCAGGGCCGGTGCCAGGCCGGGAGGCAGAGGATGGAGCAGCGGCAGCCGGCCTGGCCTCGGGTGGCCCCAGCCCGGGGAGCAGCAGCGGTCAGCAGGGCTGGCCTCCTCCCTCCCCTGCACTGGCCACTGACAGAACCTAACAGAGGGGTGCCCAGAAGAACCAGGGGCAGCAGCCTGGCACTGCTAGGGCCTGGGCGCCGCTGAGGAGTGGGCAAGAGGAGTCCTCCCTGGACAGCTCCCCTGCCTGCAGACACAGGGCCAGCAGCCGAGCCCCCGCCCCCCGCCCCGTGCCCTGGAGGGGCACTTCCAGCGGCCACAGGCCCTGCCTGAGGAGGTCAGGAGGCAGCCAGGTGCTGCCCCCAGAGCTGGCCTGTGCTGCCATGGCACCCCTCCCCCACCCACACTTCCTCCGTTCCGGAACTCACGGTTGGAGGTTATGGGAGGCCCACTCGTGTGGGACAGGCGGGGGAGGGGAGCGGGGCAGAGCAGGAGAAGCGTCCTCCTAGCCCGAAGCCCTGAGAAGGCCAGACGAGGGGGAGGGTCCGGGGCCCGCCCCTGCTGGAGGAGCGCCTTGTGGGGGGGGGGCCGGCTGGTCGCTGCGTGAGCAGCAGACTCCTTCGTCCCTGTCTCCGGGGCGTAGGCACGCGGAGGTGGACACTGGGGGTTTCTGCTGAGCGAGGATGCGGCCCTGCTTCAGACCGAAGACCCCTCGGCCGGCACCGGGCGACCCCAGCAGAACGCGGAAGCGGACGCTGTCTGCACGCCACGCCGTCCAGGCGGCTCGGGGCCGCGCGAGCTGGGGCGGGCGGCGGACCCGGCGCCAGGCGGGACCGGGGCCAGGGGCTCCCCCTCTGCAGTTTGGCCCGCGGGGCGCGAGCGTCTCGCTGGGGAAGACGACGGGAGAGCGGGAGAGCGCGGATCCCCCGACAGCGCAAAGTGGCTGGGGCCGGAGCTGACCCGGTCCCTGCGGGCGCCCCGGGACGCTCCTCCCCGCGCGCGGCCGCCTCCTCCCCCGCGGCCTCGCTCTCCCCCTCCCCGCGCCGCAGGAGGCGGGCAGGTCCGGGCGGGGCCGAGCGCACAGCCCCTTGCTCGCGGCCCCGCCGGGCGGCGCCGTGCCCCGCAGGACCAGCTGCGAGCCGGGCCGAGGACCGAGCCGCCCGCGGGCGCGGGGGACATGAAGTTGGGCACGCGCGGGCCTCGGAGCGGGGGCGCGGTGGGCGCGGGAGCCGTGCGTGTCTAGAATCCGCTCGGTGCGCCATGGAGCTCCGGGCGCCGCCGCCGCCGCTGTTGCTGCTGCTGCTGCTGGGGGCCGGCCTCCTGCCCGGTAAGTTTCGGGGCGCTGGGTGGCCCCCGTCGTTGGGTGCCGGGCAGGCGGGCATCCCCGAGGCGCCGAGGAGGGGCTGGCAGGCTCCCGGCTGCGGTCCCAAGCCGCCGGGTTGCGCAGCCCGGAGGCACAGGCTGCCCTGAGGCGCGCGCTGAGCCGGCCAGGAAGGAGTTAACCTGCTCGGGTGTCTGCAAGAGCCGGTTTGGGTGGGTGGGAGGGGGGGTCCGCCGGCCCTCTCAGGGGCTACAACTTGGTGGAGGTGGGGGCGCCTCTGCCCTGCGCCCTCCCGCCAGACCCCGCCTCCCACCTGCCCTGGTGTAGGGGCTTAGAAGGGTGGCCTCTACAGCCTCCCGCCCCCCCAAGCTCACGGGCAGGGGAAGTTCCCGCTCCCTCCGCCGCCCCCCCCTTTCCGGTGCCCTGTGTGGGTGCAGACAGGGGCTTCCTGGAGGGAGTTCTCCCCCCTGGAGCTCAGTGGGGAGTGGGGAGCATCTTACAGGTCACAGGGCCTGGGACGGAGGAGGGTGGGCTCTGTGCTGGGAGCTGAGAGCTGGCGACTGGAGCAGGACCCCCAGGGAGAGGGGTTTCCCCTCCCTCTCCAACCCCCAGGACCCCAGAGCTCGTGGGGAGGTGGGCTGGGCTGCACCGCTGTCCAGGAGAACCCCAGGGTGCCGGGCTGCTGGTCAGCTCTGCTCTTCAAAGGCCCCTCAGGCGTCGGGCACAGCCTCTCCCCTTCCTCCACCTCCCTGCCGGGCCCAGGGCACAGCCTCTCCCCTTCCTCCACCTCCCTGCCGGGCTGGGCCCCGTCTCCCACGCGTCCCCCGGCCCCGCTGGAGACAGCTGTCGCCTCTACAGTCAGCTGGGAGACGCGCCCGGCCGGTGCTCACGGGTAAATCTGGTTTTATGGAGCCTCACCCAGGGGGCCACACAGGGCCCTGGGGTGGGGGCCCTCAGGTGGCTGAGGGGGGCTGGCGAGAGGCTGGGGGACGCCCGGAGCTGAGCCGCCTCTGCCCGCTGTGCAGCCAGCGGCCGCGTGGAGACCCGGGCCCACGCAGAGGAGCGGCTGCTGAGGAGGCTCTTCAGTGGCTACAACAAGTGGTCGCGGCCAGTGGCCAACATCTCGGACGTGGTCCTCGTCCACTTCGGCCTGTCCATCGCACAGCTCATTGACGTGGTAGGTGGGGTGGGCTCCGCGGGGCTGTGTGTCCGGCCCGTGCCTGGTGAGCCACCAGCTCCGCCCACCTGGCCACAGCAGATGCGCCTGCGTTTGCCTGGACGGCCCAGGCCCTGCCTCTCGCCCTGGCCGGGCTTCAGCTGTCAGTCACACTCACAGAAGCCGAGACCGGGAACGGCCTCTGTGGAGGGAGGGGGCGGTGCCGTGGCCTGTGAGTGACAGCCGTGGGGGCCGTTTGTGCCGCTGCTGTGGCATCTGGGGCAGGACTGGGGCCCCACAAAGTCCCCACCCTCAGCCTGGTCCCTGGAGCGCGGGGTCTAGAGATTCTGCCTCGGTTTCTGTTTACCTGGGGCCTGTTTGCCTCCCTGGTGAGGGACCGGGGAGGATGCTAGGGTCTGGCAGGGGCCCCTCGGTCTGGACAGGAGCCCAGGGAGCCCCAGGTGTGGGAGAGAAGGGGGGAGGGGGTGGACTGTGATGCCAGCAGCCCGCGCCCTGTGCTAGGCAGAGGTTCTGTCCAGGGCCTGCGTCCTGCCCTCCAGTGGGCACGGCAGCACAGACCTCAGCTGTCCCTGGTCACCTGCAGGGGGCGAGAGCTGTGGATGGGCCAGCAGGGGCCGAGGAGACAGCCCCCATCTCCTGGTCGGCGGCAGCACAGCCGGCCTCGGGGGCTGCTGCAGCTTGCTCAGAGCCGGGAAGAGGGGCAGGTAGGGACCCTTGGGGTCCAGCTGTGAGGGCTCCTCCCCGGGGTCCCGCTCACTCCAGCCCCTGACACCAAAGCCTGGCTCGCCAGACCAGGGGAAGGGGGGCTTCCCAAAGGCTCCCCCACACCCCACAGGAACCCAGCCCGGGGCCTGCTGGGAGGGAGAGCTGCTGGCTCCAGGCTGCTGCTGCTTTGTTGGGTGGCCACCTTGTGGCTGAGGGGCAGGAGCGTCCCGGGGGCTGTGGGGGCCGTGGGCGACCCCAGGCTGTGCAGAGCCGTGCGGCCTCCACCCTCAGCGTCCTGGAACTGCCACGTGTGTGCCAGCTGTGCCACCCGCCGAGGGCTGCAGACGCACAGCGCTGGCCGGCAGAAGCCTCAGGCCTCGTGGGAGCCCCCCGGCTGCCGCCCCCCGGCTGCCGCCCTGAGCTCCTGAGAGCTCACCCCATTGCTCCACTCTGCCACAGCGCCCCCAGCTCGTCTAGGAGATGCCAAGGCCTGGACCCAACACCAGGCTCCAGGGAGAGTCCTGGAGCAGCTCCCGGCCTGCTCTCTGCCCTGCAGCTGGCCCAGGACACATGGGAACACACACAGACACACGTGTGCACACAGCTGCACACGCACATACACGCAAGGCCAGGCCCCGGTGCTATGCCGCGGGTGGGGCAGTCACACTGTGCCCTGGGCTGCGTGTGGGTTCACACCCCCACCCTGGCTGCACCAGAGGCTGTGGGGTCCCCAGCGGCTTCCTGACCTGATGCTGTCCCCATGAAGTGTCCAGACAGGAGGGCCGGGCTGCGGCTGGACTCTGCAGCCCTTCGTGGGGGGGAGGCTGCCCTGCCCCAGCTCCCTGGGGCGAGGCCGTGCAGGCAGCTGGAGGGCACGGCTGTGCTGAGGGCGGCAGCCATGTGCTCTGCTCCATGCCCCCCACCCCCGGCGTCCTGGGCAGCTGGGTGACCTGCCTGGCTGGCTCCACTGGAGAGCAGGGCCCGAGGCCTCTCCGCTTTCCCATCCCCGGGGGCCTTTCCTGCTCGTCCCTGGTCTGGGTCTGGTACCGGGGCGGGGGGAGGGGCACTTTGTGCAGGATGCTGCCCAGGCCTTGCAGCAGGGCCCGTGGGCAGGGTGTGGGCGCTAGGAAGTGGGCAGTCAGCACCCCCCGGTGAGAGGGGTGGGACTTCCTGTCCCTGCAGGACAGGCCATGCAGATGGGGGCCGGGGGTGGGGCCTTGGCCGGGAGTGGCCCTTCTGCTCACGCCCCCGAGTGCCCGCCCGGGCTTGGTTGCCTCTGGAGACGAGCCGCTCACTCCGTCCTGAGGTCCAGGCCCGGCCCGGCGCCCATGGTCAAGGACACGCAGGGCCAGACCGAGCTCCTCCTCCTCTGTGCCCTAGGACGAGAAGAACCAGATGATGACCACAAACGTGTGGGTGAAGCAGGTGAGTGGGGGGCTGCCCCGCCCCTCCCGCGGCCCCGCCCGGCCCCTGACCCTGTGTCCCCACAGGAGTGGCATGATCACAAGCTGCGCTGGGACCCGGCTGACTACGAGAACGTCACCTCCATCCGCATCCCCTCCGAGCTCATCTGGCGGCCGGACATCGTCCTCTACAACAAGTGAGTCCACGCTGCCTGGCGAGCGGAGGCGGGGGCGGGGAGCGGAGGCCGGGGCCGGCTCCAGGGCTGCGGGCAGAGCCCGTGGGGCCAGAGTGTGGACGCTCACCCTCGGCTCGGCTGGCCTCTGCCTCTGTCTTTCTCTCTGTGCAGTGGGGGGTGGGGGGTCAGGCCCCCTGCCCCACTGATGACCTCCAGCCCCAGGCTGGGAGGTTTTCACGTCAGGTGTCCCCGCCGAGCCTTGCGCGCTGTAGCGTGCCCAGGGTGGACCGAGAGGGCCCAGGAAGCACTGCCCTCCTTGCCTGATCCTCAGGGCTGCCCCCCCCGCCGCGTGGGCCCCCAGGCTGAGGTCCCCCCAGGTGGGACGCCCAAGCTGGGATCCTCGGGGCTCCCAGGACGCCGAGCTGCCATCTGGCCCTGGAGGTTCCCATTGACCTGTGGCCTCCAGCTGTGGGCTCCGCACTCACAGTGCAAATGCAGTCACCTCTGGCCCCAGCCATCTGCCCACAGCCCCTCAAAGCCCCCGGGGCACCTGCTTGACCTACAAACCTCCCTCTTTGCTGGAGTACCAGGGGCCCCTCCCCCATCTTAATTGAGTCCTGGAATGGTTGGGAGAGCATCGCCTTCCCAGGATGCATTAGGGAGGCAGGTGGTGCCTTGCCCTCAGGGCGGGGTCTCTGACTCCGTGAGTGAGTGAGATGAGAGCCCCAGTGCCTCCCTGGGGGACACTCTCAGCCCCCGACCCCTCCCCACCCTGGGGAGAAGGGGGAGTCCTCTGGGCTGGACTGGGCCAGTGAACAGCCCCCTGAGGCCACCCCACAGATCCCCTGCCTGACCCCTGGGAGGCAGTGGGTTGGACCCAGCTTCTGTGGGTCTGGGGTCAGCGCTGGGGCCCTCTCTGGGCAGGGAGGCCACGGTCTGGCCATAGCCAGCACACTGACTGGGTGATGGCCCTGCTGCTGGGCGGGGCGTCCTCTCGGCAGGAGACCCTGCTGTCCACCTGGGCTTCCCGAGGGTGGCCTTCAGCCTGCGGTGCTGGTGCCGGGGTCAGGGGCCTCACTCCCGTTTCCGTCGTCCCGCCCAGTGCCGATGGAGACTTCGCAGTGACCCACCTGACCAAGGCCCACCTGTTCCACGACGGGCGGGTGCAGTGGACGCCCCCGGCCATCTACAAGAGCTCCTGCAGCATCGACGTCACTTTCTTCCCCTTCGACCAGCAGAACTGCACCATGAAGTTTGGCTCCTGGACCTACGACAAGGCCAAGATCGACCTGGTGCGCATGGACAGCCGCGTGGACCAGCTGGACCTGTGGGAGAGCGGCGAGTGGGTGATCGTGGACGCCGTGGGCACCTACAACACGCGCAAGTACGAGTGCTGCGCGGAGGTGTACCCCGACATCACCTACGCCTTCGTCATCCGCCGGCTGCCGCTCTTCTACACCGTCAACCTGCTGGTGCCCTGCCTGCTCATCTCCTGCCTCACCGTGCTGGTCTTCTACCTGCCGTCCGAGTGCGGCGAGAAGATCACGCTCTGCATCTCCGTGCTGCTCTCGCTCACCGTCTTCCTGCTGCTCATCACTGAGATCATCCCGTCCACCTCGCTGGTCGTCCCGCTCATCGGCGAGTACCTGCTCTTCACCATGGTCTTCGTCACCCTCTCCATCGTCATCACCGTCTTCGTGCTCAACGTGCACCACCGCTCGCCGCGCACGCACGCCATGCCCGCCTGGGTGCGCCGCGTCTTCCTGGACCTCGTGCCGCGCCTGCTCTTCATGAAGCGGCCGTCCACGGTCAAGGACCACTGCCGCCGGCTCATCGAGTCCATGCACAAGATGGCCGGCGCCCCGGGCTTCTGGCCCGAGCCCGCGGGGCCGCCCGGCCGGGGCCCCGCCCCAGCCCCGTCCTTCTGCACGGCCCCCGCACCCCCGGCGGAGCCCCGGCCTGCCTGCCCGTCACCCTCCAATAAGGTCCCCCTTCAGCGGCCCGCGGAGTTGGGGAAGCCCAGCCCCTGCCCCTCGCCTGGCCCTGCCAGAGCCAGGTCCCTCAGTGTCCAGCACGCACCCCGCCCCAGCGAGGGGGCGGAGGACGGCCTGCGGTGCCGGTCTCGGAGCATCCAGTGCTGTGTTCCCGGGGACAAAGCTGCCCCGCAGGCGGCCGGCTCCCCCGGCTCCCCTGCCTCCCCCGGCTCCCCCGCCTCCCCTGCCTCCCCAAAGGCCCTGCCTGCTGCACTCCCCCCAGCCCCGCCCTCCCTCTGCACCTGCACCTGCACCTGCCGGAGGGAGCCGCCTCGGGTGCCCCCAAGCACCACGCTCAAGGCTCCGCCCCCGCCCCTGCTGCTGTCCCCAGCCCTGGCGAGGGCTGTCGAGGGCGTCCAGTACATCGCTGACCAGCTGCGGGCCGAAGACGCAGATTTCTCGGTGAGTCCGCCCCGCGGCTGTGGCTGGTGAGCAGATCTCGGCTTCTGGGGAAGATTCCGGAAGCCTGGGCCGCTGGGTTAGGGGCACGCAGCGGCTTCTCTGACACGGTAACCCTGCCCGAGCCTCCGGGGAGGCTGCAGTCCCGGGCCGAGCCCAGGCTGAGCAGGGGAGGGGTCCAGAGTGGCAGGGTCGGGCAGCTGCTGGCTACAGTGTTGCAGCACAGCATGAGGTCTTCCTGGGGGTGCCCTGGGCGCTCTGGCTGGGACTGGGGACGCCTGGGTGATGGGCGAGGGTGGGGGTGCAGCCCTCTCCAGGCCCTTCTTACTGGGGGAGGGGCTGCGGTGAGAGAAGCTGGGACAGGATGGAACAACCTGTGAGGCCTGCTTGGAGGAAGAGGGCACCGCCCAGCCCCCACTCAGTCCCAAGAGGCCAAGCTGGGGGAGGGGCAGGATGCCGGCCAGCTGCCAGGTCCCTGGGGACGGGTGGGCCCCAGACAGGGTCCCGGGCCCGTCCGCTCCCTGCTGCTGCTCAGGCTGTATGTATTGATGGGACAGAGGCTGCAGGCCCCCATGTCCACTGGCACAGTGTCCCCCTCCTCACCTCACTCCCGGGAGCTACAGCACCAGCAGGCCTGGGTGGGGCTGGGCCAGCTCTCCCGGAGCCACCACTCGTCCTCCCTGTCCCATGTAGGGAGTCACACCTGAGGGTCTCAGGGGTCCAGGGCTGGGTGTTAGACCCTGTGGAGCTGGGCCAGCCAGGCTGGGGAGGGGAGGTCCTCTCCTGGCCCACAGTGAGCACGCCCGGAACCCCTGAGGCCCCCGCTCCTGACCGTCCTGGGTGCTGTCCCAGGGCCCCGCCCCTCCATCAGGCTGGGTGTCACACCTGAGACCCGTGAGCGTCCCGCCCCGCAGCTCCTCTGGTCCCCAGAGACAGAAAAGAAACCCCAGGAGGCACTGGAAGGTCCCGTGTCACCGAGATGCGGGGGGGGGGGGGGCAGCTCTGGGACACGTTTTGCTGCAGCTCCGGCACAGAGGCAGCTCCTGGCCCAGCCGTGCCGTGCTGTGCCGAGACCAGTGGCCGGGCCGGGCAGCAGGTGCACGGAGCCTTGGGAGCAGAGCCCGGGCCCCCCCTCTGGCTGCCCCCCATCTGCCAGCGGCTCCAGCTGCTTGACCTGGTTCTGACTGGGGAGGCAGAGCCGACTTCTCGGGAACCGGCCCGGAGACAGCAGGGTGGCTTTGGTCTCTGACCACGTGTCCTCGCCGGGGTGGGAGGACCCTGGGCACAGAGGGCAGGGGCCAAGGAAACTGGGACAGGGCTCTGTGGGGGCCACACCCCAGCCTTTCCGGGAACAGGGGTCCTGAGGGGGTCCCTTTGTGCTCAGGATTCCCATAAATAAACTAGCCGTTCCCCTAAAAACCATCAGAATCCCAGTGGTCAGAGCAGAGCCCACAGACAGGGAGGTGGCCGGCCTGACCACTCACATCCATGCACCTGCTGGCCCAGGGCATGCTGGGAGCTGTTCTGACAGAGCCTGGAGATTATTGCAGGCCCTTGCAGACAGCTGACCGTCCACAGGGACAGGCAGGGCGCTGGGCAGTGGCAGGACACCCACACGCCTCGGCTGCAGAGGGCAGCGGCTATGCTGAGAGTGACACCCTCACCCCAGGCCTGGGCGGAGCTCGGTGCTGCAAGCACATCCGCCCCCCCAGCCTGAGCCTGTCCGGAGATGCCGCCATGGGGCGGAGCCTGGGTGGGACTGACCTGGGACTGGCCACGGCCACCCCGTCCTCCCTGCTGCGCGAGGGTTGAGTGGGTGGCAGTGGGCAGCGCCCACACTGGGTCTGGAGGACAGTGTGGATGTCGGCCTGTCGGCTCTGGGGACCTCACCCACCGTGGGGTCCTCAGCGGCCAGGCCGTGCTGCCCAGCGAGCTCTTGGCCTCCTTCCTGGCCAGGGATTGTGGGCTCCACTTTCTCACCTCCACTGGGCCCCCAGCCTGGTAACGGGGGCGTAGGTCTGTTCACAACCCCGGGCCACAGAGTCCCCCAGCAGGCTCTCTCCTCTGCTTCCTTTGTTTAAGAATTTATTTATTTGAAAGGCAGAGTTAGAGAGACGGAGAAAGAGAGACAGAGGGACCTTCCATCCACTGGTTCATCCCCCAAATGGCCGCCATGGCCGGGGCTGGGAGCTCCATCCAGGCCTCCCGCAGTGCAGCAGGGGCGCAGGCACCCGGGCCATCACCTGCTGCTTCACCAGCCTCAGACCCGTGGTTGTGCAGAACCCAGTGCCGCCGCCAGCCCCTCTCTCACCTTCCCTTCCTCCCTCCAGGCAGGTGAGGTCAGGTGGGGACTCCACGCTAGGGTCCCAGGCTCCCACAGTGACCTGTGGACCATGGGGGCCTCCCAGGGGGGCCCTGCTCTGCCTGAACCCCACAACCCCCTACACGAGTGCCCACGGCGCCCCGCCAGCACCTGTGGCAGCTCCGCCCTCTGACTCTGGCTGGCCGGGTCGCTGTGCCTGCAGGTGCCCTGGGCGGCAGGCGGGAGGCGGGGCCCGAGGCTGACGCGTCCCTGTTTGCAGGTGAAGGAAGACTGGAAGTACGTGGCCATGGTCGTCGACCGCATCTTCCTCTGGGTGTTCGTGGTCGTCTGCCTGCTGGGCACTGTTGGGCTCTTCCTGCCACCCTGGCTGGCCGGCATGATCTAGGCCCCAGTGGAGGGAGGCGCCCCCGCCGCTGGACGCCCACCTGCCCCCTCGCCCATGCCCGCTCCAGGCACGGCCGGGGAGGCCAGGCGGGCTGGTGAGTTCCGTCCAACAGGGCAGCATCACAGGCGACTCGGCCACCTGCTGGCCTGCAGAGGGGACTTGCCAGGTCCCGACCGCCCACTGCTAGCCCCACACGCCCCCTCGACCCCCTGGGACCCCACAGGCCTCCGAGGAGTTGAGGTCCTGGCCTCTGCTTCTGCCCTCCCCCCTCCCCAGTCCCAGGCCCGTCCTCCTTCCCCCTAACGTGCCAGGAGTGAGTTCCTGAGTTCTCCACGCTCTGCCCAGCGGCCTTGAAGGAAGGGGGAGGCACCCGGAGGGAATCGGGCAGCAGACCCCTCCCCCGGCAGCCCCAAGGGCACTGACATTTCATGACGTCCCAGGGTCTTGGGGGCTGCAGAGTGCCCAGGTCCCAGGTTCTGCCTCCGTGCACAGCCTGGGGACCCTCTCTGGGGCTGTAGAGAGATGCAGGAAGGACTTCCTGTCTCATAGGCCAGGAGAGGCCAGGGCTGCCTTGAGCCCAGCTCACGGGAACAGTTAGGGGCGGGGGCTGCAGATCTAGGGGTCCCTGGTCCAGCGTCCTGCCTCATCTGGGATGGGGTGCATGTGGGTACCTGCTGCCTGGAGGGGGGGGCCACGCCTCACCCCCAGACAGCATTTGGTGGGAGGAAACCCCCCCTGGGGCCACAGGAGTCTCTGGACCCTCACCAGCCGGGGCCAGGCTTGGGGCTGAGCCTAGGGCCTCGGTGGTCTCCTCCCTGGGGCAGCGCCTGGCTCCCAGGGCCTGAGAGGAGTGAGTGGACCTCTGAATGACGGCTCGAGGCCTCCAGCACCAAGCCTGGCTGGTGCCGGTACAGTGACACGGGCCTGTGTCAGCTGCATCTGCCCACACACACGCTCAGCTCCCTTGGGCACCGGGGACCCGCCTGCTGAGCTTGGACCTGCCTGGCTTCTGGGAGCTGTCCAGGCATCGACGCGCTGCGGACCCCGGGCTCTCAGGGCGAGTTCACCCCAGGACCACGGGGTGAGGCTGAGGACACCAGGCCTCAGAGGAGGGCATGGACACAGACCCCAGACCCTAGTCCATGCCACGTGGGCAGATCAACCGCCAGCCTCAGGAGGGGCCTCGCTGTGGGCGGGTGGCCAGTGCCCCTTGCTGGCCAGAAGACTGTGCCGCATGGACACTGCCGGCTGCCGGCCACCACTGGGACCCTCACTTCTGTCCCTTTCAGAAACGACAGAGATCCCAGCACCTAAAGCAAAGCCACGGCCACCCCATTGTCCCCCCATCCCCCGTCCCTATTGTCCCCCCACCCCCACTGTGCTGTCCACGGGCACCGCGCAGGCCCTCAGTTGGCTGAGAACTGGCGACGCCGCACCCAGGCCGCGCCTGCAGGCCCCCGTGCGTCCCCTCCCCCAGCTCCCAGATGCTCCTGTTCCGGAACCTTGAGTGGTGTCCAGGGCCTGGCCCTCAGTAGTCCCATGCTGTGCCCGGTTCCTCTGCCCCAGGGAAGGCGCTGTTGGCCCAGGCTTGGTGCCTGTGTCTATGCTGACCGCGTGCTCTCTGTGTGTCAGGACGCTGGCCTCAGGGGGCTGGTCAATCCCTTGTCCACCTCACAACAGCGTTTCCCACTCCTTAGAGACTGGCTGGGGTGGGTGGATGGCAGGAGCCTCCTGTGGGACCCCCAGGGTGGCACACACAGCCTGGCCCGGCCCGTGGAAGCCCCGGGACAGGACCCAGGCTCCCCAGCCGTCCTGCCTCCTGCCCAGCCCCGCCCACTGCTCCCTGGAGGCAATAAACCGTGTCAGGAGCTCGGCCTCTGGGGTCATCACTGTCTCCCCAGAAACCGGGGACACCCCGGCAGTTGCATGGGACTCGGCCAGTCTCCCTGCCGTCCACGTGGGCCACGTCCTGGACACCAGGCCCCGGGTGGCCGGCTCAGGTCCAGTGCCGAGGCTGCGGCCGCTGCAGCACACACGCTGTGCCCCTGCTGCTCACTCCCACGACAGCGGCTCCTCACCATCCGGCTGACCCCGGGCCCATGGGCGGTGCCCCCATCGCAGGCCGCTGGCCCCGCTCTGAGCCGGGGTCGGAAGCACTGTCCTTGGCACAGGTCCCAGCCGTGGATGCAGGCAGGGCCAGCAGGAGGCGCCCTGTGCCCCCCTCCTCCTGTGACAGCTGCTGCTGCCCTAATCCTGCTGACTCTCGCTGTCCACACACAGACCACAGCGCCCACGCAGGGCCATGCCCGCCCCTCCCCCACCCTGGCTGCACCGACTACCCTCAGTCTGCAGGGTGGGCCCTACCAGGCTCTCCCCCAGTGCTGCCCTGGCCAGGAGCCAGCCCCCCGCTCTGCAGGGCTCCGCCTGCGCCTGGACTGACCCGCCCCCCCAGGTGTGGACAGGACGCTGGGCAACACCAGTGCTTCCGGGGGCCCAGGCCTGGGCTCTGGGCTCCTGGAGGGGGCGCAGGTGGTGGCTGCCTGGACTGCCCAGGTGCAGGGAGCCATCAGCCCTGGCCCTGCTGAATGGTGCGGCTCCCGTCCACACCGAGGGCCTCTCCGTGTGGCTGCTGTCCCACAGCGGGTGGAGCGCATGTGTCTGACCGCATCCTGCAGGCACCGGTCCCGTGCTTCGGTACTCACAGGGCTCTCCCTGCACGCCGGTGCCTAGGCGAGAGGGTCCTGACAGCTCCCTCACCGCGGGGCCCTCTGTCCCGGCCACGTCCCTCACTGTGATGGCCCCTCTGTCCCGGCCACGTCCGTCACCGTGATGTCCCCTCTGCCCTGGCCACGTCCCTCACTGTGATGTCCCCTCTGTCCCAGCCACGTCCCTCTCTGTGATGTCCCCTCTGTCCCGGCCACATCCCTCACTGTGATGGCCCCTCTGCCCCGGCCACGTCCCTCTCTGTGATGTCCCTTCTGTCCCGGCCACGTCCCTCTCTGTGATGTCCCCTCTGTCCCGGCCATGTCCCTCTCTGTGATGGCCCCTCTGCCCCGGCCACGTCTGTCACCGTGATGTCCCTTCTGTCCCGGCCACGTCCCTCTCTGTGATGTCCCCTCTGTCCCGGCCACGTCCCTCACCGCGAGGTCCCCTCTGTCCCGGCCACGTCCCTCACTGTGATGGCCCCTCTGCCCCGGCCACGTCCGCCACCGTGATGTCCCTTCTGTCCTGGCCACGTCCCTCTCTGTGATGTCCCCTCTGTCCCGGCCACGTCCCTCACCGCGAGGTCCCCTCTGTCCCGGCCACGTCCCTCACTGTGATGTCCCCTCTGTCCTGGCCACGTCCCTCACCGCGAGGTCCCCTCTGCCCTGGCCACGTCCACTGCGGGTCCTGTGTGATCCTCTTTCCCCAGGTCAGGTTCTTTGCTGTGGTCCCGGAGGTGACAGCTGCTCGCCTGCACCTGTTCAGGGGCCTTGGCCCGGCAGGTGTCTGGGGGTCGAGAGGGGTCTCCTGGACGTGCCCTCCCCACACCGTGACCACGCGTCTCTGCTGCTGGGGTGAGAGCTACCCCCAGCCGTGGGTGCAAGACCCTGATTCTGGCTCTGTGCTGTCCTCTCCCTGCAAAACCCCTGCACCTGTAGGGGTCACCGGTCTGTCCTGGGGTCACCGCCGAGGGTCCTGCCCCGGGGCTGTGTTCTGGTTCCTTTTGGAACCTTTGGTGGTGCGGTAAGGCGGGGTCTTTGCTCACTCCTGTGTGGCTGTGAGGGGGAATGAGAGCCGAGTGCCCCCAGCCCCGTGCAGAGCCCTGGTGTCTTACAGCTCTGAGGTCCATCCCGTGACACGGAGCAGAAAGCCTCGCGTGAATAAAACGTGTGTCACTATGTCACTGTGTATGTCACTGCATGTCACTGCGTGTGTCACTGTGTGTCACTGTGTGTCACTGTGCATGTCACTGCATGTCGCTGTGTCACTGTGTGTCACTGTTACTGCATGTGTCACTGTGTCACTGTGTCACTGTGTGTCACTGTTACTGCGTGTGTCACTGTGCATGTCACTGCATGTTGCTGTCACTGTGTGTCACTGCATGTCACTGTGTGTCACTGTGCGTGTCACTGCATATGTCGCTGTGTCACTGCGTGTGTCACTGTGTGTGTCACTGTCACTGTGCATGTCACTGCGTGTTGCTGTCACTGTGTGTCACTGCGTGTCACTGTGTCACTGTCACTGTGTGTGTCACTGCATGTCACTGCATGTCGCTGTGTCACTGTGTGTCACTGTTACTGCATGTGTCACTGTGTCATTGTGTCACTGTGTGTCACTGTCACTGTGTCACTGTGCATGTCACTGCATGTTGCTGTCACTGCGTGTCACTGTGTGTCACTGTCACTGCATGTGTCACTGTGTGTGTCACTGTGCACTGCGCATGTCACTGCGTGTGTCACTGCGTGTGTCACTGGGACTTCTGCACCCCTCTGTGTGCAGATGCTGTCTGCCCCATGGAGGACCCCTCGTCCCTGTCCCCACGGCTGCTCTGAGCCTATGTGGGATCTCGCCCCAGAGCTCCTGGACTGGCTCAAAGGCGCCTGCAGACGGAGCGGCCCACGCGCAGCTGCTTGGGGTCAGCGGGGTCTGGGGTCCCAGCCTGCTCCAGGCCGTGGAGGGAGCTGCAGCGAGGGGCAGAGGGCGGGGCCGGGAGCCTCTGCTGAACGACAGCCTGGCTCCAGGACCCGAGGGGGGTGTGGGGTCTCGCCTGGGGGCCGGCACAGAGGCTGCCTCTTGGGGTGATGGGGCCGCTCCTCGGGGGCACTTCCTGGGAGCCTGGCACCCGGGGATGGGGTGTGGGGCGGGCTGCTGGCAGGAGGCACGGGTGTGCCAAGGCCCTGGGCGGGGGCGGCCTGCGGGGGCGGGGGTGCCTCAGGGTCTGGACTCAGCATACAGCCAGGATGACCTCCTGGGCCCTTCACTGCCCGCCATGGGAGACCACCTGCTGTGCTGGACAGAGCACGGCTTGAGGGCCTGAGAAAGGGTCAGGGAATCTGGCGGGAGCAGCTCCTCCCTCGCCAGCCACCCACTGCCCGCCCCCGAGACCGGGTGTTGCGGAGGCCTCCTGGGGCGTAAGCGTCCAGGGCGAGGGACACCGAGTGGCAGCTGTCAGTGGTTTAATTGGGCTTGGAAGCTCTACAGAGGGAAGGTCCCCGCTCTCCCCCGCCCCCCCTCAGCTTCTTCCCGAGGGCTCTTCCTGCCGGTGTCCAGCCCAGCCCAGGGCAGATGGCGCAGGGTCACTCGGGCAGCACATGGAGGGTCCTGGCAGGACAGAGGGGCATTAGGTGTGGCAGGGGCCCGGGGGAGTGCCCCACCCACCCAGGCCCTGCCCACCAGGCCCCGCCCACGGCCCCTGCCCACAGCCCCACCCATCTAGGCCCTGACCGTCCAGGCCATGCCCTCTGTCCCGCCCACCCAGGCCCTACCCATGGACCCCTCCATGGATCCTGCCCATGGCCCCACCCACCCAGGCCTCCTGCCCTGGCCGTGCTCTGGCTCCAGCACCCACTGGAAGATGGCAACCTGAGCCCACCTGCGCCTGGGCCCAGCCCCTCTGGTGAGTCTGCCTGGGGCATCACCCCAGACCCCGCCTCCCTCACCTACACACCCCAGGCTTCCCGGGTTCTCCATACTGAAGCCCCCATTGCCCCTCCCCTGGGCCCCTGCACCTGGGCCAGGTGTCCCTGGGTAAACGTGAGCCCCACCCCTGCTGCCACCCCTCCATCGTGGACAGAATGGCCCTGGCCCCTGGCAGCCCCGCGGCTGGACGGGGCTCCCACAGCCGCAGGCCACTCGGCTGGACTGAGTCAGGCTCCCCTCCCGTCCCCAGCTCCTTGAGGCCGGTCAGGGAAGGGAAGGATTCGGCAGGCCCCTGACAAACAGGAGACACAGCACATGACACAACATACATGCTGCATGCAACACATGATACATACAACACACAGCAATGATGCACTATACACAACATACATATGACATTCAGCAACACTACACACACCACAAGGCACATGACACAACACTCACTACACACAATACACACATGGCACATGACACAACACTCACTACACACAATACACACCACATGGCACATGACACAACATACATACAACACACACCACATGGCACATGACACAACACTCACTACACACAATACACACATGGCACATGACAACACTCACTACACACAATACACAACACATGGCACATGACACAACACTCACTACACACAATACACAGCACACAGCACATGACACAACATACATACAACACACAACATACACAGCACACAATACAACATACACAACACACAGCAACACTACATACAACACATAGCACATGACACAACACTCACTACATACAATACACACATGGCACATGACACAACACTCACTACACACAATACACAACACATGGTACATGACACAACACTCACTACATACAATACACAGCACATGGCACATGACACAACACTCACTACATACAATACACAGCACATGGCACATGACACAACACTCACTACATACAATACACAACACATGGCACATGACACAACACTCACTACACACAATACACAGCACATGGCACATGACACAACATACATACAACACACAACATACACAGCACACAATACAACATACACAACACAGCAACACTACATACAACACATAGCACATGACATAAAACATACATTACAACATACACATTACATAGAACATGCTACATCAAACACACTGCACACAACATATCACTACATACAACACATCATACACACTACACAGAACACATGGCATACAGCACACATAGAATATACTACACACAGCACATAACACACAGCACACCATACACAACACACTACACACAACAGAAATGAGATACCACAACAAACCACATACAAACATATCAGGCACACAAAAGACACAAACACACGAGACACAGACATTGCCCTCGCCCAGGGGTGCAACTCTGGTGAGGCCTGGCCATGCCCCCCATTGGTCTCTGCGCTCTCCATCTGGGCCTGTCTCTAGCTCCTGCTCCCTTGGCCGGCCCCTCCATCTGTCCACCTGTCAACCCCTCCATCATCCGTCCATCTGTCCGTCATCCATCATCCATCCATCACCCATCATCCTTCCACCCATGTATCTGTCCATCCATCCATCATCATCCACCCTTCCACCATCCATCTGTCCATCATTCATCCATCATCCATCTGTCCAGCCGGGACATCTATCCATCCACCCGTCTATTCTTCCATCATCCATCCGCCATCCACATGCCATTCATTGCCCATCCACCCATCCACTCATCCATCCGTCTGTCCGTCCGTCCATCCAGCCATCCACTCATCGACCGTCTGGTGCCTGGGGACGAGCTGATGGTCACCGGGCCAAGCTTCCTGTGGCCTCTGCACGAGGGGAGGGAGGGAGCGTGTGAGGAAGAGGCGGGGAGGGCAGCAGGGCAGCCGGGCTCTCGTGGTCGGGAGGGGCAGCTCCTGCTTCCTGGGGGTTGGGGAAGGGGCCCCTACAGGACCCCAGAGGCCCAGGCAGCTTTGACTTTCCCGTTGTGACCGAGTGCGAGGCTGGGCAGTGTCTCAGCAGGGATCAGGCCCCGCCCAGCCCAGGACTGGGCAGCACCTGCTCTGGCACCTCTGTCCACAGAGTGGCGGCGGCCACGGGCACGGGCTGCAGGAAGCAGGGCCTCGCTGTGCACAGCAGGGGGCCCCAGGCGCCCAGGCCCCTCCGGCCTTGCTGTCTCCTCCAAGATGGGCATCGGGGGCCTGGCAGTCTCCGGCAGGAAGGAGCTCAGCTTCAACACGTGTGCTGGGGGCGGGGACAGAGTCAGCAGGGGGCATGCAGGGACATGGGGACCAGGGGGTGGTGCCGGCACCGGCTCCTGGGCCTCACTCACCCTGGATGGCCGACTCGCAGGCCTGGCTCACCAGCTGGAAGATGGCTGTGAGGGACTGGGGATCCCCCTGCAGGAGACGGTGCTGCCTGTGGCTGAGCGAGGGCCCCCTGCAGGGACCCCCGGAAGCCGCCGACCCCCAGCCCCAGCCTTACCCACCTTCTCTCCTCGCTCTCCTTTGGGACCCGGCAGCCCCTGGTGCAGGAGGCAACGGGGGGCCGAGTCAGAGACCCCAGGCAGTGCCGGCAGCCACAGGCAGCTGAGGGTCCTGCCCATGCTAGGCCGGTGCCCACCGGAGTGACCGCGACCTGGACACCTGTGCCCCCGCCTGCCCCAGGCCGGACACCGCAGCAGAGAGTCCTGCGGGGTATTCTGGGCGTGCTGCCCAGATCAGCGACCCCCACCGCGGGCCTGGAGCCAGGCCGGTGCTGGCCCCTCCAGCTCCCTGGGGCCAGCAGAGCTGCAGGAGCCCCGCCCTGGGGCTGCCGGGATGGGGTGGGGCAGAACCAGCCCTGGCTCTGTGGAGTCTCACAAGCCCGACACGGAGCCCTGGCTGGGGCTTAGGACAGGCCTCTGTCTACGGCAGCCAGGGAGGGGACTTACCGTGGGCCCCACAGCCCCTGGGGGCCCTCGCTCCCCACTGGCGCCCCTGGCCCCCACCGAGCCCTGGAACCCCTGCAAAGGTGCAGAAGGGGCTTGGCTCCAGTCCTGGGGCCCCTCAGCTCCCCCTCCCTCCAGACCCCCTCCCTGTGGCAGGGCCCTCCCCGCTCCCAACCCCCAGCCTGGCCCAGGCCCCGCCTCCAGCTGCAGGGAGCTCCAGTGACCCAAGTGTGACGAGTGGGGCTCCCCAGGGGCAGCCTGCTGGCTTGGGACAACATCCCGGAGGCTCTGGCTGGCTCTCAGCTGCGCCCCGACTCCCACTCCCCAGCCTTTGCGCCAGGGACTGACCAGGGTGGGGGCTGCAACCCCACAGCCAGCCTGGCCCCGCCCGGCCAGGAGCCCAGGGGAGGCAGAGAAGGCATCGACCCCCAGGACACGAGCAGGACACAGCGGTGGGCACAGCGTCCACTCTCCCTCCCAGGCTGGCCCCTGTGCAGCCCCAGGGAGCCCCAGGGAGCCGGTGGAGCCAGCACCTACCCGGGGGCCGGGGGGGCCAGGCAGGCCAGCTGTGCCTTCCAGGCCTCTCATTCCCTGTGGGAGAAGGCGTGAGCTGGGGTGGGTCCCCCACAGCCTCCAGGGTGGCCGCCAGTCTAGCCGACCCCGTGATCCCACATGCCACACCACGCCCCCCCATGGTGACAGTGACCGACAGGGCCACCTCTCCCTGGGGCTGGCCTCAGTCCCTTCCTGCCTGGCCAGGCCTTGGGGTGGGGTAGAGGAGGAAGCCCCTCCCCAAACCCAACCCCAGCCTCCACCTCCAGGACCCGTGGGGGCAGAGCCAGTACCTTCGGTCCCTGGAGGCCAACTCTCCCGGGGGGGCCCTGTGGTCCAGGGTGGCCCTGGAACAGGACAGAGGGGGCTGCCAGGAGGGGCCGGGGTCACTCTCAGAGGACAGTCCTGCCCAAGGCCCTCACCGGCCCCGCACCTGTAAGCCGGGCAGTCCAGGGTCCCCCTTCTCTCCTTTGACCCCTGCTGGACCCTGGGGGTGGGGGCAGAGATGGACGGGGCGTCAGGGAGGAGGGAATGGCGGGGAAGGGGCGGGGACAAGGGAGGGAGGGGTCACGTACCACAGGCCCCTGGACAGTGCGGCCCTGCGTCCCCGGCGACCCCTGCTGACCTCCAGGGCCCTGAGGTCCAGTCTGTCCAGGTGGCCCCGGCTCTCCCTGGAGACATAGGTGGGGGAGGGCCTGAGCTGGCCCAGCCCCCGCGGCCCTCCTGTTCACCAGGGAGCGCAGTGCCCGGCTCTGCTCTGGGAGGGTTCCGCTGAGACCCAGCTGACGATGGCGGCAGAGGCTCCAGGCGAGGGCGGCTCTACCCAGCCCCTCTGGGGACAGCAAGAAACCCCCGGGGGCTCCAAGAGAGCGCAAATGCAGGGGGTGGGGTGGGCACATGAGGGGGACTCCGTAGGGACTCAGTGGGATGGGGGGGGGGCGCCTCCCCTGCAGAGGCTGGCGGCCAGGACAGGACGCCCTCCCCTCAAGGCAAGTGCAGGGCTGTGTGCAGAACTCTCCGGAGGCAGGAGCCCACCCAGGCCTGGGTGGACATGACTCAGGGCCACACGCCCAGCCAGGGTGAGAGGGGTCCAGGCCACCCCTTCCATTTGCCTGGCCTCTCAGGACCCCTGCCTGACTGTGGGGTCCTTTCTCAGCAGGTGCGATTGGGCCCAGCCCCCGGCTCCCCAAGGGTCACCCTGGGTCCTAAGAGGCAGGGCTGAGCCCCCAGCACCACCCAGCCCTGGGCCCAACCCCCAGGGCCACGACACCCTGGCCCACCCTTCCCTCTCACTGCCCGGCTCACAGATCTCACAGTTCAGACCCCAGCCCCCTCTAGGCGAAGCCCGGGGATCCCCTGCTCAGTGAGGGGCTTTGCTGATGCCTGCAACAAGGTCCCCAGCTCGGAGAGGCCCCTCCCTGGAGGCCTGGGCGGAAGGGGCACCCAGGATGGGCAGGCCACCAGCTCAGTCCTGGAGACCAGCTGCTCCTGGGCCTCCCAACAGGGACACGGGGACACGCAGGATCCCAGAGCGGGGGTGGTGGTCAGCGCCCTGTGCATGAAGCCAGGGTGGGGGAGGGAGGCCTGGCCACGGGAAGAGAAGGGCTGGGTGGAGACTCAGGGAGTGTGTCCTGCCTGCCCTAGGCAGCTGGGCTGTGGTGGGCGGGCCTACCCCACTTCCACCAATGGCAGCTTTAGGTCAGGAGAGGTTCCCGGACTCACGGGAGGTCCTTGGGGCCCTGGGGGCCCCGGGGTCTCGGAGGAACAGGTGCAGGTGGAGGGGAGAGCCGGGCACGTCTGTCCATCCCTCTGGAAGGAAAGAGGTCCTGCTCACTCATTGGCCGCTGTCCCTGCTCTGCCCAACCCTGGAGCTCAGCCAGGCAGAGCTGGGGCCAGACCCTCCCTCGGGGAGGGGGTGTGGAGGGCCTTCCCCTCCCCCACTGCCCTCGCAGCCCACAGCCAGGCCAGGCTCAGCACCAGGTGCGCCGGGCGGCTGCAAGGGCCTCTGTACACAATGGCCCAAAGCCAAGTCCTGCTGCGGCCTGGCCCTGCTGGCCTCTGCACCGTGTGGCTGGGTCCCCAGAGACCCAGCAACTGCTGGGCCTGGCCTGTCCCCAGGACTCCCACCCCCAGCCAAAGCCACCTTCCCCAGGAGGCCCGCCCTGATCTCCCTGGGACCCTGGCGTGGCCGTTCCCTTTGCAAACACCAGGCCCCGTGGCCAGGGCCACACTGCCACCTACCGCCGCGGGGAGCTCACAGCACCGGTCCTCGTCGGCCCAGGTGTCGCTGCACACGACCTGCAGGCTCTGGAGCTGGAACTGGGAAGCGGCGGAGTCAGCTGGACGCAGCCCCACCCGTCAGGCCAGCAGAGCCTGGCAAGCGGAGGCCCAGGCTCACCGCGGCCGAGCTGCTCCGGGGGCCCCGGGCCTTGGCCAGCCTGCCCAGGGTGATGAAGCCGTTGGCCGGCGGGCTTCCTGCCTCCCCGATGGGCCTCTCGGCCACCTTGCGACAGTCCACGTACAGCCTGACCCTCGAGCGGCCCACAGCCACGTGCACCTGACAAGACAGCACAGCGGGCTCCCGAGGCCGGGCCCCCACTCCCCCCGCACTCTGGGAAACCCCTCCCCAGGCCCTGCCCGGGACCCTGCTGCAGGGCCTCCCAAAGAGAAGGGCGGGGACGCTGTGACCCAGAGCACGGCAAGGACCACAGGACAGAGGGCAGAGGCCAGGGGGCAGAGGCCGGCGGGGAGAGCGGGGAGAGCGGGGCAGGGGCCCCGGACAGGCCAGTTCCCGGGGCCGGGGCCGGGGCCGGGCGGGCGCTGCGGCCTTGGCAGGACCTTGTGGAAGCTCCCGAAGAAGATCTTCCTGACATCCTGCAGGTCGAAGGTCACCTCCTGCAGGGTGGCCCGGGTGTCGTGGCTGAAGTAGGTCAGCGACTTCCTGCCGGCTGGGCGGGGGAGGGGCGGCAGTGAGTGCCCGTGCGGGCAGCAGCCAGCCCACGCCGCACCCGAGCCCTCGGAGGAAGCCTGGGGGTGTCCCAGGCGTGGACAGCAGAGCGAGCGGCTTCCCTGAGGATGCCCGGCTGGAGGTGCCCCGGGCATGGATGGTGGCCCCCGCTGGGGCGGCGCTGACTCCCCTGGGGCTGCCCTGAGCTCCTCGGAGCATGGCCCCGCCCCCAGCCCCACAAGTCTCCCCCCGCCCACCCGGAGGGGACTGGGGGCCCAAGGTCACCGTCCAGCAGCACCCCCAGGACTGGCTGCAGGTCCTCGGCCGTCATCTGCCACAGCGCAAAGGCCTCACGGGGCGTCTCGGGGAGCAGGCGCGCCAGGAAGACGACCGTGTGCTCCGGAGGCAGGGCGGCCAGCTGGACGTCGCTGCGGGCACGGCCAGGCCTGAGTGGACAGCAGGGCAGCCCAGGCCCCCAGCCCTGCCGCCCGAGGCTGCTCTGCCGGCCATGGGGGACCCCTGCATTCCCTGTCCAGCTGCAAACAGAGCTCGGAGCCCAGACTGGTGGGGTCACAGGGCAGGGGTCTCCCAGGACACACCGGGAGTCCCCATGAGTCTCACGGGGCAGGTCAGGTACCTGGGACGTCGGGAACTCAGCAGGAAGAGCCGGAGGCACCTGGCCCAGCACACAGCCTCCGCCTCCCCCCAAGGCCTGGGGGGAGGGGTGGGGCCGGGGGAGGAGAGCCTGCAGCCCCCTGCCCGCAGTGGAACTCCCACCCCACCCCCACCCCGCTCCTACCAGACCAAAGGCCAAGGAGAAGGAAGGGGGCAGGTGATGGAAACCTGGATCAGCCTCGATGTGCCCAGCGATGGGTCGATGGGTCGGTGCCCAAGAGCAGGTGGATCCAGCCACGCCTGCCACACCCACCACACCCACCACACCCACTACACCTGCCACACCCACTACACCCACTACACCTGCCACACCCGCCACACCCACCACACTCGTCACACCCACTACACCTGCCACACCCGCCACACCCACTACACCTGCCACGGCCGCCACACCCACTACACCTGCCACGCCTGTCACGCCCGCCACACCCACCACACCCACTGCACCCGCCACACCTGCCACACCCACTATACCTGCTACACCCACTACACCTGCCACACCCGCCACACCCACTACACCTGCCACGCCTGTCACACCCACTACACCTGCCACGCCTGTCACGCCCGCCACGCCCGCCACACCCACTACACCCGCCACACCTGCCACACCCACTATACCTGCTACACCCACTACACCTGCCACACCCGCCACACCTGCCACACCCACTATACCTGCTACACCCACTACACCTGCCACGCCCGCCACACCTGCCACACCTATGCTGCTGCCAGTCCAGTGGGGAGAAAATGCACTGGGAGAGATTCTGGCCCCTGAGCCTGGGGCGGGGCCCTGTGACCAAGCCCCACCTGGCCTGCAGGGTCACCTCTGACGCCTGCTCCCCGGCCGTTTAATGTCCTCGTATAAACGTTTATGTCTTCATTGTGGAATTCCTGCGAGCCAGCGTGGCTCCCCTTTCTGGCCAACGCGCCCTAGGAGCGGCTGTGATGTGGGTGGTCCGAGTTTCTGGTTTACCACAGCCCTGTGTCCAAGGGGCCCTCAGGGACGTGGAGCTGGCAGGTTGCTCTGTCCGGGGCAGGAGCAGAGAGTGGCCCACAGCAGGACACGCTGTCCACCCCTCCTCCGGCCACAGTGCGACGTACGCCAGGGTCTCCAGGGCTGCTGGGCCCCGGGAGCCGCCGCCTGCCCTGCCTGCCAGGGTGGGGGTGTCTCCTCCTCATGCCCGTGCCCTGCCCACTGCGGGTCCCAGCACCCTCTGCCCTCGAACCTGGCCCTGCGGGTCAGCTGAGCATCCTTGAAGAGCGTGAAGGTTGGAGTCCCGCCCAGCGCCGAGGGCTCCATGGCCACGCCCCGGAGGGACGCGTACTCCTTCCCCACCAGGCCAAAGGCCACCATCAGGTCGAACCCTGTGGGACTCGGAGGGAATCCAGGGACCACCTGAGGGTGGGGGCGGGGGGAGGCAGGGAGCAGGGGGTGTGGGGGAGGGGCGCCCTGGGGCTGGGGAGGGACGGGCTTCTGCCTGGGTCAGCACGGAAGGAAGGCCCCACCCCTTCAAGGCCCCTTTCCAGTCAGCAGCCCCTGGTCCCTGTGCGGGCTCAGAGCAGCTGCGGCCCCAGCACTCACGGGGCCCTCACCATGGGCTCTGGCCACTCCTCCCTGTACCTGGGGCGCCGTCTCTGCTCAGGGAAGCCCCCCGCCCACGTCCCTGAAGCCAGGTGGTGTCCACTCAGCCTCTCCCTGGGGGCGGAGGCTCCCAGCCCTGAAGGGCAGGGCGGGACCTACCTGGCAGGAGGCCGTCTGTGTGGAGTGGGGGGCAGGCTGCTGGGGGGCAGAGAGCAGGGTGAGTGGCAGGGGCTTGGGCCCCCCATCCCGTGCCCCAATGAGCCACCGTAGGGGGCTTCATGGGCAACGGCCACCCCTCCCACAGCCCACGGTGGCCTCTGCCTTGTCCCTATCTGCTGCCCGCAAGGCCTGGAGTGGGGACGCAGGGACGGGACGGTGCCCGGCCTGTGCCAGGGAACACACAGTCCAGTAGGGCTGAGGCCGAGGCCAGGGGCCCCTGGGTACTGCACCCTGGGAGGGTCGTCTGATGGCTGCCGGCTCTGGGGGGCTGGGCCGCATGGGAGGCCAGGGCTGGGGTCCCAGCGCCCACTCACCAGTGCGGCCCGTGGCTGCCACAGCCACACTGTCCCCTGACGCGTAGACGGCTGAGACCAGGACCCGGTACTTGGTGGCAGCCAGCAGGTCCTGCAGGGTTGCGTTGTTCCTGGTCCCTGGCACAGAGATCTGGGGGGGCGGGGTCACCTGAGCACCGGGCCTCGATCCCACCTCGGAAGATGGGTGATGGGCGGTCCCACACCTCCGGAGACTCACCGACCGCTCTGGCCCTGAGCCGGAGGCCGGCGCATAGGAGAGCCGGTAGTGGAGGACGTGGCCATGGGGTGGTGCCCAGCTGGCCTGCAGGCTGCTGGGGGTCTCGGAGGCCAGGGCCAGGCTGGATGGGGGGCTCCTGCTCACTGCGGCTGGGGGAGCACACCTGGGTGGGGCTCGGGGCCTCCAGGGAGGGCTAGAGGACCAGTCCAGCAGCCCCGACCCAGAGCGGGGGGCCTGGAACCTGCTGGCACCATGGGCTCCCCGAGCCCCGCTGCCCGAGAGGCCCCCCCGCAGTGGCGGGTCTCCCAGGACAGGGGTTTGGGCCCTGGCCCACCCCAGGCGCACCTGAGGGGTCCCAGGCCTGTGGAGTGGGTGAGTGGGGTCCCCTGGGGTAGGGGAGGGGTCACCTACAGGGGGTGTAGTGGAGGGACACGGGGTCACTGCGTGCGCCGTCCCTGTGGTAGGCCCGCATGCTGATCTGGTGCTCTGTCTGCGTCCCCAGGCCCTGCAGGACGGCGGTGGCCAGGTTCCCTGGGACGGAGAGCTGGGGGAGAGGGCTCAGGGTCCACCTAGCTCAGCCGGGCCTTGCACACAGGTGTCCCCGACATGCACGACCCGGCTGGGTCCACACGGGGCCCACCCCGGCCCGCTCCCACTCCACACCTCGTGGGCCTTGCCCTCTCCCAGGGGCGTCCACTTGATCTGATAGACACGGACGCCGGACGAGGCTGCAGCCGCCCACGACAGCTGGACCGCACCCCCCGGCAGCTCCGTCACCGACAGCCGGCTGGGGCCAGGGGCCTTCTCTGGAACAGGGAGGGGCTGTCTGGGCACCTGCTTCCTACTGCCGGCCCCGCCCAGCACCAGCCCATCGCTCACTCGTGGTCACGTGGCCGGTCAGTGTGGCAGAGCTGCCCCCAGGGTAGAGGCAGCTGACGTGGACGGTGTACCTGGTGGAGGAGCGGAGGCCCTCCAGAGTGGCCGAGGTGGCGTTCCCGGGGACCTCCACCTGCAGAGGGGACACGGGCAGCCCAGAGGGATGGAGAGCCAGGCCCTACAGCCAGGACAGGCCTGGGAGCCCACGTGCGCAGTGGGCAGGAACTGGCACAGGATCAGCCCACTGCGCCCCGGGCCCGGGCCTGGGCTGCCTCCCCACACCGGGTGCCAGGCGTCCCTCACTGTGGCCCCACTGACGGTGACCCCGATTTCTCTGCTCCCGCCTGCACCCTGCCTCAGACACCCACTGCACTTGGGCCCTGGAGGCCGAGCCTAGGGAGACCCCCGTGCAGGATGGAGGGGTTAGGGTGGCTGCAGGAGGGGCTCAGGGGTGGGGCTGAAGGCACTGGGCCATGGGTGGATGCCAAGTCCCTCTGTGACCGCCCAGGACACTCAGGCCCCCGTGGTCTGCTCTCACCTGGCCTGAATGGCCGCCCTCGCTGGAGACGTAGCTGATCCTGATAAGCCTTGGCGGGGCCTCCCAGGACACGCGTGCCCAGGACACACGTGCTGAGTCGTGGTTCACGTCTGTGAAGCCCAAGTCCCTCAGGGCCTCCAGGGCAGCTGCGGAGCACAGCACGGCCTCAGGAGGGGTCTGGGGTCCCAGCCCCGTGGACAGCTCAGGAACCAGAATGGGGGAGGGTGCAGGCGGCCTGGGGCGGCACACTCACGGGTCCTGGCGTGGACTGCCTGGGCCTCACTGGCCTCCACCCCACGCAGGCTCTGAACGGTCACCTCGTAGTCCCTGCCTGGCTCCAGGCCGTCCAGCAGCACCTGGGGCTGCGTCACCCGCACCTGGAGGGCACAGCGCTGAGGCCACTGCCCCGCCCGTCTGTCTGCCCCGCCCCGGCGCCCCATACCTCTCTCGCAGTCTCCTGCTCGCCCCTGGGGGCGGTGGGTGAGCACCGCACTAGGTAGCGGGTGGCCCCGGCCGAGGGCTGCCAGGTGAGGTGGATGCTCCTGGGTGTCACTGCAGCCGGAGTCAGCGCCCGGGGCGGGGGCAGCGGTGCTGGGGGGGGCGACCACCGTAAGGGCCCTGTTCTGATGACGGAAGGGCCCCACCGAGTCCGGGCCAGCGGCGCCTGGCTGGACGCACGGGGGCGGGGCACGGACGCCCAAGTCGCTGTCCCAGCTTCCCCATGGCCTGAGCGTCCCGGGCCACCCCAAGGTCCTGTCTGGGGCCTTTCGCCCTGAGCAGGGGAGGGACGTGGCTTCCAGCGGCTTAACGGCCACATCCGTGTGGACAGAGAGCTGGGGAGGGGTGGTCCCACCTACCTGTGGTCACCAGGCCCTGCAGGCCCTGGCTGACCCCGCCCTCGTGGACAGGACGCAAGGAGACCAGGTATTCAGTGCTGGGGGCAAGGTTGTGCAGCTCGGCCGAGGACGCGGGCCCCTCCACCACCACCTGGGACAGAGGGACAGACAGGCAGGAAGTGACCGCTGGGGCCGGCGGGACGCCTCGCCAGTGCACGGGTAGGGCACGGGACACTGCCCTCCTTGTCCTGTCCCCAGCACCCGACGCATCCCATCCTGTGCTGTGCTCACCCCTGCACTGGCCCCCGCTGCTTCCACAACCGTGTTCTGGGGCATCTGCCTCGGTTCTCAGCATGGACGCGGTCATTGGTGACCCCTGCCCAGCCTTGGCAGTCCCCGGCCCCTCTCACCTCCTGGGGGGCCCCGCCCCTGGAAGGCCGCCACACGATCAGGTACTTGAGGGGCGGCTGTGCGGCTGGAGTCCAGGACAAGAGAATGCTGGAGGAGGTCACCTGGGCCACGACCAGGCCACTGGGCCCGAGGAGCGGGTCCGGGGCCGTCTGTGGGACTGGTGTGGAGGCCGCAGTCAGGGGTCTCAGCCGAAGTCCACTACGAGCTCTGCTTGCGCCCCCTGGTGGCCACATGAAGAGGGACAGGAAAATCGGCCCTCCCGGCTGCCCTGGACAGTCCTGGGGGTGGCGGGGGCCCCGGGGGTGCTGACGGCCCCGCCCTTCACCTGTGCCCCTGGGCAGGCCCCTGGCCTGGACTTTCTGGCAGATGAGGCGGCTGAGCAGGCCGGCCAGAGTGCGCAGCTGCGGGAAGTCCAGGACACTGTGCACCGTGAGGTCCAGCGGTGGGGACGCCAGGAGCTTCAGCTCGGCCTCATCTGCGTTCTTCACACCTGCGTGCAGGGCCCCCGGGCTGAGGCTGGGGCGTCCAGGGGGAAGTGGGGGCTCTGCCTCCACAACTGACCCATGGCACAGAGCGGGTGGGTGGCCGGCACAGGGGCCAGCCCTGGGGCTGCTCCGGGCTGAGGGGGACCCTGTGCTGCCTGGCCCTCCCCAGCCCGGGGATACAGAAGCCAAGGCCCAGAGGACACGGCGGGGCCACGGCAGGGGAGGAGTGAGAAGCCCGACCAAGGGCGGGGCCGCCTGGGACTCACCCACGGCAAAGACATCAACGTCCATCTCCCTGAGGACGCGGGCAGCCGCACGCACGTCATCCTGGGACTTGCCGTCCGTCACCAGGAGCACCACTGTGGCCGCCTCGGGACGCAGCCCAGCCTCTGGCCTCAGGTTCTGGTCCAGCAGGTGGGCCAGGGCGAGGCCTGGGGCCATCAGGAGCGAGGTCATGGGAGGCCCGGGCACCCTGCCTCCAGGCACTGTCCCCACAGCGAGCATGGGTCCTGGGGCACCCTGTCCTGGGCCGTCCTGCCTCTTCATGCTGCGGGCGCCAGGGGGGCAGAAGGCCCCTTGCCCTTGGCTGCCAAGGCAGCAGCCCCCGCGCCTGCCACCCGCCAGCACCCAAGGGTGCAGAGCCGACCAGAAACTGGACCGCAGGAGCCCCAGCTGGGGAGAGCACCCGGCAGAGGCAGGGGGTGTGGCCTGGGGTGTTTCCTGGGCAGGGCGCGGAGCGGCCGCACCTGTGAACGTGTTCCCGCCCTTGTAGCGCAGGCGGCGCATGGCGTCCTGCACCTGCTCGTTGCTGCCGAAGGAGTTCAGGGCCCACTCGGTGCGGGGGTCTCCGCTGTACTGGGTCAGGCCTGGGGCAGAGGGGGCAGCTTCCAGGGCTGCCGCACGGCGAGGCACTGCTCCCAGCCAGCAGAGGGAGGCCAGCCAGGGCAGCACAGCACGGCCGAGGCCGTGGTCTCCGCCCAGGGGGCCGCGGGAGGGGCGGGCCTGGCCGGGAGCACCCACCTACTTGCACCTTGTCCGGCCCAATGTCAAAGGGCGCGATGACACTGGCCAGGAAGGCCTTGACCTGCTGGAAGTGGACGTGGCCGACGCTCCAGGAGCCGTCCACCAGGAGGACGATGTCGGCGGGCGTAGGGGGTGTGCAGCGGAACTGGGAGTCAGCTGCGTTGGGGGAGGGGGAGGTGCTGGGCCAGGCTCACTACCACAGCAAGACCCCAGACCCTCTGGGCCCAGCTCCAGCCCCCTGGGGCTTCCTGGGGAAGGGGCCAGTGGTCCTCAAGAGTGAGGTGAGCCTGGGCCCCAGGTACCGGGGTCCCGAGGGCCTCAGGGCTCCCCAGGTTTGGAAAGCCCCACGTGGCCCCTGGGCGGTGGTCTCGGCCAACTGGACCATCCCCCGGCAGCAGAGGGTGGACACCGATGGCTGACGATAACCCACGGCACATGGCCACCCCTGCCCTCCCACCCGCACCCCGGGGGCTGACTCGGGGTCAGCACTGCAGACAGTGCCAGGCACCCTGTGGAGCTGTCTGGAGACCAAGCACCCACCTCGGTCCAGGCTCCCTAGTGTTGCCCAGACAGATCCAGGGCAGACCCCAGGGAGACCCCAGGCGTGGTCACAGTGGCCCCTTCCCCAAGTCCACAGTCCAGCCTGCCCTCAAGGCTCTGCCCTGTGTCGCGGGGACTAGGAGGGGCCCAGTACGGTGAGGGGGGCAGGCCCCACCTGAGGGCCACGAGCCATGGACGTGCGAGTTCTGGGGGACACGGCCCTGCCTATGGGGGCCATGGCAGACTGACGCCCCCCATCTGTCTGTGCCCCACCCTCTCACCAGGGTCTGGGCTGGCTGGGCAGGGCCTTCCCCCCCGGGGCCCCCCTGGGCCAGCTCCACGTGGGCACCTCTGGGGGGTCCTGTCCATCACCGCCCAGCTCCCAGGCCCAGGCTGGGGGTCAGGCCTGGGTGTGGGGAGGCCCAGGAGCCTGACAGACGAGCCCAGGCCAAAGCGGGGGAGTGTGGGGCCAGGTGGGAGGTGGGACTTCCTGGCCCACAGAACTCACGCTCGCTCCACTTGGGCCCCCCGAGCGTAGGCGGACCCTTGCTTGGGGGGCCTCCCAGCTCCCGCGGCTGCTCAGGGTCTGGGCTGCCCCCGCCGGTGGGGCTGGGCTCCTGGGCCACGCCCCTGCTCACCGAGCTGCTCCTCAGGGCCTGGACTGCAGCCGGAGGGGAGGACAGTCAGGGGCCCTGAGGGCTGCCTGCCCACCACCCCCCACAGGCCCCGGGGATGCTGGGGGAGGAGGTGTGGCCGCGGCGGCCTCAGGATCCAGGGTGGGAGTCCAGGGGGGACGAGGACTCACTGACAAACTCCCGCCGAGCCAGCAGGACGGGCCCCGAGCCCGTGAGCCGGAACACCTGTGCGGCATAGGCCTTGGAGGGGCTCAGGCCCCCCACAGTGGCCCTGGGGGTCTTGGTGGTCAGCTTCACCTCCTGCTCCGCGTCCCCTGGGGGTGGGAGAGGGCGGGCGTGAGGTGTGCACGTGTGTGGGTGGGGGGAGGGGCGCCCTCCAGGCAGCCAGACCTCCAGAGTGGGAGGAATGGCCCCTCCAGACCAGGCGTCCGTGCCCACCACGGCTGAGAGAGCAGGGGCCCAGGTCCAGCTCTGCGCTGCCTGTCGGAGGCAGGGGAGCACGGCGGTCACTGATCGCTGACCTTCCCTGAACACCCGCTGTGTGCCTGGCACCCCCAAAGTACGTCAGCGGGAAACCCATTTCACACACGGGAAGGCTGAGGCACAGGGGACCAGCACACAGCTACTCAGAGCAGGACACTGCCTGGCTCCGCCAGGCTCCCGAGCCTGGACAGTGCCACCCTTGGAGAGGCCACGAGGGCATGAGGCTCCACCCCTTGCCCCCTGGGTCAACACTGCCATTGTGGTGGGTGTGCAAGGCCACCAGCCTGCAGTGCAGCGTGGACAGGGTGACACGCGTGGGACAGTCCAAGGGCCTGGTGATGCCTGGGACAGCATCAGAGTCGCTGTGTGCACTCAGGGTCTGGCCTGGACGCTGGGCAAGTCCTTAGCCAGCGGAGAACACGGGCGGCATTGTCCCTGGGAGACCCTGGCCGCAGAGTCAGGGACGGGCACCAGCCCCTCCCGCAGGCCAGGGGTCCCCAGAGCAGAAGTGAACACAGCTGGGCAGAGGGGTCGGTGCAGCGCGCAGCGCCCCCCCACAGGACACAAGGCACCCAGGCCTCAGCACCGGCCGGCCAGGCCTGGCTGTGCCGATGGAATGAGACAGCTGAGGAACGATGGCAGGGTCAGGGTGGACACTGGGGTGGCAGGGTCGGGGTGGACATTGGGTGGCAGGGGCCGGAGTGGACACTGGGGTGGCAGGGGCCGGGGTGGACACTGGGATGGTAGGGACTGGGGTGGACACTGGGATGGCAGGGGCCGGGGTGGACATGCGTGGCAGGGGCCGGGGAGCAGGGGAGTGGACATGTGGGGGCTGGAGAGCTGGACGGCCCCGTCCGGGGTGTCCACGCCTGCACCGCTCTGCGCCCACTCAGACGCTCGCACTGCTGTCTCCTGTGCGGGTTAAGCCCCGGCCCTCGCCGAGACCGGAAGCAGCAGCCCCACAGGACCCTCTGCAGCAAACCGCGGCCCCGCCCCCCAGACAGGGCTAGCAGGGGCCAGAGCTCCACCCACAGAGTCGGGCTGTTCCCAAGCCTCCCCCCCCACCCCGCATGCCAGGCACGGGCGGGAGAAACCTGCCCCCCTCGCAGGAGCAGGGACAGGCGAGAAGGTGGACACAGGCCTCGTACCTGCCAAGGGCTTCACCTGCACCAGGTAGCCCAGGCCGCTGCCCTCTACCTCTGTCCACTTCATTTGCAGCCGGTCCTCGGGCAACACAGCCAGCCTCAGGTGGCCACTCGCTATACAACGAGGATGTGGTAGTCAGGGCTGGCCCCGGTGGGCTCGCCTCTGCCTCCACCCAGCCAGCTGCGGGGGCTTCAGGGGCACCTGCCCTAGGAGCTGAGAACCTGGCCTCTTGGGGGTGCACGGGGCCAGACCCCTGGTGGTCTCTGGGGGGTCTGGCTGCCCCCAGGGCGGGCCCCTCTAGCCCCAGGAGGCCCAGGCCAGCGCCCGGGAGGGAGAGTGACAGCCCTGTGAGACCAGAGGCCTGAGAGGCAGCAGCCACTGGGCCCTGGCTGGACCAGCGTCCACGCAGCTGCAGACCCAGACCCTGCACCGCTCACGCCACACACGAGCTGCCCAGGCCACGGCTGGGGCACGCGGCCCTGGGGGCAGAGGCTCCCAAGCTGGTGGCTGCCTGTGTCCCTGTGCACAACGCAGGGTCCGCGTCCGTGCACACGCATGCGTGAGTGCCGCACCAGCATGTGCACAGCTCTGCCCTTGTGCCGAGGCCGGAGGGGGAGGCCTCGGCCATCTGGCGAGAGCAGGGGGCAGGGGTCTGGGCCGGCCTCGGGGAAGCTTCCGGGGGCACGGGGTGGGGAGCAGCTATTTTCAGAAAATGGGGACAGAGCTGGGGCTTCTTCTGGCCGCCCCGCTGAGGACCACGGGGCACGGGTACACAACGGCCCATTCAGAGTGGGCGCAGCTGGGCTGAAAGGCCAGCCTGTGTCGGGGGGCCTGAGGAGCAGCCCCCAGCCTGCTCCTCCACTGGGCCCACCCGAGCTCCCTTCTGGGGCCAGCCCACGGGAAGACCCCACGGGGGGCTGCCCCCTCCCTTCGTGGCCACACCCTGCAGGCCACGGGGAAGGGCCATCTGGTGTGGACCCCACCCCAGGGAGCGGCACCCCTGCTCTGCCTGAACCCTTTGGACTGGGCCAAAACTGACCATGGAGGTTCCTTTCTCCGTAGGGCCTGTCCCACTGAGAAGGCCCAGGGACTGCCCGCCTGACAGGCACAGCGCCACGCCTGGGCAACTCCCCCATTCCTGGGGCCCTGCCCCATCTGGGCCTGACTCCCACCACAGAGACCGCAGCGGAGGCCCAAGGGGCACAGGTGCAAGCCAGCCTGGAGGCCGGAGCACAGCAGCCTCGGCAGGAGCCTGGCTGTGAGGGGTCCCGGGACCCAGAGCCACTGACCGGAACCCACCTGAGCCACTGCTTCTCAGTGGGGACCCCACCCCACCCCTGCCTCTGGGGGCTCGCACACACGGTGGGCGCGCGTCACCCTAAAAGGGAAGCCACTGAAAAGCCCAACAGGAAGTGGCCACGTGGAGGGGATGTCCAGAGGCCCTGACCGAGGACGAGGCGTGCGTGGGACGTGCAGGGGAGGGGCGGCTCTCCTCTGCAGACCAGTGCTGGGGGTGGCTCTCGGCAGGGCACCGGGACACACGGAACTGCACACACGCCATGTTTACAACAGAACCTCCCCCAACGCAGCCCGGGTTAAGCCCAAAGCCCAGTGGGGAGGGGGCTGGGCCACGGCAGACCTCGCCTGGCGTCCTGCCCAGAGCCTTTGTCGGCGCTGCTCGGAATCAGCTTGGGGGCCCAGGGCAGACGTGGCCTGGTCAGGTGGGGCCCTGTCCCCAGGAAGCAGCCCCCTCCACTCACCTTGTCCCCCACGTCCCAGGGTGGTGGCCAGCCAGAGGCAGAAGCTGAGACAGAGGCAGGGGCTCCTGACAAGGCCTGCGAGGAGAGGAGTCGCTGTGGCCCTGTGGCCGCCGCCTGTCCACCCGCCAGACCCCTCCCTGACCACAAGCCACAGCTCCTCACCCGTGCCCCCAGCTGGCCAGGGCCGAGGACCTGAGGCTGGAGCTGAAGTCGGCAGGAGGGCTGCTCACAGCCACACAGCTAGAGCGGCTGCGCGAGGACAGCGCCTCCTGTGCGACCACCCCATGCCCGGCACGGGCGGTGGCCAGAGGGCCCGTCCATGGGCTCTGGTTTGTGGGTGACCCGGGCTGTGGAGGGCTGGGAGTGGAGTCCCTGCCAGCCCGAGCCTCAGCCCAGCAATCGAAGGGACCTGGTTCAGGTGCCGGAGAGCGGCCCAGCGACAGGGGTGGGCAGGGAGGCCCAGAGGCCGCGTCTCAGGTACTGAGTGCCTCTCGCCTCAGGTACTGAGTGCCTCTCCACTGGGCTGGGGCCGTGGGAGGCCAGGTGACCCGACTCCCACCTGCACCTGCGCTGCAGGGAGACCCCAGGGGGCGGGCTTGTACCCACCTGTGGGCTCCCCTGGTCCTCCCAGGCCCCGTCTGAAGGCTCCTCGCAGCCCGTGCTGTGTGTGTCCCCTCCCCAGGGACCCCTCAGGCCCTCAGTGTCCACACCAGGGCAGGAACCCCTCCCTGAGGGGTAGGAGCAGCCACCCACCCCCGATGTGAGCTTCCTTCCAGGGAATTCAAATCAAGGTCCCAGAGGGGCCCAGTGACTAGCGACAGGCAGGACAGACCCAGGCCCTGGCGTCCTGGTTGGGAGACCCCTACCTGTGGGCACATCTCTAGATGACCAGAGACCCCAGGTGCACGCCCCTGAGCATTCGCTGGGTACGTGGCCTCTCCCACCCAGAAAACTTTCAGGCACAGTGGACATAGCCATGAAGACAAGCCGGGCGCTCTGAGTTTAAAACCCCAGGGCTCAGCCAGAGCCTGGGGCAGCCCCTTGGGGAGTTCTCCCAACCCTCCCCAAAGGTCAAGGTCAGCCTCGGACCATGGACCTGGCATCCCACCCCCACCCCACCAGGCCCCAGGCCTGCAGGTGGCACCGACCTCCTCCGTCGTCCATGGACAGTGTCCCTGGTCAGCTTGGTCCTGCTGTGGCCGCAGCGAGGCAGGGGCTCAAGGGAGGCCCCTCAGACGTCACAGCTCAGCCCAGCCCCCACCTCCTCCCTAGCCCTGGCTCCACCCTCCCTGACCACTGCCCAGGGCGGTATCTCGGACAAGGAGGGACACAGTGGTCCCAGCGTGACAGCAGGCCGGACGCCTGCTCTGCAGAGCAGTGGCCCCGGGCCAAGAGCAGGCAGACACCTGGCGCCACCTGAAGGCAGCAGGTGGGGGCTCCTCCGGGCCCCCTGGCCAATGGCAGCAGGGGCCACTCCAGCCTCCCTGTCCTCCAGGGTTTTCCACAAGCCCTCAACAGCCCCGCCCAGGACACCTTGCAAGGGCTGTTTTCCCCGAGAGCCACCGTGTGCCCCACCCTCCCCCAGCTCCTTCCGACGGCATGGGCTCCTTGCCGGGGTCACCCCTGCACCTCGAGCCTGCACTGTGTACCAGGACGCAGCAGGGCCAGCCCTGGGGTAGTGAAGCTGTGGTCCCCCGAGACCCCCACTAGGTCAGTCACAGGCCCCCGGCACAAGCTTGTGTCAGTGCGTCCGGTCCACCATGGGGACACCCAAACACCCCCACGGTGCTCTCAGACCACCGGTGATGGCAGGGCCTAGACAGGGAGACCCTGGGGCCAGGGGTGGGGGAAGTCTTGCAGCCCCCAAACCCAGAGCTCTCCCCCTCCACGGGTGGGGTCAGAAAGGGCAAGGCAGGGACCCACAGAGACCCGCTGCTTTCCCGCCAGGCCACACCGGATGGCTGGGAATGGGCGCAAGGCGGGGCAGCCACACAGGGAGGCAGCTCCCAGGCCACTGTCCACACACGCTCCCGACAGGCAGGGCTCCATGGCTTCAGCCTGGCCTGTGACTGCCACCTTTGCCTTATCGTGTCCTGCAGCTCATCCACCCTGAAGTGCTGACCAGGACAGGACCCTCGGGTGGCCACCGGTGGGAGACAGCGGATCCCAGACACAGGCTGGGGTGAGCCGAGGCCACGTTCCTCCACCGCCGCTGCCTGCCAGACCCGGCCCAGGGGCTGACACGCACTGCGGGGGGAACCTGGGCCCCCCAGAAAGGCCAGGGAGGCAGCGGTCCTGCCACATGGGGACGGCCGGAGCGGCGAGGACACTGGCTCACGACTCGGCTTCCGCAGACGCACAGGCCTGCCCCGCCCGGCTCAGCGCTGCGCCCGCCACGTACACCTGTGCTGGTGACGGGCCCCTGGGCTCGGCAGGTGTCTGTGTGTTCCTGTGTGCCGCGCAGTGCTGTCCCGGCACAGCCCAGGTCCTGCCAGGCCCCCACAGGACACAGCCTGGCAGCCCCGCCTGCCCTCTGCGGCAGGGGCCGTGTCTGAGCCCTGCAGGTGAGGCTGGGAGCGCAGCGGCCTCGCTGTGGGAACAAAGGCTCAGCATGTGCAGCACCCACACTTGCATGGGCCAGGAGGCTCTGCTCCCTGGAACACGGCCAGCGCTGGCAGCCGTGCGGAGCCAGGGGCTGGCGAGGGGCAGCAGCGGGAGGCCCAGCACACCCCCTGGACAGCCGTCCTCACGGGGCTCAGCCAGCCCCCGCCCTCCCAGAGGCCACTCCCGCCTGGACCCCTGCCAGGGCCCCAGGCCCCCTCCTCTGCAGGGGGCTACAGCCCCCGCCCCAAGGTGGGCCAAACCTCTTCAGCACACAGGGTGGGCGGCACAGCCACTGCTGGTCAAAGTGGGTGCCAGGCAACCGAGTGACGCCACAGCAGCTGCCACCGGCCACTCCTGTGCCAAGCAGGCAGGTCCTGGGGCGGCCAGCGTGTGTGGACAAGGCCACGGGGGGGAGCCGCATGCTCAGGTGCGGCAGGGGCACTCGCGGGTCTCGACTCCACACGCCCAGGCTGGCAGGGAGTCCTGGCCAACGACCCCTGCCCTGGGGGTGGCACTCCAGGGAGAGCGGGCGGTGACCCGGGGACGGTCTCCACCTCCAGGCCCTTCCCACCCCAGGACAGGGAGAGGCCAGTTGCCCCGCCCACACCTGGCCCTGGGTTTGCTTCTGAGACAGCTGAGTGCAGGTGCAGACAGGTGTGCTGGGGCCGCGCACAGAGCCGGCTGCAGCCGCCAGGGAGGGCTTGTGGGGTGAAGCTGGGGGCTGGACAGGGCGGATGGGGAACCCCTGGCGGGGAGTGGACGGGAGGTGGGAGCCAGCCGCTGTGGCTTTCGGTTTCCCGCCTCTGAAGCCCCCAGGGTTTTCTCCAGAAGGAAAGATGAGCGAGCGCAGACTCTCAAAGTTAAAAACATTTCAACGACACCAGCACGGCTGACACGCTGCCCGGGCCGCGGTCCCAGCCCCTGGGGCCGCCCGTGACACGGCCTCGCGCCCAGCCCCACGGAGTCCAAGGGCCGCTCTGGGTCCAGCGGGGATGCACGGACGCCTGCCCACGCGCCGAGGCGCTCCATGCCAGGCAGGCGGTGCCGAGCCCGGCGTCCCCCCAGACAGTCACCGGTTCTGGGGTCAAAGGGGAGGAGGAGGACGGGGCACAGTGCACAATGGTGGGCGCCCGCGGCTCGCCCTACCAGTTCTGGTTGTCCCAGTCCTCCTCGGCGGGGGCCGGCACCGCCTTCTTGGCAGCCTTGGCCCTGCCCTCGCCGCTGGCGCCCTCGCCGCTCTCCCAGCCGTCGCTGTTGCTGTTCCTGGCGGACGAGCCCCACACGTCCCAGCTGTCCGAGCTCCGCTTCTCGGCCGAGGCGTCGGCGCAGGTCCAGCTGTCGCTGCTCGGGGACTTGGCCTTGGGGGGCTCGGGGCTGCCGAAGGTCTCCCAGAAGCTCTGGTCCAGGGCGCTGCCCTGCGCGCTGTCCCCACCGCTGTTCTGGGAGCTGCGAGGGGCAGGAGCTCTGGTGATTTCCGCAAAACTTCACAGCCGGCTGCTCTGGGCCCACCCACCCCCAGCCCTGCGCCACCCAGCAGGGGCCAGCGCCCCGCGGTGCTGTGCCGCCAACACCGGGGCAGAACACAGGGTGAAGGCAGGGGACAGAGGCCTCCGCAGCCGCTGTCTGTCACCGGGGACGGCACTCGGACAGCAAAGCGCTCAACGCTGGGTTCTTACGGGGATCAGGACAGAAAAGCCCAGAAGCCCTCAGGCCTTCCCACCAGCCCCAACCCTGACGGTGACTCGGGGCAGCAGGGGCGAGGCCCGGCCCTGCCCTCGCCCTGGGCCGCGCCTGCGCCACGGGGAACGTCTGCCGCCGAGCAGCCGCTGCCCGAGGCCGGGGGGAGTGCGCCAGCCACAGCCTCGGCCGGGCGCCCGGGGGCCGCCTACCTCTCCTCTGCTCTCCCAGAAAAGAAGGTGGTGACGTCCCTCCAGCCTTTGCTGCTGACTCCCTGGACCTGGAGGGGGGGGGCTGGTCAGACCCTTCCAAGCACACGGGTGCACGTGCCACGCAAGCACACGCATGGACAATCGCAAGGTCCCACGAAGACACAGACAAGACTCAGAAGTAAGGGTGTCAAACGTCACACACAACACACACACGTGCCGGGAGACACAGCTCTCCCAGGCAGGGCCGCCTCGCGCCCGGCTCACCACACGCAGGGGACAGCGCAGGCCCCACCCAGAGCCCTCCCTGCGAGTCAGCAGCTCCAGGACCACCCCGAGGCCGTGCAGCAGTGGCAGGCGTGTGGGCACTTACCACGGGAAAGGCCACGGCAGCAAGGGCAGAGGAGGCGACAGGTTAGCGGCTGGCAAGTCCCCGCCAGGCCAAGCTGTCTCCATATTCCGCAAGCCAGAGGCAACAGGCACATCCCTGCCCCCCTGCACCGCCTCGAGGACGGTGGTCCCGCCGCAGCTGGCTGAGGCCGCCGGCCCTGCCCTCAGGGCGGCGCCCGGAATATGGAGACTGGCTCGGCTGAGCCCACGCCAGGCGGGGCTGCCCTACCTTGGACGCCAACTGAGAGACCCCACTGGACACATCATCAAAAATCCTTCCCTCCTTCACCTGCGTGGAGCAAACGTCCCTGTTGGAGCAGGTGCCCAGGAGCGGGCTGTGGGCCAGCAGCGATGCCAGCATCAGGACACCGCGTCCCCAGGGGCCCTGCGCCATCGTGACAGACGAGGGGCAGCAGGGGCCCGTGGCTCCCTCAGGGCAACATCAGGATCCCGAAACCCCCACCTACACCCTCAAAGCGGGAATAACAAAACAACTCCCAGGGAGGGAAAAAGATCAAGGAGGGGGAGAAGGCGCTGCAGGCACCAGCACCGGGCAGCGGAGAGCGCAGGACGGCCAGCTGGGACCCGGCACAGCCTGCGCCGTGTGCGTGAGGACAGCCTATGCCAGTGTGCGTGAGGACAGCCTGCGCTGTGTGCGTGAGGACAGCCTGCGCTGTGTGCGTGGACGGCTGGGACCCGTGTGTGTGAGGACAGCCTGCGCCGTGTGCGTGAGGACAGCCTATGCCAGTGTGCGTGAGGACAGCCTGCGCTGTGTGTGTGAGGACAGCCTATGCCAGTGTGCGTGAGGACAGCCTGCGCTGTGTGTGTGAGGACAGCCTATGCCAGTGTGCGTGAGGACAGCCTGCACTGTGTGTGTGAGGACAGCCTGCGCTGTGTGCGTGGACAGCTGGGACCCGTGTGTGTGAGGACAGCCTGCGCCGTGTGCGTGGACAGCTGGGACAGCCTGTGCCGTGTGTGTGGACGGCTGGGACCCGTGTGCGTGGACGGCTGGGACAGCCTGTGCCATGTGCTTGATGGAAGCTGGGACAGCCTGTGCCGTGTGCGCGGACGGCTGGGACCCATGTGTGTGAGGGCAGCCTGCACCCGTGTGCATGATGGAAGCTGGGACAGCCTGTGCGGTGTGCATGGACGGCTGGGACCTGTGTGCGTGGACAGCTGGGACAGCCTGTGTCGTGTGCGTGATGGAAGCTGGGACAGCCTGTGCAGTGTGTGTGGACGGCTGGGACCTGTGTGCGTGGACGGCTGGGACAGTCTGTGCCATGTGCGTGATGGAAGCTGGGACAGCCTGTGCCGTGTGCGCGGACGGCTGGGACCCATGTGTGTGAGGGCAGCCTGTGCCGTGTGCGTGAGGACAGCTGGGACCCGTGTGTGTGAGGGCAGCCTGCGCCCGTGTGCATGATGGAAGCTGGGACAGCCTGTGCTGTGTGCGTGGACGGCTGGGACAGCCTGTGCCATGTGCGTGGACGGCTGGGACCCGTGTGCGTGAGGGCACGAGGGGAGGATGCGCCTCCCCCGGGCGGTGGTGACTGACCCTGGAGGCCAGTGTCTCCCTGGGAGCTGGGCTGGAGGTCCTGTCTGAGGCGGCCCCCTGCCTGTAAGACCCCTGGAGGGGTGAGACCACCTCTGAGCTCGGCCCTGTGGGGGCCTGAGCACACGCAGCCATGAGTTACTTGGCCACGTCCCTCAGCCACGAGCCGCCAGCGCCCAGCCCCAGCCCCAGCCGGGGACACGCACGGCAACACCTGCTTGTCCACTGGGGTGGCCCAGGGTGCTGTGCCCACCCCTCCCGACCGGGACCCCAAAGCGTAAGCAGCCGTCTTTTACAGGACTTTGGTCTCGGAGTTCCAGACCTGAGGGGTTCCAGCGCTCGCCCGGGACCTTGGAGGCGGCTCATGCAGAGGCCCCTGGCCACAGAAGCCCCCGCCCCTCCCCCACAGGCCGCCGGCCGCGGCCGCAGCCCCGTTACCTTCTCCTGGGCTGGTCGGAGAATGTTCTCGTTCAGGCTGTGGCCCAACTCAGAGGCCTGTGGGAAGGAAGCCGCAGAGCTCACGGGTGCCCACGGGGGGTGGCAGTGGGACCGGCGTGCCCAGGGCCACAGAGGAGGGCAGCAGGGGCCACCCCACGTGCACGTGGCTGCTGCCCGCCCCAGGAAGGGCCCCCATGACAGCAGCGGGGCCCCGGGCTTGTCCCCACAGCTGCTGGCGGCTCAGCTTACACAGACACATCTGGGCGGCCCAGGCGCCCTGACCTGAGGACAGAACTGACCTCGCTCCCGCCCTACCGGCCGCACTGGGCTCCCAGAGCACCCTGACCCAGGCCCTGACCACCCAGACAGAAGGGAGGACAGAGGCCGGGGCTCCGGCAGACGCTGCTAGGGAGAGCCACGTCACGGGGACAGGAAGCACAGGCCACCTCCCCGTGGGCACCAAGGGCGGAGGGAGACCTCCCAGCAGCCCCATCTCGGCGGCCAGCGGGGACGAAGCCATTCTCCGCGGCCGGCAAGAGCATGCACCGCGCGGCGTGCACCGAGCACAGGGCTTTACCGGCTCTGGCTGCTGCCTGTGACCCCAAAACTCGACCCAGACAGCGAGGAGGCAGGTTAGGAGAGAGAGAGAGCGAGGTGCTACACGCAGCTTCCACAGCGCCCAGGAACACCTCCAGATCTCAGCCCTCGGCTGGACTGAGACCCCCCCGAGCCAGGGCGTCCCGGCCTCCCCCCGGCTCCAGCCTTCCAGACCTGGGCGAGCACCCGGGGAGGCAGCATGGCGGGAAGACAGCCCTCCTGAGGAGCTGTGCCAGCGGCCGTGAGGGACCGGCCTAACTGCAGGGCCTGGAGACTCCCCCAGGGACAGCGGGGGCCCTGGGCCCCAGCCCTGACCACGTGTCACGCACGGGGGTCACCAACCAACAGAAAGGCCATGGTGGACCCCACCGCCACCCGCAGCAGAGCTGCACCCCAGGGGCAGAGCCCCCTGCCCCGTTCGCCTGCTCGGTGAGGAGGCGGCTCCTGCCGAGGCAGAGGGGGCCCACCCCACCCTGACTCCCCGCTACGAGTGCTGGCGGGGGGCCCTGGAAGAACCAGCAGCGCCCAGAGCACGCGGTGGCGCCGTGAGGAGGCCTCAGCACGCGCCAGGGCAGAGCTCCTCGGTTACCTTCTGACTGGCCTGGGATCCGAACTTTGTAGCCTGCGAGGGAAACAGGGCTGGTGAGTCCCGGCCGGGCCTGGCCTGGCCTGGCCTGGCCTGCGCTTCCTGCCAGTGGGCTCCCACGACTCCGTCCCAGGGCCGGCTTCTCACAGCTCGACCAGCAGCGGCTCCCAGGGCCGCGCCGGCCGAGCGCCCTGGGCCTTCCCCTCAGGGCCCACCCACTCATCTCCTGTGTCACTGTCTGTCCCGACCGAATCCCCCCTTCACACCCAGGAGCAGGCAGACGTGAGAGAAAACCCAGCCCCTCCGTGTTCTGAAAGGGCCAGAGGCTGGGGCTCAGGGACACAGGAGCCCACGGCCTGTCCACCAGGTGAGCCACGTCTGCCCCGCCACAGGCAGCTCGTCTCGGACCCTTGGAGACACTGCACCTGCAGCTGCAGCTGCCAACGCCGCAGGCCACTCTGCTGGGGGCGTGAGGCCCTCGTGGGGGGTGAGCCCCGGGGGTCCCGACACAGCCCGGCTCCCAGGGCCAGGGCCAGACGGCACCAGGTACTTACGCCCTCCTTAGCTGCTGAGGCGAACTTGCTCGCTCCGGTGGTAAAACTGCTCCAACCCTGAGAGGCACAGAATGGCAAGGTGGCCGCCTCACTGTGACCGCCCGACCCCGCTGACTGGCAGGCCCCGCATGACCGCCCAACCCCGTGTGACCGCCAGGCCCCGCGTGAGGCTCTGAGGACCACACCTGCTCACCGCCCGCAGCCCGTCTCTGCACCTCACTTTGAGTTAGTCTAAAAAGCCCTCCCTGGGCCGGCACTGTGGCACGGTGGGTAAAGCCACCACCTGCAATGCCAGCATCCACGTGGGCACCTGTTCCAGTCCCCGCTGCTCCACTTCCCATCCAGCTCTCTGCTGTGGCCCGGGAAAGCAGTGGAAGGTGGCCCAAGTGCTTGGGCCCCTGCGCCCACGTGGGAGACCCGGAAGAGGCTCCTGGCTGTGGCCTGGCCCAGTCGTGCCCTTGCAGCCATTTAGGGAGTGAACCAGTGGAAGATCTCTCTCTCGCTCGCTCTCTCCTTACTCTCTCTGTAACTCTGCCTTTCAAATAAATAAAAAAGAAATTAAAAAAAAAAAAAAAAAAAAGCCTTCCCCTCGTCGAGGAACGGCTGCGCCAGCTGCACGCGGTGGCTGCCGTGGGCCTCAGAGGCGTCACCAGAGCGTGAGAATCCGTCTTAGAAGCAAAGTGCCCTCAGGGAACAAAGGTGACGCCGCGTCGCCGGCACCAGCACGGGCATCAGCCTGACCAGGCCTGGCAGTGACAGCGCAGCCGGAGGAGCCCTCCAGCTCTATCCCCCCTCGCTGTCACTCTGCCTGTCAAACACATCAACCTCAAGAACAAGAAACCCCAGCCCAGATCCGTGTCTTGGCTGGACGGCACTGGGGGCGGGGCAGGGGCCGCGCACCGCGCTGCAGCCGGGCACCCACCGAGCAGAGCGAGGACATGGCGCTGTTGAGGAAGTCGTCCTCTCTCTTCTGGGGCGGCACCGTGTTCCCAAACCCCACGTAGCGATTCTCCTGGGCCCTGAAAGCGAGCGCTGACGTCAGCCCGGCGGCTGCGGCACAGACCCCGACGCGCCTGCGCCCGACGGAGTGCAGGGGCCCACAGCCACAGCCGTGCTGTCCGTCTCCAGAAGGTCCCAGCCACCAGGACGGTTCACCCGGCGACTCCCTGATGGGCAGATTCCAGGGGAAGGGCCCTCTCCCTCCAATCAAACCTGGGCTGGCCAGGGCTCACCAGTCAACCTCTAACCCCGCACCCTCCACAGAGAAACTGGCCCTGCCCACGGGACCCCCAGCCGGGGAGCCCTCACCCCTGATAGGAGCCGAGGTCGTCGTTCAGCCAGTCCTCGAAGGCCTTGTCTGCGGACGCGGACGCGTTCTGAGTCTGCCCGGAGGCCCTGCGACCGAGAGCCAGTGACACCGACAGCCCCAGCAAGGCCACGGGCACGGCGACGGGGCTCGGGTCACACCGGCCCCAGCTGTCTGAAAGGCTGCTTGGGCTCAGCTGTAGGGGCCTGAGGGCCCCAGCACTGCGGCACCTGTGCTGCCAGCACCCCATCGGCTGCTGGGTCAAAGGGCACAACTACCCGAGTCCCTGCACCTGTGTGGGAGACCTGGACGGAGCTCCTGGCTCCTGGCGTCAGCCTGCCCAGACCTGGCCGTGGTGGCCATCTAGAGGGTGACCCAGTCCCTGCACCTGTGTGGGAGACCCGGACGGAGCTCCTGGCTCCTGGCGTCAGCCTGCCCAGACCTGGCCAAGGCGGCCACCTGGAGAGTGATCCACGGTCTCTCTCTGTCTCCCTTCGCTGTTGCTCTGCTTCTCAATCTTTTTAAAAAGCACAGAGCTGGCTTCCCGGCAGCCCTGCACCAGCGTGTGGCGGGGAAGAGGAGAAGAGGGGAAGAGAGGAAGGGGTGGCCCCAGCGCCCACTGCAGCCCCCACACAGGGTGCTCCCCGCAGCGGGACGTGGGATACAGCCACTCTGGGGTCAGCTCAGCGGTCACAGGGCCGCCCCGGAGGACGGCGACGCTCAGAGGGACAGCGTGCCGGCGACACACAGCCCTGCTCCCCAGGCTGCAGGGGGGCAGTGTCTGTCTGGGAGGGAGAGCGGCGCCCACGCTGGGCAGGGGGAGACGCTGCTCTCACCCCACTTATTTCGCGCCCCTGCTTGCTAAGGGCTCGTCCTGCTTCGGGCATTTTGGGGGCACCACAGCCGCGCGGGGATCCTGAGCTGCGCCCGGGGCTGGGCCAGGAAGATTAGGGGCGTAGCTACCGGTGGGCAGTGGCCAACGACGTCCTGGGCTGGGGTGGGGTCCAGTTCTGGGCAGGTGACGACTCCAGAGACCACGCTCTGCCTTCAGCCAGGGTGGCCACCTGACGGGGAGCGCAGGTGGTCAGGGCGTGCATCGCCTCCACGCGCCCCACCCTCCCCCAGGCCCCAGCGTGGGCCAGCGTGGGCCAGCGTGGGCCAGCGTGGGCCGTGGCCGCCTCAGTCTGGCCGTGCTTGGTGAACGGTGCAGCTCCAGCTCCAGAGTACAGGGACCCCACGTGAACTACGCCACGGCTCCACCGCTCCTCCGACGTCCTGACCCGAGAGGAGGGGCGGCACCGCACGCCGCAGTTCCTCGTCGCCCCTGCAATCGCGGCCCCAGGCCGCCCACTGCCCTGGCCAGGGCAGGGGCCACGCCAGCCCCACGGCCGGCGCGTGAGAACTTGCCTTGTCCCTGAAGAGGGCCGCGGCCCTGCTCTCGTACTTGTCCTGCAGGGACCAGCAGGGGTCGTAGTCGGCCTGGGACTCCAGGAACTCCCGGAACTTGGCGTTGCCCCCCACCTTCATCTTCTCCAGCTCCAGGTCCTTCCACTTGTCCATCGTGACCGAGCGCACGAAGCTGGAAGCCGGAGGTGGGCACTGGCCTCATTACCAACCCCCCGCCCCGGCCCCCCCAGACACGGGTGCAGGCGGGCACTGACCTGAGGTGCACGCCCAGCCCGCGGTGTCTCCCCGAGCACTCTAGGCAGATCCAGATGCCGTAGGTCACACTGACCCACTGCGGGTTGAAAGCGCCACACTCAAAACAGACCTGCAGAGGGGGCCACACACGGCTCGCCGGGGGCTCGGGGCAGGCCAGAGAGCCCGACGCCACACACAAGGACCCCGGGGGAGGAGGGAGGCCCAGGCGGCACGGCAAGCCTGGGCGGGGTGGCCGCTGATCCTGCCAGGAAGCCAGCACGAGGGGCGAGCAGCCCCAGGGGAAAGCGTCCAGCAGGAAGGCCAGGCAGACGGCCCCGGGCGACAGGAGGGCCGTGGCCCACGGCAGCCGCAGGCGGCCCCGACTCACATTGTTCTCGTCCCGCACCCTGACCTCCTTCAGAACTTTCCGGGTCCTCGGGCTGGCCATGACGCTGTGGAGACAGAACGGCCCCGTGACAGACCCACACGCGGTCCCTAAGTGAGCCATCGGCTCACGACACTTCACACCTGCCCCTTCACGAGGCCACTGGCCCACCGCGAGCTGCCCAGGCCACCCGGCGTCCACGTGCACGTGCAGCGAGGCCAGGCCGAGCCAGGTGCGTCCTCGTGTCCCTCTGCTTCAACCCCACGGCCCGCCACGACTGCGAGAGGTTCACAAACAGCTGTCTTGTCAGCGGGGGAGCCCCCGCCCCAGCACGCGCTGACCCCTGGCAAGGGCACAGCCCCCCGCTCCCGCATGCCCTGACCTTCGGTGTGGAAAGGCCAGCCTGGGGGTCTGGGGCAGGTCCTCGAGGGGCCACCCTGAGCTCCCTCTGGGTGCAGCAGGACCCCCGTGACCACCAGCAGGGACGGTGGCAGCCAGGCCCAGGTCCAGCAGAAAAACTTCTCATTTCCTAAGGATGCACTGGCTTCGGCGCGTGGCCGATTGACTCGCAACCAGAAAACTCACACAATCCAAGCTTCCAGCTGCAGGCAGGGGCGGAGCCCTGGTCCCGCGCACCCATGGTGAGGTGAGCCCGGCCTGGTCCCGCGCACCCCTGGTGAGGTGAGCCCGGCCTGGTCCCGCGCACCCGTGGTGAGGTGAGCCCGGCCTGGTCCCGCGCACCCCTGGTGAGGTGAGCCCGGCCTGGTCCCGCGCACCCCTGGTGAGGTGAGCCCGGCCTGGTCCCGCGCACCCCTGGTGAGGTGAGCCCGGCCTGGTCCCGCGCACCCCTGGTGAGGTGAGCCCGGCCTGGTCCCGCGCACCCATGGTGAGGTGAGCCCGGCCTGGTCCCGCGCACCCATGGTGAGGTGAGCCCAGCCTGGTCCCGCACACCCCTGGGCCTCAGGCCCCCTGCACACACACACTCCGTGTGGCCCCTGCCGTGTCCCCTCCTAGTCACACGGCAACGCCGGCTGCGAGGACACCGGCACCCAGCAAGCAGACAGCCCGCAGGTGCCACTTCCTGTCCAGATGCAGCTTAGACAGAACCACGATGGACCCGCCCACTTCATTCTGGCTCAGGACGGCCTGACCCCTGACCCCTGCACCAGCACCCAGCTTGACGCCATGTGAAGTTAGGAAACAGACACCGGATTCTGGGGTCCAAGGGGGAAAACCAAGCTTGCGCCGGGCACCCTCCTGCGCGGAGCCCGCACCCTCCTGCCTGCCGGGCCTGGGCTGGCACCGCTCGCCAGGTCTGCGGTCACAGTGGCCGCACGGGGGCCCGGGGCGCATTTGAGGGCGCGCGCCTGGGCGAGGGGTAGGGAAGTCCTAGGCCAGGGCTGGGGCAATCGCCACAGCGGCCGATCCTCAGGCTGATGTTACCGACGTGCAAACGGCCCTGCGCAGGAACGCAGGGAGCTGTGGCGGGGACGCGCGCACGGCCGAGGCCCCGTTCGGCTCAGGGAGGCCCCCGGGGCCCACGCCGACGTCCGCAGCCCCCGCGCCCTCCGCGCCGCCCCCGCCCACTCTCCGGAGCGTCCAAGGACCCCGATGTCCCCTCCTGCGGGGCAGAACGCGGGTGCCCGTCTCGCTCGGAACACCGCACGCGGCGAGGACCCGCGCCCGAGCCCGGCCCCCGCCGCCCCGAAGCCCCGCACCGCGCCAGCCGCTCGGGAAGGGTCGTCCCGCCGCCCTGGCCCGCAAGCCCACGCACGCGAAAGGCCGCGTGAGGAGCCCGCCCCCGCCCTCTCTCCCGCAACACCAGCGTCCGCACCAACGCGGGGGCCGGCAAGGCGGCTGCCACTCCGCGGGCGCCTGCGGCCGGACCGCGGCCTCGGAGGCTGCGCCCCGCCCGGCACCGGGCCCACGCAGAGCCGCGGCGGGCGGCGCCCCTGGAACCGCGGGCGGACTCAGGCTCGCGAGGGAAGGGGTGCGGGGGTCCGCCCGGGAAGGCCCCGCGCGCCCGACAGCGACGTCGCCCGACAGGGCCGGGAGCCCGCGCCAGGGAACTGGGCCGCGCGCTCACCTGGAGAAGAGGCCGGCCGGGGCTGGGGTCCAGGACAGGCTTGCTCCGCCACCCGCACCGCGCGCGGATCGCCCCCCGCGGCCACCAGCTTCCGGCAACGTTGCGCTTTGCAAGGCCTCACGGGAGGCTGTCAGCGCGGCGGGGCGGGACTTCCGGCCGCCACCCCAGCCGGTCGCCATGGAGACGCACCTTCCCTGTGGTCGCCGGGGTCCGGGCGGGAGGAGGGTCGGGGCTGCGCGGGGGCGGGTCCCGGGCACCGTGAGCGGGGTGTCCCCGCGGGTCGGGGTCTCGGGAGGAGGAGAGCGGGTGGGTCCCCGGGTGCCCTGCGCGGGTCCGTGGGGCGGAGTGGACGCCACTCAGGTTCCAGGCCCAGGCAGGTGAGCGGTGGAAGCTGTGGGCTTGGTGACCTCTCGCTGTCCATGGCTTTTGCTTTGTTTTTGACTGTGTGGTGGCGTCGTCGCCTACAGCAGGAGTTAAACTCAGGGCTGGCAAGTGCCAATGACCTTGGCCGTGAGCGTGGCCTGCCCGCTGGTGTCCACCCGGTCTCAGCGTGGCTGTCGCCCGGGATGGAGCTCTGTGGGCGCACCTTCCTGGTGGCGCCTTTCACCTGACAGGTGTACTGATTTAAAGGGCGGAGGTCCGGAGAGATCACCTTCCCTGCACTGCTTCACTCCCCAGATGACAGCGGCTGGGCCAGGCTGGAGCCGGGAGCCCGGAGCTTCTCCCGGTCTCCCACGTGGGTGCAGGGCCCAAGCACCTGGGGCATCGTGTGCTGCTTTCCCGGGTCATAGCAGGGAGCTGGGTTGGAAGTGGAGCGGCCAGGACCGGCACTGATGCCCACACGGGTGCCAGCGTTGCAGGCGTCGGCTTTACCGGCTACGCCTCGGCACCGGCCCCTTGAGGCGACTTTCTATTCCTGTCAGCTGGCAGAGCCCCACCCACAGGAGCCCTGGGTCTCCCTGGGGACTGTAAGCTCACCTGGACAAGCACCACGCCCATCTCCGCCCCAGGGCCTTTCCCACAGGTGTTTAGGGGGCTGTGGACCAGGCAGGCCCTCAGCATCCTCCAGGCAGTGGCCAAGACCCCTGGGGCTCCATTGGAAGTAGCCATCCTCCCCTGTCCTGGGGGTCATCAGACCGCGCCAACAGGTGGGCCAGGTGCGAGGCTCCCAGCAGGAGGCCACGGTCAGCATCATATGTCCCACAGAGTGGCCCAGGGCTGCCTGCCTGGGCAGCCTGGGTCCCTGACCTCACCTGTGATGACCATGAAAGAGGGAAGTTCCGTGACAGGGGGCCGACGGGAGGGGACCGTGTGGTCTGGGGATCCAGGCCTACCTGGTCAGAGGAGGAATGGGGCTCCCCTCCCCCATGCCAGGCCGGTGGTGCCTCCAAAGGAGCAGCACGGGACAGCGGGTCCGTAGTCCAAAGGACCCACTCCCTCCCTCAGGCCCCTGTCCGGTGCAGAGCCCTGAGGGTGCGGAGGCAGCCCCGCCCCCGGGCTCTGTGCCCACCTGGACTTGCTTGCCCTGAAGGGGCAGCAGGGGCTCACGACGTCCCCTCTGGGGAGCGGCCATCATGCGGACGGGCCCCTGTCTGTGGGGCTGGGCACCACACGCGCCCCTGCCGCAGCCCTGCTGTGCCTCCAGGTCGCCACAAAACCAAGCCCCAGGCGGCCTCGGCAGCAAGTTCCCTAACCCTAGCGTGGGCGGGGAGAGGCTTGGCCGGGCAGCTCAGCTCAGCTCACCAGGTCTCCCTGCCGCCAGCTGTCCTGGCGCCCGGGCCCAGACCCTGGTCTAGTCTCCCCCAGCCACTCACAGAAGTGAGCTCGGCGAGTGGAGGGAGGGGTGCGGCCGGCCCCACAGGTCCCCAATCGCTGGACCCGTGAGGTCATTCATGTCCCCTATGGGTGACATCCTCGTTGGTCTGTGCTCAAGGGGCTTCCCTCGCAGGAACTCGAGGTTTGGGGCAAAAGATACCTCCCAGCTCAGCTGCATGTACGCCCGCCCGACCAACCGGAGCCCACTCTGCCCTCAGAATTCCCCAGAGGCCTCTCTGCGGGACCGGCTTCAGGGGGAGGCAGGAGCTAGGTCCCGGCTCCCCGCTCTGCACTTTGTAACAAAGCCCTGCTTCTCTCCCCAGCCCAGGCCGTAGCTGGCTTGCTTTGCTGTGTGTCACCGAGTGGACTCCCTTTGGGGGCGCCTGCAGCAGTTTGTGAGGTGGGTGGCACGGGGCTCGGTTCCCACCTTTGCCTCCTCACTTCGAGCAAGGCTCATGCCGCCTGCCCAGGGCCCCCGGGGAGGGGAGAGCTCGCTGGAGCAGGAGCCCGGTTTGCTCCCGCCCTCTCCAGGTGAGGCTGGTGGCAAGTGTAACGCCGGGAGCACAGCCGTTACAGTGTAGCCGGGGTCTGCTCCCAGAAGCGGGGAGTTGAGAGCGCTTCCTGCTCGCAGACTCAGATGGGACCCAGTGCCCGGGACCTCGGGCTGGAGGCAAAGAAGGCGAGATGCTGAGGGTGTGGGTGTCGGGGTGCAAGGTTGTGGGTTTTGTTGAAGGGACCAGAGAGTGCTGCCTGGGCCCCCCGCGCTCCCCTTTGTAAGGCAGAAAGGGAGGGGGCGCTTACACGGAAGGTGCACGGAGCTGGGCCCCATCCGCAGGCACAGGGCCCACCGTGGTGTCCTTGATAACCAAGGGCCCCGAGCCGCGTGAGCCTCCAGGAAGCCCCTGCCCGCCTGTGGGAGCCCCCAAGAGGGCAGGTCCCAGCCAGCTCTGCACGGTCAGCATGGACACCCGCTCTGAGGGACAACGAGGGGGGCCCAGCGGCAAGTGAGGCTGGAGGGCGACCTGGGAGGACAGGCCAGCCACCGCCCCCTCGGCTCCCTCCAGACCCAGCCACCTGGGGTCCGCACCGCCGCCAGGGGGCGCTGTTGGCCTCATGGTGTGGGAGAGCAGATTCCCCACAAGGAAGCCAGCAGAGCTGAAAAGGTGGGTGGTGGAGGGAGGGGTCATGCTGACCGCAGGCGGTTCTGCCCGGATGGGCCCAGGATTCTGAGGGTCCCACAGGTGAGGATGGAGTCCAGAGCAAGAGCCCACGGGGAAGAGTGGCCGCTGTGGCCCCGTCCCGAGGAATCTCCTAGGACCCTGCCCAATCAGAGCAAGCGCCTGGGTGTCCCCCGCAGCCAGCCCTCACTAGAAGGGCGGCCTCTGTGGCGGTCCGGAGCCGGAACCTTCCTCCGAGGACTGAGAGGCTGGCCTGGCTGTGCTCCTGCCCTGTCCCTTCTTTCGGGAGGGGGAGCGTGGACCTCCCCGCCTGCAGCCTGGGGTCCGGTTGAGCGCTGGCGCCAGTCGTCCAGACGGCTGATCTTGGAAATGTCTCCTGATTTCACCTGGAAACGTTGTGCCCCTACAGGGGGCCCGAGCCCTGCCGGGGGGCTGCACAGGCCTGCTGACAGCCTCAGCCTGAACCGCAGCCCCGGGGGGCTCCTCCTCCTGTGTTTGCCACAAGGAGGGCCAGGGCTGCCCCCTCCCTCTGATGCCGCATTGGGCTCCCCATTGTCCAACCCAGGGAGTTCCGTGCACACTGCCAGTCTCTGGGGCTGAATGGCTCCTGCCAGGGCTGGGAGGGAATCTCGGTGGCTGCCCTGTGGTGTCGAGAGGCCTCTGCTGCCTTCAGCAGAGAGAGGTGTTGGAGCCTGAGAAGCGAGGAGGGGCCCTGGACTGTGGCCCCAGGGCTCAGCCCCCATGGCCCCCACAGTTGCTGCAGGGCGTGGCCACTCCGGCCAGCTGGCCGCGGGCCTCTTGGGCCTGCAGCCCCTCTCAGCTTTCCTTGGACTGGCACCGTGACGCCGGGGACACTCGGGTGCCCGTCACGGCCCTGCCAAGGAGGAGCAGGACGGGTGGGTGCCCTGGTGTCGGGGACGGAGTCGGAGGTCAGGGCCGCTGTCCCAGGAGTCAGGCGGCCGTGCACACAATGTCCAAATGGCACCCCAAGCCACAGCTCCCAGCTGCAGGCCCTCGGCCCCTCGTGCTGGCCCTCGGCTGCAGCAGGCCCTCCGGGAGACGAAGGAGCCGTGCCTGCCGGTAGCTGCAGCACAGAGCCGCATGCCCACGACTCAGAAGCGCGTGAGCTTCGCCCAGCTGGCACCCCCTCTGCGGTGGGACGTGGCCTGGGGGTGGGGTGGGGCGCCCTCAGGCCTGTCCTGCACCTGGGACCCCTGGGGCTCTCTCAGCCACTGGGCAACGTGGTGTCGGCCATGACCTTGGCCAAGGGGCTTGCTCTCCATTCTGCTGCCCTCTCCCATGGCTTGGGTTTATTGTATCTGAGTCAATTTCTTTCAGTGGATTTCCTTGGTGGATTTGATCCAGTTTCTCTCTACCATGACCACGGAAAGCCCCCGGCCGCTCATCCAGGCAGGCGAACTTGTGTGAGCGTGGCCTGCAGCACGGACACTGCACGAGGCCTTGGGGGCCTCCCGGGTGGCCTTCCATCCACCCGTCTGTCCGTCCCTCTGTCCACCATCCACCTTCCCTCCCGCCCTTTCTCAGGCCAACTTCCTGCCCCTCCAGTGGCCCTGGGGCTGTACCGGTGCAGCCGGCGTGCTGCAGGCTCCCTGCTCTCTGTCCATAAGTGAAGGCCCCCGCATACTCATGGCCAGCCCAAGGGCCACCGCTGAGGCCTGCCACAGCAAATCCAGACCTGGGGAGGGGAGGGGCCTGCACGGCCCCGGCCAGGGCAGGCATCAGTCGCCTGCCCCCACCCTGGTGGGCAGAGCTGGCCAGACCTCAGGCTTGATCATATCTGCAGTGGGGGCTGGGCGGTCGGAGGGGCCCAGGGTGAGACCCTTCCCCGGCTGCCAGTGGCCCAGACCCCACTCCGATGGTTGTGGTCCTGCAGACAAGACCTCTGCCCACCCGGGTCCAGCCCTCACTTGGCAGAAAGCCCAAGTTCTCTCCTTCCTTCCCCAGCCCAGGGCCTCTCTGACCCTACTCTGTCCCCACAGGCCTGTGGGGTGACCGCCATCCTCAACAACGATGAGAGGACCCAGGCGTGAGGACACAGCTCACCTCTGGGGACACGGCTCACCTCTGGGGACACGGCTCACCTCCAGGGGGACACGGCTGACCTCCCTGGGGGCATGACTAACCTCCATGGGGACACGGCTGACCTCTGGGGACACGGCTGACCTCCAAGGGGACACGGCTGACCTCTGGGGACACGGCTGACCTCCAAGGGGACACGGCTCACCTCCAAGGGGACATGGCTGACCTCTGGGGACACGGCTGACCTCCAGGGGGACACGGCTGACCTCTGGGGACACGGCTGACCTCCAAGGGGACACGGCTGACCTCCATGGGGACATGGCTGACCTCTGGGGACACGGCTGACCTCCCTGGGGGCACAGCTCACCTCCAAGGGGACACGGCTGACCTCCCTGGGGGCACAGCTCACCTCCAGGGGGACACGGCTGACCTCCCTGGGGACAAGACTGACCTCCCTGGGGACATGGCTCACCTCTGGGGACACGGCTGACCTCCATGGGGACACGGCTGACCTCCCTGGGGGCACGGCTGACCTCCTTGGGAACATGGCTGACCTCCCTGGGGACACGGCTGACCTCCATGGGGGCACAGCTGACCTCCAGGGGACATGGCTGACCTCCATGGGGACACGGCTGACCTCCTTGGGAACATGGCTGACCTCCATGGGGACACGGCTGACCTCCCTGGCTGGAGGCACCTGCCCAGCTTGCAGTGTCTGGACACGAGGGGCAGTGGGGTAGGGCAGCGCTGGGGGCAGCTGCAAGATCATGATTTTCTTTTTCCAAAAAGAAAAGGGAGAGAAGGCGAGAGATGAGAAGCGCTCCCCCGGCAGGGCAGGCCCCACAGCAGGTCCATGGCGCCCGGGAGGCCAGTGGCCCTGCAGACTGCTGCTGGGGTGAGGCTGAGGCAGGGCAGCTGGAAGGGCAGGGGCCAGCCCCGTGGGCCTGCAAGCACTGGGCACCTCCTCTCTCCACGACCGCCCTGCCGCCCAGGCCGGGCAGTGGTGTTGTGACAAGTGGGTGGCACCGCCCACCTGGGAGCCTGCTGTGCCCAGGGTGGGGAGAATCAGCAGGTGCACAGCCCTGCAGCCCCCTCCCCCCACCGCCTGCCCACAATGCACTCAGAGGCCGGTCCACACTGGGGGTCCCTAGAGCACTGGTGGGAAGATAAGAACAAGGGGGACAGGGACAGCACTGTGGCGAAGTGGGTTAACGCCCTGGCCTGAAGCGCTGGCATCTCACATGGGTGTCGGGTTCTAGGCTTGGCTGCTTCACTTCCAGTCCAGTTCTCTGCTGTGGCCTGGGAAAGCAGAAGATGGCATAAGGCCTTGGACCACTGCACCCACGTGGGAGACCTGGAAGAAGCTCCTGGCTCCTGTCTTCAGATCGGCACAGCTCCGGCCGTTGCAGCCAATTGGGGAGTGAACCATCGGATGGAAGACCTCTCTCTCTCTCTCTTTCTCTCTCTCTCTCTCTCTCTGTGTGTAATTCTGACTTTCAAATAAATAAAACCTTTTTTTAAAATTTAAAAATTTTTTTAAATTTAATTTAAAAATTTTTTTAAATTTATTTTACAGGTAGAGTTAGAGACAGTGAGAGAGAGAGACAGAGAGAAAGGTCTTCCTTCTGATGGTTCACTCCCCAAATGGCCGCCATGGCCAGCGCTGCGCTGATGCGAAGCCAGGAGCCAGGAGCTTCCTCCTGGTCTCCCATGGGGTGCAGGGCCCAAGCACCTGGGCCATCCTCCACTGCACTCCCGGCCACAGCAGAGAGCTGGCCTGGAAGAGGACAACCGGGACTAGAACCTGGCGCCCATATGGGATGCCGGTGCTGCAGGGGGAGGATTAACCAAATGAGCCAAAGTGCCGGCACCAAATAAAATCTTTTAAAATAAATAAATAAAAACAAAGAACAGGGGGGAGGAGGGGAGGGAAGTGGGCTTCCCCAGATGTGAGCGGGAGCCCGGGAAGTGGCCTGGGTGGGGCAGGTGTGGGGACCTTTCGGGGTTGGGGTGTGGTGGGAGCGACCGCCTGGAACAAAGACTGCAGGTGCTGTCCTGGGGAAGCCGGCACTTTTATTCTTCGCCCAAAGCATCCAAATGGGAAAGGAAAAGCCCCCGTGGCTTCCTGTGCTGAGGCCGGGAGTGAGGGTGCTGGGCGACACCGGCCCGGCTGTCCGGTGCAGACCCTGGGACAGGCGGACACGGGCAGGTGTCAGGCAGCAGCCCACAGCGGCGCAGAAGGCAGTGAAGCGTCAGGTTCCTGGGGAGCTGCAGCTTCGTCCCTGGAGAGGCAGATGCCGGCGAGGGCGCCGCGGCCTTCAGTGCCCAGGGGAGGCTGTGACGCTGCCTGTCGGGGACAGGGGGCCCGTCCCCGCCTTCCCGTGGGGCCTCTCCTCCAGCCTGTGGCCCCAGCCCTCCTGCACTCCCTGTCCCGCCCCAAAGCCGCCCTCCTTGGCCTGGCTGCAGTCCTGTCACCCGGGAGGCGCTGGGGCAGAGGCCGCCAGGCTGCTTTGAGGCCTGGGGTCCAGGCCAGGGTGGGAACACTGCGGGAAGGTGACGGATCCGTCCAGGGCCGTGCCCGGTCACATGAGGGGGGCCTGCTGGGACACTCACCCCACTAGGACAGGAAGGTGCGCACACAGCTGCGGACAGGGGCCCGGCAGATGGGGCACAGGTGCAGGTTGGGGGCGCACTGGGTGCAGACCAGGTGTCCACACGGCACAAAGACGACAGACACGGCCTGGTCCAGGCACACCTTGCACGTCCTCTCCTCCTGCAGCCGCCGCAGCTGCTCCTCCATGGCCACGGCCCCAGCTCCTGGGGGCCCCGAGAACACGCTGGCACCCTCAGGCCGGGCTCACCTGGTGCCTCCAAGGCAGGGGGACCTGTGGCCCCGATGCCTGGCACCTGCCAGCCCCCCAGGTGCCGTCTGCCCTCCCGTGCCGCTGGCCTGGGATGCAACAGCCCCCTCCCCCACCCCCAGGTGGGTCCTTACCTGCACCTGGTTCCCGGGCGCTTTCAAGCCAGGGCTCTGTTCTGGGTGTGAGCAGCTCAGGGGCCTGGTGCACAGGACCTGTGGGCAGTTGGGAACGTGTTCAAGGCCCAGCCCCAGGGAAAGCCAGGCCCGGCCGCCTCAAGGCCGTTCTGACCAGGAGATGGGGAGGTGAGCATGGCACAGGCTGAACTCATCACCGCCTGGTGGAATGCAGAGGCCAGGGTGCTCCGGGCGTGCAGCCCCCGGGCAGGGCTGGGCTCTGTGCCAAGGGGCGGGTAAGGTGAGAAACCAGGGGAAGGCAGGCAGCATCCGGGGCGGGCGTGCCCCTGCCCTGGCTGCCCAGCCCAGCTCTCCTCCTGGAGCAGACTGGCCATCCGCCGCAAGGGGGACACGCCCACTGTGTCCACCCAAAGCCCCCAGCGTGGGCGCTGGCTCCACATCAGCTGCTCCAGGCCACCCCTGGGGGCCGCCGGGCCTCAGGGTCATGGGAAAGAAGCAGGTGGCCTGCTGGTGTCCACCAGCACCCGGCCGGGGTTCCTGGCATGAAGGCACAGGGCAGAGCCCGACCCTCTCACCCCCACCGAGGGGCCTGCACTCGGAGGCGCCGCCTCACAGGGAGGGCCGTGAACCTGGTCACCTCGGACCCCAGAGCGTTGCCTGGGCCCCAGGGCACTGCGTCAGCAGAGGCAGGAACCCTGGAGACCCCACCCCAGCCCGGGTTTCTGGAGTTTTCCGGAGACCCTTCGGCCCCAGCCCGGGGCCCAGGCAGGGACTAGGAAAGCCGGCTACTGTGACTCCAGGCCTGGCTGCTGGCCGCTCCCCACGTGGCAACCATGGCAACGGGCTCGTGGTGGCCCCGGGGAGCAGGGTGGGATTCACACCACGGTGCTCACCAGAGGGGCTGGCGGGGGCTGTGTCTTCCGGTTCTTCCCACAGGTCCTGGAAGGAGAAGAGCTGTGCCTTGAGTTGGGGCGGGTGGATTGGGGGGACCCGCACCCCAACAGGAGGTGGGACTCACCCAGGGGCCGAGCAGCTGGGAGCCAGACTCCTGGATGCTGTGCACAAAGTCTCTTCCTTTCGACCGAAGCAAGAACTGGCACCTGAGGCCGGGGATGGCGGGCGGGGCTGACGGAGACCCCGCCCCTCCCCACCTGTGGACCCCGCCCTGGCCCAGACCCTCCTCCCCCAAGGTGGGAGCCGGGTCAGACCTGCGGCCGCCCCTGGGGCCGTTACCTGGGGAACCACTTGGCGTGTTCAGTCCAGGGGTCGTCTCCTCGCTCCCAGCTCTGCAGACCCCCGTAGCAGAAGAAGCACCTCACCTTGTCCTGCTGACCTGGGGGCGGCAGAGACGCTGGCCCCACAGCCCCAGTGCGCCCCTCAGGGTGGGCGTCCTTCCTGCCAGGGAGCCGGGGCGGGGGAGACAGGACAGCACCGAGGGCGCCTAGTGGCGCGGGTCAGTGACTGATGGAACGTTCAGGAAAGCGCTGAGCTGGCATGCGCATTGTTCAGAGGGGCCGTCACAGCCCAGGAGCTTGGGGGCCGGGGTGAGGTGGGGTCTGCCCCGGTTCCCGGAGAGAGGGGCAGGACACAGCCAGGCCAGTGCCAGGGGGTGCCGGCCTCCCCTTCCCCAGCCCTGGCCTCTGCTGGGCCCCTTGTCTGTCCCTCATGCGTGAGGTGCCCTGGGCGGCTGAGGCCACAGGTGGGGCCTCCATAGGCCCCTCCCAGCATGGGGCGCCCCCGCACCCCACCTCCGCCCACCTAGCGCCCAGCATCCGGCCTCCCGTCAGTTGGGCCTCTTACCCAGCAAGGAAGAAGGTGAGGGGAAGGTGAGGACTGAGCCCCACCCCCGCTGCGGTAATGACCACAGCAGCGGTGCCTCCACGGGGTCCCCCAGGGGTCCTGCTGCCCGGCAGAGCTGGGAACCCCCCAGCCACAGGACAAGCCAGCCCAAACCGCGACTAGAACAGGTGCCGGGGACACCTTGGGGACTGGAAGCCCGGCTGTGTGTGGAGAGCTGACAGAGGCTTCCCACCAGGCCGGGGGCCACCCCCTCCGCTCTGGGACACAGGCCTGGGGAAGGGACAGGCCCGCGCGATGCCAGCCCTGCCCAGTGTCCCCACAGTGGCTCCCAGAGAGGCAGGACGCAAGATGTGGCCACAGAGGATCCCACTTGCCGGGCCCACCCTGCTGTGGGGGTGTGGAACAGCATCCAGGCCCCACAGGAGGAAGCCCCAGACTCACCGGTGTGGAGGAAGCCCCAGACTCACCGGTGTGGAAGAAGCCGGCAGCGGCCAGCGGCTCGGGCCGCACCCCCGCAGTCAGGGGCCAGTCATAGAAGGAGGCCAGCCGCAGCTCCTCGGAGCCCATGCCAGGGCAGGCGGCCCCCGGGGGCGAGCTGGCCCCAGCCCCCTCCTCCTCCTCTTCCTCCTCTGCCAGGGTGCGCAGCTGGCCCAGGATCTGCCCGTCCACCTGGTCGTGGCCTCCCCGGGGGTCCTGGGCCAGGACACGGCCCCAGGGAACGTGGGGTTTCCGGGGCTCCCAGGCGGGGCCCTCGCCTGCTGCCCAGCTCCAGCACTTGGCCCTGTCTTCGGGGACCATGGGGCAGACACCTGCTCTGGCCAGGCCTGGAATGCGTCCAGCCTGCCCACCTCGGGGCTCCTGAGCCCTGGACACGGTGGTGGACTCGCTCTGAACAGCTGGCTGACGAGGGTAGGGACAGTCCAGCCCCAGATGCCCCGTGGGGAGCGCACAGGGGCCCACTGTGTTCTGGAAGGGGCCAGGCGGCAGCGGGGTCACATGCTCTGCCGTGTCATGGGGCCCCGGCAGGGCTGAGGCAAGGCCGGTGGCGGGGAGTGGTCAGGTTCTGCTCCCTTCCACAGGGGCCCAGAGGGGCTCACGGAAAAGGGCATGGAGACCCCCCGGAGGCATGGTCCAGAGGGCCTGGGGCAGGAGCCAGGTGCAGCTTCTGCGTGCAGAATTTAGAGCTCAGGTGGGGGGGGGGCAGTCCCCTCACAGGGACACCCTGCTGCCCAGGCCTGTGCAGGTCCTGGCCTGAGCTGTCCCCCCGCCCTCGCTGGGGGCACCACACAGGGCAAGCTCTGGGTTTCTGGAGGAACTGGCACAGAGCCAGACCTGAAGCCTGGGGCCGACCCCAGTGCTGTCTGTCTCCCTGGGGCGGCCCCTCCCTGTTGGAGCAGCTCAGGGCCCAACAAGCTGGGGGTTGGGGGGCTGTGCTTGATCCGGTTCAGAGTGGAGCCAGGCGGGCTGAGAAGGGGTCCCCACTCTGCCACTTCACCTGCCTCCGTGGCCTGGCCCAGGTGTCTACACTCACCCGCGTGGCTCTGCTCCACACTCAGCATGGCCTCGGCCTCCCCAGGGCCCCCAGCACTTCTCGTTGCATCGACCCTCAGCCCCAGGCTGCCAGGGACCCCTGAGACCCCAACCCTCTGTTGTTGAGGACCCAGAGCCAGCTGGGTGGTGTCGGGTGTCAGCCACACCCCTCCTGGCTCCAGGGCCTGGCGGGGGCCCCAGGGTGGGGCGGACATAAGACAGAGGGTCCCCACATGTGGCTCTGGGTGGCTGGGGGCTTCCTGAGCCTCCCTCCTCCCAGCAGCCTGGACCCTCAGGGCAGTGCCAGACTCTTTTGGCCGCTTCAGCCCCACTTTGTGCCCCCCCACGCCCCGGGCCTGCCGCCTGGCTGTGTGGGCAGGAGGACAGGGTCAGCTGTTTTCGAGGAGGGGGCCACATCCAACTCCAGGTTTGCCCAGAGCCCTCTGGACTAGGGACCCCCACAGTGGGCAGGCACAGGGGCCCTGGACCCCTCCTTCCCAGGCCACTGCTGGACACTGCAACTGGAACCGCTTTCCTCATTGCAAACAGGATGAAGGAGCCTGGGGGCGGGGGTGAGTGAACCCCTCCTGGAGCCACCCACAGGGCCCTTAGGGGGTTGGGGCATCGTCCCCTCTCCTCACTGCCCCCACCCCGCAGTCCACTGTCTGTGCCACGTAAGATTCCCGCCATCGGGAAGTCTCCCTGTCTTGCTTATGTAATTACAAAGAAGAAACCGGGAGCTAAACATAGCGGCCATGTGCCTGCTCCGGAAGCCGTGGGATGCTGAGAACAGAGGAGAGAGCGCCCAGCGCGCCTGCCCCGGCCGTGGCGCCCCTGCTTCTGAGGTGAGAAGGGGCGCAGGGCCCTGCCCACTGCCGTGTGCTCCTTGTGAGTCTTCGATTCTCTCCAAAGAAGAGCTGGGGACACTGCCGGCCTCCTGGCCGTGATGGACCTGGGACAAGACGAGGCTGCGCCAGAGCCTGGGGGTCCTGGGCTCCGGGCCAACAAGGAGGAGGAGGAGGAGGAGGAGGAGCAGGAGAAGGAGGAGGAGGAGCCTCCCCCGTGGCTAGTGTTCCTGGGAGCCCAACCGGAAGAAACAGTGCCAGGCATCCCACCCCCGCTGAGTCCCCAGGCCCCTTGGGGATGCACGCAGGGCTAAGAGCTCTGCTGCACACTGGCCTGCCGTGGCCTGCCCATGTCTCCACGCCAGGCACCTGGGTCTCTGCCACCCCAGCTCCCCAGGCAGAGCCCCTGCCCGCCCCGCTGTGAGGCCTGTGTGTGCAGGGGACCTTCTGGTGGGGGGTCCAGCCCGCAGCCACCCGCCACTGCGCTCTCTGCTGCCTCCAGGAGTCCTGGGATTTCGCACAGGTGGCCTCAGGAGCAAAGACGGGGGGCCAGCACTGTGGTGTAGCGGGTAAAGCCGCTGCCTGCAGTGCCGGCGTCCCATGTGGGTGCCAGTTTGAGTCCGGCTGCTCCACTTCCAATCCAGCTCCCTGTTGTGGCCCGGGAAAGCAGTGGAGGATGGCCCAAGTGCTTGGGCCCCTGCACCTGCGTGGGAGACCCGGAGGAAGCTCCTGGCTCCTGGCTTCAGCCTGGCCCTGCCCTGGCTGTTGTGGCCATTTTGGGAGAGAACCAGCAGATGGAGGATCTCTCTCTCTCTCTCTCTCTCTCTCCCCCTGTAACTCTGCCTTTCAAATAAATACCTAAATCTTAAAAAAAGAAAATAAATAAAAAGCAGCAGCAGCAAAGACTGGCAGGCCACGAGCTCCCCGCACTGGAGGCCAGGGCGCCTGTCCTCCGTGTCTCGGACCTGGGGTCCCCGCAGGGGTGAGGGGGCAGGAATGGGGGAGGGGATGCTGCGCTAAACTCCTGCACATCCGGGCCCTGGCCGGGCTGGACCAGGGTCCCCGCAGACTTTGCCAGGGCAGTGGATGCTCCCTGCCCGTCCCCTCCTCGCCTGCCTCCTGGCTCGAGAGCTCCAGGCAACCCTGTCAGCACATGCATGTGGTCATGGCTGCTGTCTTGGGGCAGCCCACCTGCTGACCACACACCTGCACCGCTTCCACGTGCTGTCCCAGCAGGTCAGAGGCCACGTTCCAGCTCCTGGCTCGGAGCTCCCTCTCCTGGACATACAGAAGGTGACAGCCCAAGACACAGGCCCCGTGTGTCCCCAGAGCGAGCCACGCTGGCTCCGGTGGAGGCACAGGAAGGGCCGAGGGGGCCATGCCTGTGGCCGGCGCCGTGGGACACGCATGTGAGGCTGCAGAGGTGGACGGGGTCAGAGGAGCCCACCTGGCTGCAGGCCCAGAGGAGCGGGCGAATGGGGCAGAGGCCTGGGCGAGGCCGAGCCTGTGACAGCCCCCGGGGGTCTCTGGTTTGGGCCCGAGGCGCGCGCATCCTCTGTTGGGGCTGGGACTCAGCCGCAGGCGACAGAAACTCGAAGCTGTGTAAAGAGGAAACGGGTCAGCCAGTGGGCTGGGCCGGCCCCGGGTGTCCCCAGCCGTCACCGCCCGCAGGCAAGGCGGCTCCCAGGCCTCTGTGAGGGCGCAGCTCATAGCCAGGGGCAGCGCCAGGGCGCCTGGGCCCCTAAACCACGGCAGAACATTCGCGGCCGTGGGTCGGAGGGGCCAGGCGCTGGCAGGCCAGATGGGGTCACGACGGCCAGGCACGTGTGAGGGGGACAGGGGGCCACTGCTGCCCCCTGAGAGGGGCTGCACTGTGCCTGCCGCGGCCCCTCCAGCTGCCAGACGCCCCCCTGCACCCCCAGCCCTCCAGGGTGAGCCCCGCTCACTCACATTCTGCCCCCAGCAGCCGTCCCGGGCACCGCCCCTCCCCCGCACCACCTGCAGTGCGTCTCTGTCACCTGAAGGCGGTGCTCCCTCCCCACCCCCGCTCGCGGCCTCCAGGCCTCACTTCTGTCCCACAGTCCGCAGCATCTGGGCGGCTCTGGGGTCTCCAGGCCCAGGTGCCTCTGACAGCAGCTGCGCCACCTCAATGCCGAAGGCCGAGGCCACTGGAGCTGGATGCTGTCCCTGCGTCCAGCCCGGCTCCCTCAGCTCAGCCTGGGGGCTCGGGCACAGTGAGGACAGCCGCCCTGCAGTCTGCAGAAGCAGAGGGCGGCAGAGGCTGGGCTGCCGGCCCGCCACCGGGAGGTCGTGCAGGGGGGCATAGGCAGGGTCTCAGGAGCAGGTGCGCCGGCCACGCCCACTGCGGGCTGAGCAGCTGCTCACTCAGGGGGGCCCTCGGGTGTGGTCGCCTTCCCTGCACCCAGCAGCGCTCCCTGCACCAGCACTCAGCCGCCAACCAGGGGCGGTGCCTGCTGCTGGAGGTGACCTGGGGGTGGGCAGCTGCCTCAGTCCTGGCTCCCACTGCCCCTCTCTGTCTCAAGAGCCCAGCCTGGCTGGGCACCCGCTCCACGCCCAAGTCCGAGTCTCAGTTCAAGGGTGGGTTCCTGTGAGGTTCCCGGTGCTCAGGAGGGGCTCAGTGGGCTGAGCGGGGCTGCAGAAGTGTCCCCTGCTGGGAGCTGCCCCCCCCCAGCACTGTCCACACGCTGGGCAGTGGATGCTGCGATGGGGTATTTAAGGACAGGAGGCTGGAGCCTGCGAGGTGCAGTGCATCACAGGGGCACGTCCAGGTTACCCCGAAGGCGTCGGGGAGGTTGGGGGAGCTCCGAGGACAACAGCAGGCTCGACGAGGATGAAGCAGCCCCAGCGCGAGGAGATGGTTCGGGAGGAGGCCGCCCGCCCCACCAGGGGAGCCCTCGATCGCAGCCGGGGTGCTGGCAGGTGGGCGACGCCCACCCAGGTGGACAGCGTCTGCGGCCAGCCATTCTGAGCCCAGCTGCTGGCAAGGCCGTGTCCAGCTGTCAGGAGGGCCTTGCTCCAGCCAGGGGTCATCTTCAGAACCCCCCCCCCACCCGCCCAGCTCAGAGGAGGGTCTCCTGGCTAGAGACTTTGGCACAGCCTCTGTGGGGGACATCTGGCAACACCGACAACCCGGCCAATGCCTCTGGACCTGGAGTCGAACCTGCGGCGGCCTCCCTCCAGGTGTCCTGGCACAGGTGTGCCCGCGCCTCAGGGGCCCCTCCCTCGAGAGGGCGAGGCGCCGGCTGTGGCGCTGACCATCAGGGGCTGTGGATCCCCAAGTTCCAGCTTTCCAAGAACTGGGGTTCAGACAACGGGCGAGGCAGACAGAGCAGCTGGGGGCCTGGGGGCTCCCTCCAGAAGGGGCTGGGGGTGGTGGTTTCTGCTTCCCACCTAGTACGCTCTGAGGCTTTTTAAAACTATGTGCCTGCCTGACTTCGGAATAAACAAAAGCTGAACCCTTTCCACGCTGCGACACTGGAGAATTCCACAGCTGTGGAGCGACAAGACCCCCGTCCGCCAGGGAGGTCTGCACAGGAGCCTCACTCTGCCCACAGCGCAAGGAGCGGCATTTCCCTGGCAGGGAGCACCAGCTGCCCCCGATGTCCAGTGGGCCTCCTCAGTGCTGGGGGCCTTCCTGCCCCCAGCCAACAGGGCCAGCCCAGGCTGGGGCTGTGCACCACAGCAAGCTCCACCCCCTGACCTCCTCCCGGGCGGCCCACAGCCCTGCCTGCCTCCCCGTGCCCCGGACAGTGAGGGCCCCGCCCATGCGTGCACTATGCAGGTGGCCACACGCCCCAGATGTCCACAGCCGCACTCCAGTCCCAGAAGGGCCAGGGGCTCTGCAGGGTGGGGAGCCCACCCCTCCAGCCACCACCATCAGCTCCTCTCTGAGGCCACAGCTCCAAGCCATCAGCCACAGCGGCAGGGGGCCGAGTGCCCTGGTTCCTGAAGGCTCTGTGGAACTGAGCCAGGGCCACCTGGGGGCTCCGTGGTCTGACCCTGCTCCTGCCGCAGGAGTGGGGCTGGGGGTGAGCCTACTGCCCACGCCCACCCCACGGCGGCCAGACCGTGGCTCTCTGCAGTCAGACCATCAGCAGAGGCGTCCCCCGGGCGCGGCTCTGGGCTCAGCCTCTCAGCACCGTCCCTTCATTCAGTCCCTCGGTTCCCTGCCAACCAGCAGAGGGCAGGCCTGATTCTCGCGTCCGCCGGGTCAGCATTCCGGCTGCAGAGAGGTGGGCAGCAGCCTGGAGGGGGGCGGTGGCGAGCAGGGGCTATCGACCCCACCCGCCCCTTTCCTGGCCAGTGGAGGCCTCTCCTGGCCACACTGCCCGCTGAGCCCCGGTCAGCACCGCAGTACAGACCTGACCCCCACCCTCGCAGTGTGCTGGGGAGCCCCCCACCAAGTTCATGTCCTCCTGAGACCCCTGAGGCAACCCCATTCAGAAACAGGGTCTCTGCAGATGGCACAGCAGTGGGAGGAGGTTGCCCCGGACTCAGGTGGGCGCTGAACCCAGCGACAGAGACGCCAGTGAGGCACAGCCGGGAAGCCAAGGGCGGCCACTGCAGGCCAGGAGCCCCACACAGAGCGCGGCACTGCCCGCGCCTGATTCCAGTCCCGGGACCCTGAGCTCAGACCCCGCCTCGGCCGGGAGGAAGTGAGGTCCCCGTGTTCTGTGGCCCTGGTCCCAGGGCCCTGGCTGCCTCAGCCCTGGAAACGAAGGCACCCGCAGCCCACACCCGCCCGAGACCCCAGCGGCCAGTGTGGCCTCCTGCAGCTGCCTGGGCATGCGTGCAGGTGCCAAGTGACAGCCGGTGTGTGGGGGCCATGGCCTGGCGCCGGAGGCTGCGTGCACCACTCAACCCTGCGAGGGGGGGAAAGGTGGTCCCGGGGGCCGAGAACCTCGGAGTGGCTGTGTGGAGACCCGGGGGCCGAGGACATGAGTGGCTGCGTGGAGACCTCGGGGCCGAGGACATGAGTGGCTGCGTGGCCCCACGCCCCACCAGGGGCCACTGCCCCGTCCGCCAGAGGGAGGTGAGCTGGGGAGGCAGGGGGAGGGGCTCTGATCATGGACACTCCTGGGCCCAGAGATGGCTGCCCTGCCGTCCTAGACCCTGGGAGCAGGTGTGCAGCCCCCTCTCCCCATGTTCTGGGCTCAGCCACAGACAGGCGGAAAGGCTACCCTGCCCCTCAGCACCCTGCTGGCCACCGTGAGCCCCGTGTCCTCCTGTGCCCACCACCAGCCTGGACACGCCTCACTCGTCTTTGGACGCAGCCCAGATAAAAGCACTGTCTCCCCACGGCCAGGTGCATCCAAGCCTCAACCGTCTGCACCCAACCTGGGCGCCAGCCGTCCCTCCCGGCTCGGTGCTGCAGCGAACATGCCCGCCTGTCCAGCGCTGGGCCAGCGCTGGAGACTGGAGCCGAGGCCGGGAGCCGTGGTGCGGGCCTCCCCTGAAGTGGTGAGATGTTGTCAGGGCCCGGCTGAGCCGGAAGCCCAGGCTGCCCTATCTCAGGGGCACAGGGACTGCCCGGCCCTCACTGCGGCTTAGCGCCTCTGCTTGGCCTCTCTGGGGTCATTCCTGCCCCTCGTGCCGGCCCAGCATTCCCTGCGGCAGGACAGGACTGATTCGGGCCACATGCGTTCATGGCACCTGCCAGGGCCGAAAGAGAACAGCCACCTGGACGCCATGGTGGGGCGTGGCCGCGGTGGGGCCGAGGGGACACCTCCGGGAGTGACCGGGAGGGGCTACGGGCAGGGGCCTCCGCGGGGCTGGCGAATGAGAACGGGGCCGGGAAGGGGCGGCCTGGCTTGAAGCCCGCTCCCCAGCCCCGCGCACCTGTAAATGCGGCGTTTCTCCTTCGGACCCCGGGATGACCCCAAGGCCCATAAAGATGGACGTGCCCAGGGCTCCCGCTGCCGTCGCCGCCAAGCGAACCGCACAGGAGCAGGTGCACAGCGGGCGCCGCCGGGTCCCAGCCCGGCCCCACCGCCCTGCGGGGCGCGCCCCACGTGACTTCTCGGGCTCCGCCCCCGCCTCCGCGACCTCGCCCCGCCCCCGTCGCGCGAGACTGAGACCCGGGAGAGAAATCCGTCCCGCAAGGCGGGGAGGCGCAGGCGCGTGCGTGCCGGCCGGGCGTCATTCCCGGCGTGCCTCGCGCGCGCTTACGACGCGCAGCCTCGTCCCTGCCGCCGCCGCCGCCGCTACCGCTGCTGCCGCTGCCGCTGCCGCTGCTGCCGCTGCTGCCGCCATTGGAGTTGGCGCCCCCTCTGTGCGCCCCCCGCCCGGCTGCCGCCGCCGCCCCGCGAGCCAGCACCGCCGCCGGCGCCCGGGAACTTGGCGTCGGGGGCCGCGCGCGGCGGGGACAGGCCCGGCCTCGCGGGAGGCCCGAGCCGGCGGCGTTCATGAAGCATGTCGGCCACCAGCGTGGATCCCCAGGTAGGGCCGGGCCGGTGTCGCGGGGCCGGAGCCTGGAGGCCGGGCTAGGGCTGGGCCGGGAGCCGGGGCCGTGCTGCCGGGACCTGGGGGCCGGGCGGGTCCTGCCGTGGGTAACCGAGTGTTCCCTCCGGCCGCGTCCGCTGCAGGGAACAAAAGGACAAGACGCTAACGGTGAGCGCGGCCCCGGCGCCCGGAGCCGGCGGGGAGGGGGCGGCTTCCCGAGAAGCCGGGGAGCGCCCGCCGCCCCGGCTGCCGAGCCCGGGGCGGACCGCTGCCGGGCGCCGTGCGTGTGGCTCGGGTGTAGCCGGATCCGGCTGCGGCGCGCCTGGGCTGTCCGGAGCTGCCGGCCGCCCTGCGCCGCCTCCGCCGAGCTCCAGACCGAAGCGTCGCTTCCGGGAAGTGCCTTGAGTCGGGAGCCGGGCGGTGACCCTGTGGCTTCCTGTTCCAGCGCACAGTGGTTCTTTGCAGCCGAAGGAGACGGTGCCCGACGCCGACTTCGAGCCCTACCTTCCCGGCCAGTCGAGTCAGGTGAGCCTGCCGCGCCCCCGCCCTGGCTCTGCGTCCCCAGGCCCTCCCTGGAGCGCGGAGCCTCCCCTGGCGCCCCGGGCAGCTGGCCGGGCCGGGCCGGGCCGGGGTTCGTGCATCGGTGTTTGGTGTCTTTTTCTTTCTCGAGAGAGAGTGGGAGCCGGTGAGCCCCCTGCACCGGGTCACTTCCCAGCCATGGCCGGGCCAGGGCTCCATCCCCGCCCCTGTGTGGGTGGCGGAGACCCAAGGACATCGGAGCGGTCACCTGCTGCCTGTCGGTGTGGGCAGCAGGAAGCTGGAGCCGGGACTCGGGTGTGACGGGGGAGGCAGGGAGGCCTGTGAGCCTGCCTGACGGGGGAGGCAGGGGGCCTGTGAGCCTGCCTGACGGGGGAGGCAGGGGGCCTGTGAGCCTGTCTGACGGCGGAGGCGGTGCTGCTTGCTGTGCTGAGTCCGGCACCGCAGTCCAGGGGAGCGGCCGAGCGCTGGGCCTGGACTCGGCCGCCCGGCCTGGTGACTGGCGCTGGTGACTGCCTTCCCTGTGCCTCGGTTCCTGGGGTAACTCCTGGCTGTCGGCACCTCACGGGGTGCCCTGGGGGGCTGGTTGTCCTCCACCCCTTTGGAACGGAGCGCTGTGCGGCTCGGGGGCTGTTCTGTGGGTCGTGGGTATTCGTGGCATCCGTGGCTGCCAGCGCAGGGCGTTCTTAGCAACGCCCCCTCCCCTAGGAAAGCTGTGGTACCCAGAGCCGTCTGCAGGATTCCCTGAGAGGCCGCTGGGCCAGTCGGCAGTTAGGAGGCTTGACCGTAACAGCATCGCTTGAGCGTGCTTGCCTTGGTAGCGCCAGGCCTGCCGTGCTGGGGTCAGACTCCTCTGTCCGCCAGGGCTTTGCTAGAACGTTCTCCGCTGCTGGGTGAGGCGGCGGCCGGCAAGTTGGGGAAAGCGTGGCGGGAGGTGGGCTTGACCACCAGGTCTCCTGGTGCTGCAAATCTGCCCCTCCCTGGGCAGGCAGGCGTGCGGAGCCGCCTGGGCCGAGCGAGGGTGACAGGCGGGTTCCGAGGTTCCCGTCAGTTATGTGCTTCCCTGCCTTCTCGGGGGACACAGGACCTCTGTGCGGGATTTTAGCCAGCAAGTGGGCGGCAGCTTCCTTGACACACGTGTGTACGATTAGTGGATTTACTTACTGGAAAGGTAGAGCCGCGGAGAGGGTGAGATCGTCCTCCGTTGGTCCGCTCCCCAAATGACCGCTGCCAGACGGAAGCCGGGAAGTCCCTCGTGGTCTCCGCACGGTGGCGGGGCCCAAGGGCCGTGCTGTTCCCGCTGCCTGCCCGGGTCATTAGGGCGCAGAGCAGCTGGGACTCGAACCAGCGCTGCTACTGGGGTGACGGCGTCGCACACGGGCCTCACCTGTGGCGCCACAGCGCTGGCCCCTGAAGTGTGTCTCTGTGACACTTGGGAGGATTCTGTGGCCGTGGGAGGATTGTGTGCCCGTGGTGGTCCGGGCAGTCTGCCCTTGGAGAAGCCGTGGAGGGCGCTCGCGGGCCGAGGCGGCGGGGACGGTAAGGTGGTGGGGAGTGTTCTCAGCCAGGCGAGTCACTGGCTGCTGCGGGTGGCAAGTCCACGTCCTCTGCCTGCAGTGGAAGGAGGCACACGCCCGGGAGACTCCCGAGTCCTCGTCTCCCTGTGCCGTCCTCACAGATGAGGGGCCGCAGCCTCTGGCTGGCGGACGCTCGCCTCTCCCCGCCGCGTGCTGTGTCCGTGTGGGGCCCGGTGCTGCTCTGCTTCGGCCGCACGTCACCTGGGAATGGCTGCCCAGGACCTGCGCTCTGTGATGGGGAGTCTGGTTCTCAGGTGCGGGCGATGTCTGGTGCCCAACGTGGCCGGTGGGGTAGAAAAGCCACTGGGCGTGGCTGGTAGCTGCCAGCGTGGAATCTGGGACTGTGTGTGCATGTGTGTGTATGTATACACGTGTGTGCCTGTGCCTCACAGCTTTGTCCAGGTGTTAGGGTGTGCCGTGAGCCGCGTGTGCTTGGAGCTTATAGTTTTATGACTTGGTTTACGTGGAGCCGGTACCACGGTGAGAGAGTGGTCACACCCATCAGCCCCAGGGCTGCCTTTTTTTTTTTTTTTTTTTAAGATTTATTTATTTTATTTGAAAACCAAAGTTACAGAGGCAGAGAGAGAGAGGTCTTCCTTCTGCTGGTTCACCCCCCAAGTGGCTGCAACAGCTGTAGCTGGGCCGATCTGAAGCCAGGAGCCAGGAGCTTCCTCTGGGTCTCCCACGCGGGTGCAGGGCCCAAGGACTCAGGCCCTCTGCTGCTGTCCCGGCCACAGCAGAGAGCTGGATCGGAAGTGGAGCTTTGCCGTAGCGCTGGACCCGGGGCTTCTTGTGAATCCCAGTGTGGTCTGTGAAGTCAGGCGGAGGCCACCGCGGTGCTGTGTGTGGTGGAACTGCGTTCCTGAGGTGCTTTGGAAGTCTTCAAGAGCCTGCCCGCGGGGTTGGTGGCACTGGCACGCCTGGGTGTCTCCCTGCTGTGCCTCACAGCAGTTAGTTTTCTGCCCTCCTCGCCCTGGGGGTGGCCGGCTGCAGGAACTCCGTGTCTGCTCTGTGACTTGCGTACACTTGGGGAGGGGGGCCGAGTGCAGGCTCTGGGTGGGGTGTGTCCATCTTGACTTCTCACTGGGGTCCCGGAAGTGAGAGGAGACTGGGATGGGCCGGAGCAGCCCCGCTCAGGGTTCCCAGCTCTGACTCCCAGCGGGGTCTGAGCCCCCAGCCTGCTACCGCCAGCACAGACGTGTGCTAACCTAGGCACCTGGGCGGGAGGGCGGCACGGGCCTTGGCGTGGCCCCGAGTGCTAGCCTGTCCATGCCCTCATCTGCCCCTTGACCTCTGCAGGCACAGGGCGTGGCAGAGCCAGTGGGATCTGCTGGGCACACTTGGGCCGTCTGCTGCTGCTTTCCCAGGCCATGGCAGGGAGCCGGATCGGAAGAGGAGCAGCCGGGACTCAAACCGGCGCCCACATGGGACGCTGGCACCATAAGCGGAGGCTTCGCCTGCTGTGCCACAGCGCCAGCCCCTGACCTTGTGACTTTAGTTCACGTCACTGCACATGGGGCTTTGTACTGGGAGCTGATGGCCGGGAGCGTCTCAGCCTTGGCCTGCTCCCACACTGGCGCCTTCTCTCTCCCACCGGCAGGGGAGACGGCCCAGGGCCGCGTCTGGCTCGGCCGGTTCGGTGTCTCCTACGCTGGAGGCCGGCTGACCCCCGTGTGTTTGTTTCTGCAGAGCAGCACTTACCCCTCGATGAGCGATCCCTACCTGTCCAGCTACTACCCGCCGTCCATCGGATTTCCCTACTCCCTCAATGAGGCGCCGTGGTCCACTGCGGGGGACCCTCCGATCCCCTACCTCACCACCTACGGGCAGCTCAGTAACGGAGACCACCACTTCGTGCACGATGCCGTGTTCGGGCAGCCCGGGGGCCTGGGGAGCAGCGTCTATCAGCACAGGTTCAACTTTTTCCCTGAGAGCCCCGCCTTCTCTGCGTGGGGCGCCGGCAGCTCTCAGGGCCAGCAGACTCAGAGCTCGGCGTACGGCAGCAGCTACACGTACCCGCCGAGCTCGCTGGGCGGCACGGTTGTGGACGGGCAGACGGGCTTCCACAGCGAGACCCTCAGCAAAGCCCCCGGCATGAACAGCCTGGAGCAGGGCATGGTCGGCCTGAAGATCGGGGAAGTCACCACCTCCACGGTCAAGGCGGCGGGCTCTGTGGTCAGCAGCGTGGCGCTGGCGGGCGTCCTGTCCAGCAGTGGTGGGACGAGTGTCAGCATGCCGGTCGCAAAGCCAACCTCGTGGGCCGCCATTGCCAGTAAGCCCGCAAAGCCACAGCCCAAGACGAAAGCCAGGAGCGGGCCTGTAGCCGGCGGTGCCCTGCTGCCCCCCCCCATAAAGCATGACATGGACATCGGCACCTGGGACAACAAGGGGCCCGCGCCCAAGGCCCCGGCGCCGCAGCCGGTGGCGCAGCCTCCCCCTTTGGCCCAACCACAGTATCCGAGCCCTCAGCCACCTCCCCCGGCCCGCTGGGCGGCCCCTCGCAGCCGAAGCGCAGCCTTCGGGCCGAGTGGAGGGGGCGCCAGTGACGGCAGCTCTCCCGGGAGCGGCCAGCCCGGTTCCGCCCCGAGTGTCGAATCCCACCCGGTCCTCGAGAGGCTGAAAGCTGCGCACACCTACAACCCGAAGGAGTTCGACTGGAACCTGCGCAGCGGGCGCGTGTTCATCATCAAGAGCTACTCGGAGGACGACGTGCACCGCTCCATCAAGTACTCCGTGTGGTGCAGCACGGAGCACGGCAACAAGCGGCTGGACAGCGCCTTCCGCGCCACGGGCAGCAAGGGGCCCGTCTACCTGCTCTTCAGCGTCAATGGCAGCGGCCACTTCTGCGGCGTGGCCGAGATGAAGTCGCCCGTGGACCACGGCGCCAGCGCGGGGGTCTGGTCTCAGGACAAGTGGAAGGGCAAGTTCGACGTGAAGTGGATCTTTGTCAAGGACGTGCCCAACAACCAGCTGCGGCACATCAGGCTGGAGAACAACGACAACAAGCCGGTGACCAACTCGCGCGACACGCAGGAGGTGCCCCTGGAGAAGGCGAAGCAGGTGCTGCGCATCATCGCCTCCTACAGGCACACGACCTCCATCTTCGACGACTTCTCCCACTACGAGAAGCGCCAGGAGGAGGAGGAGGTGGTGCGCAAGGTGAGTCTGCCGCACGCGGGGCCTCCGGGTGGGTCCGGTGGCGGCTCTGCCCACCCAGGCCTCCAGGAGGACCCGCGGTGGCATCTCGACGGAGCCGACGAACGCCCGCTCTGCACTTCGGCCCAGTGGCTGGGCCGTGACGTGCTTGTGCTCTGCTCAGGAGCTGGGGGCACTTTGTCGCGAACGTCTTTTTTAAAAGATTTATTTACTTATTTAAAAGGCAGAGTTACAGGGAAGCGTAGGCAGAGAGAGAGGTCTTCCATCCGCTGGTTCACTCCCCAAAAGGCTGCAGTGGCCAGAGCTGAGCCGATCCATAGACGAGGGCCAGGAGCTTCCTCCGGGTCTCCTCTATGGGTGCGGGGCCCAGGGCTTTGAACCGTGCTCCGCTGCCTTCCCCAGCCGTAGCAGAGAGCTGGATCGGAAGTGTGGCAGCTGTACCCGCTGTGCCACAGCACGGATTGTTTCTGAATCGTGGTCTTGCTTTGTAGCCTCTGTCCAGTCAGGAGCACACAGAAATAGTGTCCCTGGGGTGCTGCAGGACTGGCTGTGCCCCGAGCCCACCCACCTGGGGGCGCCTGGCCCAGCGTCACAAGCTCTGGTCTGCAGGTTGGTTCTTATCTTTCAGCAAGCCAGCGTCCTGCAGTTCCTGGCAGTTTGTGGCCACTCCATGCGGGTGTGGGTGTGGGTAGGTAGGGATTTAGACAGTTTTTGGTAAAAATTACCATATCTGGGTGCAGTGGCAGGAAACCGGTCTGGGTGGGTCGGGTCTGGAGGTGGCTCTGAGTGCCGGTCGCAGGTCGGGAGCCCAGCCCTCGGGCGTCTGCCCAGAGCAGGGTGCGTGCAGGTGGGGAGGGCAGGAAGCCGTGCCCCGAGCGGCCTTGGCCTGAGTTCGCCTCTCCTGGCTTGGCGTCAGCGCCCCCTGGCAGGAGTGTGGGTAGGAGGTGGGTCTGACCTCTGCCCAGTCCTCTGGTGAGAGGGCCGCCTCGCCCGTGAACGTGCGGGGTCTGCTGTCTTGGACGCCGCGTGTGCTGGCAGCAGCTCGGCGTGCGCAGCACCGGGGCTCGGCCGCCCCTTCTCTCGGAGGGAAGAGGCGACGCCGCTCATTTCCAGTTGCTGGAACCTTGTGTTTTAGCTCTCCGGTGAAAAACAGGCAGTCACACGGCACATGGCTGGCTTGCCCCAGAAATGCTCGGGAGGCACTGTCGTGGGACTGGAGTGAGCTGCACCAGGCTGGCCAGCGCCTGAGGGGCCGCTGTGCCGCGTGGCGTGGGGGCCGCCGTGTGGAGCCCGGCTGTCTGAGTTGCCGACTCTAGTCACACAGTAGGGGTAATTGCGAAGGGGACTGTGGGCCCTTGGCGGGCTGCACCCTGGCATCCGACCATGGGTGTGCCGTGTTTCCTCTTACGAGGTGTAATGTTTGGGTTTTCCGAAAGTGCTTGTCCCAAAGGTGGTGAGAAGCTTAGGGACAGAATGCTGCCCTCGCCCTGCGTGGTGTGTCCGCCCTCTGGTATCCTGAAACTTGGGTTGTGCCGGCACAGCCCTTAGCGGCTGCGTGCTTGTCCTGGTCTCTAGTTAAGCCCTGTGGAGAGTGACCTGGGCCGGGACTGAAGCCTTGTGGGCTGGCGTCTGCTCTGCGGGCCGCACCGGCCCTTGGAGCTCTGCTGAGTCACCGCACGCCGAGGGCACTGAAGAGGGCGCTGATGGGCTTGCATCCTGTGGAGCTCATCGCGCGTGTGCAGAGATGGAGTTGGTTCCCGGGGGCCCGGGCTGGACAGGGCCCTGGCCGCAGCGGCTGCCCCAGGCTCCGGCTGCATTCTGGGGGTTCGGCCAGGTGCTGGAGTTGTCTGCACTTTCTGGTGCGAGGGGTCTGGGGCTCCTCCTGGGGACAGTTTGCCGAGGTTCTCGGGACGTCTAAGGACAGACTTGGTGTTGAGGGTTGAGCCCTAGCGTGACACCACAGGGCGCTGTCCAGCTGGGGGTTTGCAGACTGACTGACGGCAGCTGAACCAGCCCAAGTCCTAGGTGGATGCTTTTGGGTGTTAAGGTTTATTTGAAAGGCAAAGTGACAGGCAGAGAGATCTTCCATCTGTTGGTTCACTCCCCAAAATGGCCGTGATAGCCAGGTCTGGGCCAGGCTGGGGCCAGGCTTCGGGGACTCCCTGTGTCTCTTACATGGGGGAGGGGCAGGGGGAGGGGGAAGATTCTATTTGCTGACCCCCCCCCCCCCCAACCATGCCCACAACAGCCAGGACTGGGCCAGGCTGCAGCTAAGGAGCTGGGAACTGGAGTCTGGGTCGCCCACGTGGCAGGGACCCAGGCACTTGAACCGACTGCTGGCTCCGAGGGTGTGCGTCAGGCTGGGCTGGGCTGGGCTGGCAAGCAGAGCCGCCGTGGAGCGGTTCAGTTGACACAGGCACTGTCTTGACCACTGTGTGGCCCGTCCCAAGAGTTTTTCCAAAGAGGATTTTTAAGGGAAAGCAAAATAGAGATTATTTAATTGTCCTAGTTTTAGACTCCAGGGCGGGAAGGAAATTTTTTTTTTTTTTTTTTTAAGATTTACTTATTTATTTGAAAGGCAGAGATGAGAGAGAGACAGACACCATCCACTGGTTCACTCCCCAGAGGCCACCACAGCCGGGGCTGGGCCAGGCCAGAGCCAGGAGCTTCTTCCGGGTCCCCCACGTGGGTGCAGGGCCCGCGATCTGCTTTCCCAGGCACAGCAGGCGCTAGGTGGAAGCGGAGCGGCCTACGTCAATCAGGCCTTAAACGCCGGGTGCCCTGCTGGGCAGTTTGTCCACTTGTGTGTGTCTCGATAGGAAAGGGGTCCGTGTGAGGGGCGCCGAGCGTTTCCGCGTCAGACGCGACCCCTGGACGCCGTGCAGGCGGGTGCTGGGGAGAACCCCGCTCTGCTCCCTGGGAGAGCAGGGCAGAAACCTGGCAGAGCAGCCTCGCCCTGACCAGTCGGGGGGGCGGGGCCTTCATCAGCCCGGGACAGAGGCTGGCTTTCCTCTTACTGAAAGGGTAGCAAGAGGTCTTCGACTGCTGGTTCCCTCCCGGCGCCCACAGCGGCCAGAGCGCAGTTGGCTCCCCGTGTGGGTGCAGGGACTCAAGTGCTTGAGCCGTCACCCGCTGCCTCCCAGGGCGCTGGGACCCGGGAGCGGAGCTGGCACCCACGCCGCGTCTCGGCCGCGGGGCCACGTGGCCTCCCCTTGAGCTCAGTGGGTGGGGCCTGGTCTCCGCCCCCGGGAGACGTAGATGGGATCAGGCACAGAAAGGGCGGCCGCACCCCCTGCTGACCTCCTCCTCCTCCTCCTCCTCCTCGCAGGAACGGCAGAACCGGAGCAAGCAGTAAGGACGAGCCCGCGCCTCGTGTCCCGGCAGCTGGCTCTGAGGCCGCAGCGAGTGCCGGTGCTGTCCCCGCGCCAGCCCCGCGGCGTCCCGTGCACGGGTCGAGTCGCCTCTTCCTTCTTTGTAGTTGGCTTTGCCAGATGGCTCTGCATTCATTTGTATTTTTTGTACGTATGACACTATTGTAGAACTCACTAATAAAGGGTTATTTTTCTTGTCTGCTTACCAGTCAGACTGACCTAAGGTGAAATGAAGCAAAACAAAGAGCCGGATGCGTCCCAAAGAGCTGCTTCTCGCGTTGGCAGGAGCTGCGTTCTCTCTCGTAGTCCTCCCGCAGAGGCCCCGCCGTCTCTCACCCTCTGTTGCCGTAGAGCAAGCGTAGGAAACCATGTTTGTCTCGTCTGCTCTGACGCTGCGTCAGGTGGCTGCGTCTCCTTGCCCGGCGGACGCCTGTTTTTGTCACCCATGTCACCTGGCGGATGCCGACCCGCCCACTGCACTCGTCTACTAAACGGCTGCATTTTAATTTTTTTTTTTTTTTGACAGGCAGAGTGGACAGTGAGAGAGAGACAGAGAGAAAGGTCTTCCTTTGCCGTTGGTTCACCCTCCAATGGCCGCCGTGGCCGGCGCTCTGTGGCCAGCACACTGCGCTGATCCGATGGCAGGAGCCAGGTACTTAGCCTGGTCTCCCATGGGGTGCAGGGCCCAAGCACCTGGGCCATCCTCCACTGCACTCCCTGGCCACAGCAGAGAGCTGGCCTGGAAGAGGGGCAACCGGGACAGAATCCGGCGCCCCGACCGGGACTAGAACCCGGTGTGCCGGCGCCGCAAGGCGGAGGATTAGCCTAGTGAGCTGCGGTGCCGGCCTGCATTTTAATTTTTTAAATTTGGTGACCATATTTTGTGTCCCTGGAAAACCCATTGTCCACAGCCTTGCCCGCCCGGAGCGAGCGCTTTGGCCCTCGGCCCTCCGCCGACCCAGCGGTGCCGAGGAGCGGGGCCGTTTGCGTGTTCCTAGTCGCTGGCAGGCGCTGTAAGGCCACCCTCACTCGCCGGGGTTCCACGGCTGAGAGCTGAGCTTCCGGCGTAGGGTCTGCCCGCACGGACGGCGTGACAGACGCGGCCGCCAACGGTGGCGAAGACCGAACCTTTACAAGGGGAATTGCGCGTGTCTCGTGGGAGGCGGACCCATGGAGAGCTCAGCGAGAAGTGCGAGACGGCGGCCGCCACGCTCACACGCCAGCTCTGCACGCCGCGTGAGGGTCTGCGCTGACCGAGAGCAGACCCCTTAAAATTGCATTCCAGAAGACCCGCTGGGTCAGTCACACCACGTCACCGCTGGTGGAGTGGAGGGCGGCGTGGGCGGCTGCCTCCAGGTGAGCCTTAATAAACGCCCTGCTTCCACGCCGCCCTGGCTCCTTCACCCGCTCCAGGCCCCACGCCCACGCCGCGCCCTGGCTCCTTCACCCGCTCCAGGCCCCACGCCCACGCCGCGCCCTGGCTCCTTCACCCGCTCCAGGGCCCCACGCCCACGCCGCGCCCTGGCTCCTTCACCCGCTCCAGGCCCCACGCCCACGCCGCGCCCTGGCTCCTTCACCCGCTCCAGGCCCCACGCCCACGCCGCGCCCTGGCTCCTTCACCCGCTCCAGGGCTCCACGCCCACGCCGCGCCCTGGCTCCTTCACCCACTCCAGGCCCCACGCCCACGCCGCGCCCTGGCTCCTTCACCCACTCCAGGCCCCACGCCCACGCCGCGCCCTGGCTCCTTCACCCGCTCCAGGCCCCACGCCCACGCCGCGCCCTGGCTCCTTCACCCGCTCCAGGCCCCACGCCCACGCCGCGCCCTGGCTCCTTCACCCGCTCCAGGCCCCACGCCCACGCCGCGCCCTGGCTCCTTCACCCGCTCCAGGCCCCACGCCCCTCGGCGAGTGTCGCAAGCCTGGCTGTTGCGTAGATTGGCAGTCCCACGGGGTTGCAGAGCGGCTGCAGCCCCCGGCCCGCAAGGCCTCCTGGGGTCTATGCACCTGGACCCTCTGGAAAACTCAGCAGTGAGCTTTGTGTGTGTGGCTTTTCTTTTTGAGGTGAAATTTACAAATGAAGTGGGCACGCCTAAGTGCGTGCGTGGGCGGTGCAGGGACAGGTGACTGGTGTGTGTCACCCAGGTGGCCCCGCCCTTCCCAGGCGTGCCCTCTGCCAGAAGCCAGCGCGAGAGGCTGGGGAGCGTGCCCCGCCCTCCAGGGGCTGGCTGCTCGCGTCTGCCGCCGCCTTCCGTGCCTGGGGCCCTGCACTCCGGGACCGAGAGGCGGCTCCTGGGGGCGGCTGCAGCAGCCTTCTGAGGGGTCAGCGCTGAGTGGGGGGTGGGGGCAGGGACTGGCTGGCCAGCCTGCGTGGCAAGAACGCAGTGTCGCCACCTAAGGTTGCCGCCACCCCCAGGGGTTAGTGGCTCCTCCCCATGTTAACGCGAAGCCCCTGCGGAGCTGGTCTCGAGTCTCAGGCTCAAGGCTGCCTTTGCTGTCAGCGCCCTGCCTGCCGTCCCGCAGTGGTCAGGCGAGAGGCTGCGTGACGGGACCTGCCAGCCCGCGCGCGCTGGGACCGTCCCTCGGGAGCCTCCTGTCCTGTCCAGCACCGATGGCCGCTTCCTGACCTGGCTGGAGGCCAGCTGGGAGCCAAGGCCGGCGAGGAAGGGACTGCAGCCCCCAGCCCCAGCCCGGAGCTGTCCCCGCTCGGTGACACCCAGGTCCCCAGGTGGCGGTGTCACGTGGCAGCATGGGCTGCCCGGGGCTGGCCCCTCCTGCCCGCTGGCCCCATGTGGCAGCTGTGCCGTTTCTCTGGGGCCTTTGGTGCTTGCATGTCAGGTTTTTGGGGGAAACCAATTGTTAGAGAAGTTTTATTTTTTTAAAAAAAGATTGATTTATTTATTGAAATGCAGAATGACAGAGTGAGGGAGACACAGAGATGGACCCTCCATCTGCTGGTTCACTCCTCAAATGCCAACGGCATCCAGGGCTGGGCCAGGTTGAAGCCAGGAGCCCCACTGGTGTCCCACGTGGGTGGGGGGCAGCCGGTACCCAGACATTAGCAGGGGGTCGGATGGAAGCAGAGCGGCACCGTCGTGCGGCCGCCAGCATTGGAGCAGCCCCGGGGAGGCCCCTCGGCCTGGTTCATCCATGACAGCCACGCCATGTGCCTTTCCCGGGCTGGGAGAAGACCCAGCTGAACATGTGCCGCCAGGTGCCGGGCTCCTCCCCTGCAGGGGCCGCTTCCCGGAGCCCCATCTGTGTTCACTGAGAAGGGTGAGAGCGCCCGTGTGCAGGGTGTGGGTTTGCTACTGGGGCGTCCAGTCTGCTCCTGGCCCACGGGAACAGGCGCAGTTCAGTGTGCTGGTGGCACCTGGGCACCGGGAAGGGGCCAGAAGGGACGACCAGGCCCCCCGGCTCTGTGGGGTGGGCCCAGCCCAGGCGCCGGCCCTGGCCTTTCTCAGCTCCAGAGCAGTCTGGGGCCAGCGGTCGTCTTTGGACAAGGGTGCAGTGGAGCCCCTTTCCCTTAGGAGGCTCCTGCATCCTGGGGGGGCAGTGCCCTCTTTCCCGTCGACACCCAGAAGGACCAGCCACTGCCCACATCCGGGTGGAGCACTGGCCAGTGCGTTCCGAAGAGAAGCGTCCTGGGCACGCCCGTCCTCTGCTGCATCCGAGGCCTTAGCTCTGGGAGGGCCAGGGGGCCAGGGTCGGGAGTGGGCGGGGCTGTAGCCCTGCTCCCACAGGCCCCATGTGTGCCAGCCTGGGTAGGGGTCTGACACCCGGGGCCTGTGTGGTGCTCCTGCACCTTGCGGCACCTGAGGTGGGGCCCAGGGAAAGGTGAGTGTGCCCAGCAGGCCGGCTGCCCCCACCCTGGGGTGTCCTCCCTAGGGTGCCCCCCGGGCTGCCCCGATCCAGGGCAGGGCAGGCAGCAGCTGAAGGTGGGGGCTGGGCTCCTGGCCCGCTGGCCTCCACATGCGTGATCGGCATGGCTGTCGGGGGCTCCAGGATGGGTGCAGGGCCAGCCACAGCCCTGTTCCTTCGCCCAGTAGCCGTCCAGGTGGGTGTGAGGAGGCCCTGCCTGACCCGGGGGTGGTCTCAGGTCACGAGCAGCACTGGCCCCACCTCTCGGCAGGCCCCCCCAGGGATGGGGCTGGCAGAACGGGTGGTGAACTGCGGAGGGGGCGTTGTTGAGGCCGAGGCTGCTGGCAGGAGGGCACGGAGCCTCCCAGAGTCCACAGATTCTCTCCTGCCCTGGCCGCCCTTGCGTGCCACGTACACACGTCTGCAGGGGCACACACTCGTCTGCAGGTGCACACACACATGTCTGCAGGTGCACACACACGTCTGCAGGCGCACACACACATCTGCAGGAGCACACACACACGTCTGCAGGGGCACACACACATGTCTGCAGGTGCACACACACGTCTGCAGGTGCACACACGTCTGCACACACACACATCTGCAGGAGCACGCACACGTCTGCAGGCGCACACACGTCTGCACACACACATCTGCAGGAGCACGCACACCTGCAGGGGCACACACACGTCTGCAGGAGCACACACACATCTGCAGGGGCACACACACATGTCTGCAGGTGCACACACACGTCTGCAGGCGCACACACGTCTGCACACACACACATCTGCAGGAGCACACACACGTCTGCAGGGGCACACACACGTCTGCAGGGGCACACACACGTCTGCAGGGGCACACACACCTCACGTCTAGGTTGGAACGGGTGGGTGAGATTGGGAGACGGTGGTTTCAGAGAAGCAGGAGCCCTTGGGGAGGGTCTGCCTTCACCTCCTGCCACATGATGTCATTCTGTGCCCTGCGTGTGGGGAGCATGGATGAAGCTGGCCGTGGGCATCTCTGTGGGCTCTGGTCTTGGGCAGGGGGCTCCGCGAGGGCTGTCACTCTGCCTAGAAATGGCTCCTGGGCCTTCCAAACCAGGGTGCAGACTGCTCACCCTGGGTGCAGTGTGGCGGAGGGTGTGGGCAAGGACATGGCAGAACGTCCAGTCGGCTGGGCCAGGGTCTCCATGGCATGGGGCGGGGACCTGGGCATCACCCAGCTGGTCGTCACTGGGCTTCACCATGCTGCTCTAAGCGGCCGTCCCACCCTGCCCTTGCCCCGCCCCCGCCGTGTCCTCAGCCTGGGTCACCCTCCTGAGTAGACGGGTCTGTGCAGTGACCCTGAGGCTGGGCACAGCGCCCTCGGGTCTGCGTCGTCTTCATTCTGCTCCCCACTCCCATCGTTTAAGTGGCCCCATCCTGAAAGGTTGTTGATGGCAGCAGTGATGGAGATGATGGTGGTGGAGGTGATGATGGTCGTGATAAGACAGTGGTGGAGCTGCAGATGGGGAAGGTGATGAAGGTGATGGTGGTGATGAAGGTGATGATGGAGGTGATGGAGATGATGGTGGTGATGGTGGTGCTGGAGGTGATGAAGGTGATGATGGAGGTGATAAAGGTGATGGAGGTGATGGTGGTGATGGAGATGATGAAGGTGATGGTGGTGATAGAGGTGGTAGTTGTGATAGTGATGGTGGTGGTGGTGGGATCGTGGTGACGATGGCCACTGAGTGAACCACGTCTCCAGCCGCAGGTCAGGGAAAAGAGGCAGGCACAGAGGGTGAAGGCGCTGGTGAGCTCTGACACCGAGCGCCGGAGACCACGTGCTCACGTTCTTGTGCCTGCGGCTGCGGCTGCATCCTCGGGCCCCTGCTGGTTGTGGTGATTCCTGCCGGCCGGTTCCACGGGAGCCCGTGTTACCCTCTCCCTGTTGAGGTCCTGCCCCCAAAGTCCTGCCCAGACTTAGGCAGCCCTTGTGTCCTGGTCCTTGGGAGGGGCTCAGAAATATTTGTTAAATGAATGACTGCACGAGCAATGAATCAGTGAGTGAATGAACAAAGAGCACCCCGGGGTGCCCGCGTTCCCCAGACTGGGGCTCGGCTCGCAGAGGTGTCCTGGCCTCCAGTCCAGGTGCAAACCCTGCAGCAGCTCCATGGCGCCCTCGTGTGGCGAGCCCAGGCACTGCACGAGACTCAGATCCGGAGCCTGCCCAAGCCTGCCGTGCTGGTGGATGTCCCCGCCCTGCCCCTGCTGTGGCATGTGGACAGTGTGCCGTACGCACTGGACGGGCCCAGCCTGGGGCACACCACCCCTGTCTCGTTGGTCTGCTCACAGGGCTGGATTTCCCTGAGCTCGGTCCTGGCGGGGGCTCTCAGGAGAGGGACCCGGGGTGGCCACGCTCCAGGATGGCCCAGGGGTCCTCCTGATGGCCCAGGGCTTGTGGAAGGATGGCCAGAATGCTGAGCGCCGGGTGAGGGAGGGGCTCCCCTTCTCTGGGACAGCCCTGACCGGGTCTGCGGACGGGCTGAGGGCCAGGTGGGAGCCCAGCCCCGGTGCACACAGCCTGGCTTTCCTCCTGTTCATCTGTGGAAACGCCTGGTAGGGGTCTCTCCTGAGTCGTTTCTGGGCCCAGTCCCCATCACTGCTGTGAGTGCTCTGGCCAGCGGAGCAGGTGTAGGGCTGAGGGCAGGCGTGGGACCCTGCTGTGGTCACCGTTGTGTGCTGGCTGGCGCTGACTCCCCGGAAGGAGTCCGAGTGGCCTGTGTGCCGGGACTCTGCAGGGACAGCTGTGAGCTGTGAGCATGTGGGCGGGAGGAGGTGCCTCTCACACTTCCTGCGAGCCACGGCCTCCCTGCCCCTCTCTAGCCCAGCCTGCTGCCCTGGCTGAAGGGGAGGGTGTGTGGTCCAGAGGGAAACATGCTGAGCAGGGCGGTGGTGGCTGGACCAAGGGGAGCGCTCAGGCCCAGGGTGCTTGTCAGGGGCCTCTGCTGTGCCGGGCCGGACTCTGCGCGTCCTGCCTCCTGGGTCCCTGTGGCACCCTGGGGGCTGTGTGCACAAGAAGACCCCACGGCCTTGCTGGTCACCAAGCAGAGGTGGCCGCAGCCTCGCTCCACCCCCTGGGAGGCCCCTTCCAGCCCTCATCGTCTGACCAGGCCAGAGGGAGGGGCATGTCGCCATTTTTCTTGTTTGTTCTTGGTTCCTCTCCACACACGGCCGTGCCCTGTACCCCACCCCACTCGGACCCCCGTGGCCCAAGCACTGGGGTGAAGGCTGGGGGCTGCCAGCTCAGGGCACAGCCAGGGGCAGGCGCTGGCACAGGGCCTGCCTGCCTCACCCACCCAAGTCTGGTCCCTGCAGCCGCCCGCCCACTGCCGTCCAAGGGCTTGTGTGTGGGGGGGGGGGGGGAGGCACTTGTCAGGGGGACTTGGAGGGGTTTGGGAGGTGGGGCCTCAGCTTCTCCCCACAGCGTGCTGACGGGGCTGCCAGTGTGAGAGGAGGGGGAACAGCTGAATCTGGACACCAGAGTGCGGCCTTGGGCTCAGCACCTCGGGTCTGAGCCGCCTGCACTGCGGCAGACCCAGCCTGGGCTCTGTGGTCGCTGGGCAGGGAGCCGTCCACCGAGCACCCCACACCTGCTGGCAGCCGGCGGCCCGTCCTGCAGCCCCAGGAACCCCAGTCCTGCCCAGGGCCAGGGCCCACGCGCAGTGCCGCTCAGGGTTCTGGGGGAGGGTGCTTGGAGGACACCACCCTGGGCTCCCAGGAGCCCCCACCAGAGCCCCACCCAGCCAGAGATGTGCCAAGGGCAGCCCCTCCTGCATAGTTCCCAGAAGGAAGGAGAGCAAGGCCGGTCTCCAGCCCTGGCCGGAGGTGGGTTTCCCTCTGAGCAAGGGGCTGCGAGGTCAGGGAGGTCCCAGGCACTTCCCATGCTGTCCTGGAGAGAACCTGGGGCCATCACCCCTCCTAGGAACGCAGGTGCCCTGGGGAGAGGTGGAAGCCAAGCCCAAGGTCAGTGCCGAGGTCAGGCTCGGGTGGGGGGTGGGGGGCGACCTGGGCCCCTGCCCTGCCCTGCAGGGGGCTCCTCTCTGCAGGGCTCTGATTTGGGAGTGGGAAGATGGAGGTACTGGTGGGCTGTGCTCGCGCATGTGGGGGCGGAGCAGGGGCGGCTGGGGCCCTGAAGCCGAGGGGCCCTGTCATCTGCCCAGGGTCTAGGGCTGGACAACCGCAGGACACCAAGGACCCTGCCGGCCCGGAGCCCGGCGAGAGGGCTCACTCGCAGCTCAGTGAGAGCACAGTGAAGCCAGGCTGGGACTCCTGGGGGTGTCCCACTGGCCGGCACCGCACCGAGGCCTGCAGCGTCGCTCTGGGGGATGGGGGCGCAGGCGGGCGCAGGGAGGCCGCGCCAGGAGCCGGCAGGTGGCGCTGGCTTCCGAGGACAGAAAAAAAAAATCCCTGCAGCAAAGCCGAGTGGGTGTCACTGCGGCTGTGGCGGGCGGCGGGGGAGGGGTTTGTCATTTTCTCCCGGGCTGCGGAGCCTCACGTGCCTCGCGCCCCGCAAAGCCCAGAGCGAGTTTGGGGGCGGGATGCGGTCCCACGCTCCCACCCGCCCCTGCTCGGGTTTTGGACACGGGCGCAGCCCCCCACCCCCCAGCACAAACCCCTTCCCAGGAGCTCAGGGCACGCGGCCCGGGAAAGGACGGGCTTGGCGGTGACCTCAGCCCACCCCGCCCCTCGTTGTCGTGGCAACTATCCAGGCGCCCACGGTCCAAGCAAGCAGTGCTTGGGACCCTTGGCCCCGCGCGCCGCGGCGCTCCTGTCCCGCGGGGGCCGCCCCAGCGCCAGCACCGCGGACAGCGCCCCGGCTCGCCCGCGGGTGGCCCCAGCCGCAGGGCGCGGCCGCTGGTGCCTGGGGCTTCCCGCCCCGCCGCCCCCCGCGGACCCTCCCTTTGTCTCCGGGCCCCCGCCGCCCTCCGCGGGCACCCGGGCGCGCCGCGCTGCGGACACACGTGGCCCGGGCCGGTAGCCGCAGTCCCGCGGGTCACGGGCTCCCCCCCCACGCCCCCTCCCGCCCCCTGCGCCGGAGGCCTGCGGGCCCCTTTGTGTCCCGCGGCCAGATCCCCGGCCCGGCAGCTGGGCCGCCCTCTGGGCGGGCGCATTGTTCGCCGGATTTGTCCGCGGCGCGAGGGGCCTTCCCCTCGGGAGGGGCGCCGCGCCGCCGGGCTCGCGGGCCATTTCCATGAGAAAGGAGCGGCGGAGGCGCCTCTCTTGGCATTCACCGCGTGCCTTAATTGTATGGACATTAAATCAAGGTCCGCTGTGAACACGCAGAGGGGCCCTCGGGGCTGCGGTCGGGTCGGGGCCGGGCTCCGGCTCGCGTGGGGTCCCCGCCTGCAGGGCGCGTGGGCTCCGGCGTCCCTGGCGCGGGGCGGGCTGCGCCCTCGGTCCACCCTCGACTCGGAGGAGCCCACTCTTGTCCGGCTCCAGGGCAGAGAGGGGCCCCTGGCGCGTACCCCGGGGCGTCCTTGGAGCCGGAGCCCGCGGACTCGGGGCGAGGGAGACACAGGAGCCCGCACCGCCTGGGCAGCACGCGCCGCCCCGCGGCGGCCCTCTCCCCAGCCCGACCCCGGAGCGTGCCCCAGTTGCGGCTAAAATGAAGACTCGGCAGAAGCCAGCGAGCCCGCCCTCCCCGTGCGCTGCAGCTGCGTGCGGGCAGAGGCCGCTCGCCTGGCTCGCACGGCCCGGCCCCGAGTGCAGTTACCCGTTCGGGCGGGAGCGCCGCCGCCCGCTGCTCCTCGGCCGTCGCCGCCTCCGCTCCCCGCGCCCGCGGGCCCCGCAACGCCGCTGCCCCGGCGGAGGAAGCGCCAGGCAGGACCCCGAGCGCCGCGGCCCGGCTGGGAGCCGAACGTCCGCCGGGTCCGCGATGCGGGCGCCCAGCCCCTGCTCGCCTGGCCCCGCGCTCGCCGCCGCCGCCGCCGCTGCCTCCGCGCGTATCCGCGCCCGGCTCCGGCACCGGGCGATTATCACTGGGGCGCGCGGTGACGTCATCCGGACACCGGCGCCGCCGCCGCCTCCCGGAGGTGTCCTTGAGAACTGCGGGGCACGCGCGCCGCGCACTGGCGCGCACGCGCGCCGCGCGCCCGGGGCCTCCCGAGCACACGCGCCGCGCGCCCGGCTCTCACGGACTCAGTCCTCGGCTCCCTGGACCGTGCTCGGCCCGCTCCGCTGCACGCGTGCCCACAGAAAGACCTCTGCCCCTCGCACTCGGACCCGCGCGCGGCACCAGCCGCAGCCCCCTTGGGCGCACGTCGGCACCCACCGGCCACACCCTCCACCAGCTCGCTTTGCCACGCGCACGCCGCGCCCGCACAGTCAGCCGCACCCGCAGACGCCTCCGCAGCGAGCCTCTCGCGCGGGATCAAGTCTCCCGTCCCCCGCCCCTGCAGCACCGCGGCTCAGCGCGCGCACTCCCCGCGGCCCTTCCAGCGCCCGCTCGCCGCTGCGGCCCCGCCCGGCTCTTCCTGCGGAGGATGCTGATGAGATGGGAGGGGACCGTCCCCACTGCAAGCCTGCTCCCCTTCCTCACTGGTAGCCACGGGGATTGGGAGCACCCGTGGGCAGGGACCAGGGAAGTGGGCAACACGAAGAAGGCTCGCCCCCGGGGCCTTGGGCCACCATGATCCGGTCCTCTAGGGCCAGGGGTCAGCACTTCCCAAGCCGGGCCAGTCCTGAAGGTCTTTGTTCGCAATGCCCACCGCCGAGGAGCCGCAGGCCCAGGCGCGGCTAGCAGGCCTGTCCCTCTCCCTCCATACAGGGCCAGCCCAACCCCTGCCCCAGCTGCCCTGGGGGCAGAGTCTGGCTGACCCGCCAGCACCACCACAGGCGGAGGTCCAGCGGCCTCTCTGCCTCTCGGCCTGGCAGAGCCATGGACAGCGACTGGGAAGGGGGTCAGTTCTGCCCCCTTCCCGTCCTCAACTCCGTGAGGAGGCCCCTCCCCCTGTGGTGCGGTGTCAGTCCGGCTCTTCCGAGCCAAGGCGTTCGCCCTTGGCAGGTGTCGGGACGGCGCTGCCCGCTCTCCTGGAATGCACAAGCCCCCACGCGTCCAGCGGTGGAAGCGGGCCCTGCCCCTGCTCCGGCCGAAAGCTCCGGAAGGCGCTCAGCAGCCTCGGCCGCGGCCCCCGGGGCCGGCGCGACCCCTCAGGACCCCACCCTAAGGCGGCGCTAAGGGTTCCAGGGCGGTCTGCGCGCCCAGCTCCGGAGTCCGCTGTCCATGGTGTTGAAACGGGACCCCAAGGCCCGCCCGGCCTCCGCGTCCTGCTTCTTCCCACGGAGGGCGGGCGCGCGCCCAGGCCCCAAGGACGCACTCCCCGCCGCCGCCCTTGATGCGTGTCCCTCCCTCGCACCGCAGGCTTGCGGGACCCTTCCGGGGCCGGCCGAGACCCTGCGTTCTGCCCCCTTACCTAGGCCGGAGGTCTCCCCGGGGCGGGGAGGGGACTCGGGGCCGCGCCCCTCCCCTCGCGTCGGACCCGCTTTGTGCGCAGTCCGCCCGCGCGTTTCTCTCGCTGTTTCGCCCTCTCTAGTCCCAGGCACCCGCAGCGGCCCAGGCTCGCCCTTGCGCGTCCCAGCGTCCAGTGTCCTGGCCCGGGCGGGCTGGGGGAAGGGCCGTCCAGCCGTGGGGGTGGAGCCGACCCTCAGCGCGGCGGGAAGGGGAGCGCGCCGCCCGCCACGGTGCGCCTGCGGGGCCGGCCCTTCCCGCTGGCCCCGCAGCCTCCGAAGGTTTTACCAAAGTCCGCTCACAGCGTCCGGCCGCGTCGCCTGTGCCCACGCCCGCACCACGGATTTGTGTTCGTGTCTCCATTCACCTGCTTGCTCTCCGGGGCGGTGGCACAGAAGCCCCACGCCCGGCCGGGTCAGGTGGCAGCGGCGGCGAGGGCGGGGACGTGGGCCGAGACCCCCGCCCCTCCGGCGCGCCATCCGTGAAAGCCTGAATGGCGTGGGATTAAACAAATCAGCCAAAGCCCCTGGAGTGCCCCTCCCCCTCCGCCCCGCCCCGCGGGGGGCCTGTGACTCCCCGGGAAGGAGGAGGGCGGGCTCACATCTGGGGAGAGCTGGCCCTGGACCCCCGCCCTCCTAGCGGGCAGGAGGAGCCCGGCAGCAGATGTGGGGGAGGGGTCCTGGGGGCCAGCACCTCCCCCCAGTCCAAAAGCGTCCTAGTTCTCGCGTGGGTGGGCAGCCTGGTGAGGCATGGCAGACTGTCTCCCACCCTCCAGTAACCCCAAGCACCTCTCCTGTGGGTAGCCCCCCTACGCCCTCCCCCCAAGAGCGGGGCAAGTGCCTGGTGCCCATCTAGGACCTGGGGCTGGAAGTGTGGACAGGAAGCACCCCACCCCCGCGCCCCGAGCTCAGAGGCTGGGGCCAGTGCTGGGGAGGGCGGTCCTCCCCTCCTGGTCTTGCTCCTCCTAGTCCTTTGTGGGGAGGGGGCCAAGACCCCTGCCCCCTGAGCGCAGCAGGCAGGACTACAAAGGCGGGATTGTGAGCCCGTCACAGTGGGTGGGGGCCGCGCCTGGGCCCTCGGCATGGAAATGAGGCCGCGGCTCCCCTGCTTGCCTTTCTGCGCTCTGCCTCTGTCCGGAAGGGGCAGCAGGAGCAGCCTTCAGGAGGGCCAGGTAAGCCTGGCAGGGCAGGGCATCCCGGAGGCCGTCCAGCTGCCCCTCGGGGTCTGTCCAGGGTGGGGCGGAGACAGGCGCCCAGCTGGGCCCGCGGCCTGTGGCGGGAACTGGCCTTTTGTTCCCTGGGGGCTGATTCTTCAGCCTGAGGAATGTCCTTGGTGCGTCCAGTCTCCTGCAAGTCCTATCCCAGCTTCCAAGTGGCTCCTGGCCACCCACCGTGGCCAGGGAGCAGAGCCTGGGCCGGCCCCACCCCCCGCCCCTGGGGCTCCCTGTCCACAGGGGAGGGCCTCAGCTTTGGGGCAGCAGCCTCCCACTGGCCCTACCTGGGGTCTTGCTGTCCCCAGGTCACCCTGGAGGGCCATGAGGGAGTAGGCTGCCCAGGACCACTGCCAGAAAGCACGAGAAGCCGGGAGGAAGCAGGGCACGGGGCCTTGTGCGGAAGGACCCCCGCTGGGGGCATTTTTCTGCTAGGAACCTGGGCCTCAGCGCTGCTATGCCAGGCCCTGTAGAGCTGGGAGCAGGGCCTCCCAGGGCCTGGTCCTCACCCCGCCTGAAACCCCTGCCCCAGCTAGGGCTCCTTGGAGGCCCAGAGCTGGGGACCCAGTGCGGCCAGCGCTGAGCTGGCCCAGACCAGCTGGGAAACGCTGGGCTTTCTGTGGGAGCGCCCAGCGCCCTCCCTGCCCCCAGGACGCCCAGGGCCCTCCCTGCTCAGGCTCTGCTGCCCCTGGGGTCTGAGCCTCGTCGCCTCCTTTCCCTCCGATCTCAGTCTGGCTGCCGTGCACCCGGTTACCCAGCTCTCCTGCCTCCCCTCCTGGCTCCCTCTGCAGACAAGAGGTGCCCAGAGGGTTTCTCCGGGGCTTGTCCTGGCTTCCTCCTGGCGATGCCGCCCCAGCCCGTCCCTGGCAGGCCACTGCCCTGAGGGGGTCGGCTTTGGTGGGAGAGCTGGGAGAGAGGCCCAGCAGAACACTTGACCCCCTCCTGTCTGACCAGCGCCCACGCTGCAGGGAGGGGGGCCCGAGAGCCCTGGGGTTCCCAACGTGGTGCCGTGTTGGGGCTGCGGCTGGCCCAGCCCTGGGGGGCCAGCTGGACCCAACAGGCAGGGTCGAGGAGAGCTGGGACTGCACACCCGGGGAGAGGGGTCACAGAGGAAGGGCCTGTGGGTGCTGACGCGTCTTCCTCAGACACCCGTGAAAACCCTTGCGTGAGCACCGGGCCGGCAGGCACCCGGCGGAGAGCCCGCAGCAGGCGGCGGAGTTGGCGGAGGCCGCGCTCCCTTCCTGTGCTGTTGGCTCGGGGCAAGCGTGGACGTTTTCCAGTGACCGTGGAGACAGAAAGCTCCCGAGTGGACGGAGGCGAGGCCTGGGGCCGCGGAGACCCGTGGGTGGGCGTCCTGGGGACCGTGAAGCCGGGTGGTGCGTGGCTGCTGAGTCCCGGAGGGCCCTGGGGCTCTGAAGAGAAGGCTCTCAGGCGCGGGTTCCCTCTCTAGTCCGTGGCCTCTGACGTCTGCTGTTAGCACCGCGCGCTTGCTGGGCGGTCTGCCGGAGTGGCCTTGGACTGGGGTAGGAGTGGGGGCGGGGCAGGGGCGGAGACTGGGGTCCTGGTCACCCTCTGCCTTCCTGGGGACCGCTCTGTGCAGCTCTGCCTTTCTCTGTCTTTCCCAGTCTTCTGCCTACAGGAGTCTCAGCCCTGAATTCTCACGACGGCGTGGATGACTGCCGGCACCTGCGGCCCATCTGGCTCCTGGGTGGCTGCGGCCGCGGGAGGCACGGGGGAGGGGCTGCGTGTTCACCCACACCCGTCACCGCCCCTCGTCCCTCCAGCCCCAGGGGCCGTTCTGTGCCTGCAGCTGCCTGCGTCTGTGCACGGCCCCGTTAGAGACTCAGTCCAGGGTGCCCAGTGTCCCCTGAGGTCGGACAGCTGTCCCTGCCCCCAGACCGGAGCAGGAGGTCCTGAGGCCCCCAGAGGCCAGACTGCCCATGGAGCCCCGACGGAGGAAGGGCTGGGGTGTCCTGAGCTCCCGGGGCAGTGGCTCCGAGCACAGGTGCTGTCCCTGCCGGAGCGGCGTCCTGGTTCCTGGGAAGCACCTGGGTTCTGAGCCGCAGAGCAGAGCCGGCTGTGGCAGCCATCACCAATCACCAAAGTCAAGGGGACCCTGATCCCTGTGGGAGGGGCTGTCTGCAGGGGGTGGGGCCTGGCTCTGTGGGAGGGGTTGTGCTACAGGGAGTGGGCTTGGGCTCTGTGGGAGGAGCTGAGCTGCAGGAGGTGGGGCCTGGGCTCTGTGGGAGGGGCTGTCTGCAGGGGGTGGGGCCCGGGCTCTGTGGGAGGGGCTGTGCTACAGGGGGTGGGGCCCGGGCTCTGTGGGAGGGGCTGTGCTACAGGGGGTGGGGCCTCTGTGGGAGGGGCTGTGCTGCAGGAGGTGGGGCCTGGGCTCTGTGGGAGGAGCTGAGCTGCAGGGGGTGGGGCCTGGGCTCTGTGGGAGGGGCTGTGCTGCAGGAGGTGGGGCCTGGGCTCTGTGGGAGGGGCTATGCTGCAGGAGGTGGGGCCTGGGCTCTGTGGGAGGGGCTGAGCTGCAGCGGGTGGGGCCTGGGCTCTGTGGGAGGGGCTATGCTGCAGGAGGTGGGGCGTGGGCTCTGTGGGAGGGGCTGAGCTACAGGGGGTGGGGCCTGGGCTCTGTGGGAGGGGCTGAGCTACAGGGGGTGGGGCCTGGGCTCTGTGGGAGGGGCTGAGCTACAGGGGGCGGGGCGTGGGCTCTGTGGGAGGGGCTTGCTGCAGGGGGTGGGACCTGGGCTCCCTGGACCTGGCTGAGCTGCAGGGGTGAGGCCTGAGGGAAGCTGTAGAGCCGAGGCCTCTGCTCTGCCTCACCCATGGGACTCCCCTCTCAGGCCCAGGCTCTGGGAAAAGGAAAACCTTGCCTGGGGCGGCG